AAGGTCTCGATTAAAAACCACTAGCCTAGACAGAATTCTCCCATGGTAGCTGTCCATTATTCAAATTGTCACGAATCCGATTGTGGTTTATTATTATGGCCAGAACTCTTTCTCATATCGAATCCAATAAGTTCACAATTCCAATACGAGATTAACAATAATTACCACCATAAAAATCAATTAACTCCATCAACCATTTCATCCAAGAACACAATCATAAATCAATCACAATCCATCATAATCATTAATCATCAACTCAATCATGTGTATTTAGAAGTAAACACGTAATTCCGGTTCCCTTTTACCGTAAGCCCACACACCTTATTTATGACGTAACCTCGACTCTGCACAGCTGTTGAAGACCAATCTCGAGCATCCGGGAGCTCTTGCTCGTCACTCACTCTCTCTCTAGAAACCGCCCTCTCTCTCTCTCTACTTGGTTTGTACGATTTATGGTGTGAATGACAGCTGGCCATTCTTCCTCCTTTTATAGGCTGCCGGTTGGAAAACCCGGTCGAAATACCCAGTCGGGTATTTCTGGTTTCGGTCGGGTATTTTTAAAATACCAATTCTTTTAACCGGCAAAAATCCCCGGTCGGACCGGCCAAATCCCTGGTCTGACCTAACTAAAATCCCCGGTCGGGTATTTTAATAAAATAACCCGGCCTGACCTAACATTTAAACCCGGTACCCGGTCGGGCCACTAAAATACCCGGTCGGGTTTTTACAAAATAACTGGTCGGGTATTTTGTTCCTACAGCCCACTCGTTTTGGTTTTGGCGTTGGGTCTTCGATTTACGCTTATCGAACCGAATTGATTTGAATTAATATTCCGGGTTTGGGATGTTATAGCAGCTGTCAGATCAGCATTCATTTCCGGGGTAACACTACGGGCAATAGGCAGAGCCGCCACCCGCTCCCCCATATTCAGGACCTGATTCTCAGTCGTAAAAAGATGGCCATAGTAAGAAGTTGCTATGTCCGCTTTTCCTTTTACATCAGTGACCCACTCACCATTATCCTTTCGCAACCCAATCACAAAATTTCTTTTCCGTCGAGTTCGAGTCACCATGTGGAAGTACGACGTATTTTTATCCCCTTTTTTCAACCAGTGAGATTGTTAGTGTTAAAGGAATCAAGCGATTGTTAGTGTTGTGGCGAAACGTTTCTATGTATCAAGCGACCATAGTTAAAATCAACACTATGGGCTATGGAATAAAGGAATCAAGCGATTGTTAGTGTTGTATTTGTTAAATACATGCATTGTCCACAATACAACGTTTGGAAGTGTCAAGTTGCAAAACAATGCATGTATTGTTTTGTGTGGGTCCCACCAACAATCAACAAAAATGAGGGATTGTACAATCTCAACTAAGAGTTGAGATTGTTGTGATTGTTGGTTTAATAATTGAGCACCTTTACCTTTTCCAATTATGTCTATAGTTCCTTTTGTTTTATATTAAAAGTGGAGGACAAAAATGACATTTCCTTATAAAGTAACTTTATAACAATCAATTCATAAATTATAATCTCAACAACCAAACAATGTAAAAGTGGAGGACAAATATGACATTTCCTTATAAAGTAACTTTATAACAATCAATTCATAAATTATAATCTCAACAACCAAACAATGTAATTTCAAAATGCATCTATTGTATCAATGCATGCATTTATATGATAGTGATTCATAACAATACAACGATTTAACATACGCAACTTCCAGACGACCCCTAAAATTCCAAGGGTGGACAGGCGCTTTAATCCCCCCCTTACCACAAGTATAATGAAATAGACAACAAATTACATCACAAATACCATAAAGTTTATAAAGCAAATCAGAACCTCACAACACCATAAAATCTATCTATCTATCTCTATCTATCTATCTATCTATATCTATACTATATATTATGGCAATTCAAAAATAAATTCTTGCCACGTAAGAACTTGGAGAAATAACAAGTTGCCTAGGTGGACTTTTTTTTTACTACCAAAATTTTTTATTATTGATCTATTTATGAAGTTATCTCTCTCTTCTTTTAGTATTTATGCTCACTTTTACTCAACATTAATAATAAGTTACATTAAGAATATAAGTAAAAACAAGCATAAATAATAATATTTTTGTCAATTAAACAAAATATAAAGATGGAAACAAAGAATAACATATATCGGGTTTGTTTAAACAAAAAATATATGATTAAATCTTATCAAATAAATTATCTTCTCATTTTAACCAAAACTTAATAATAAGTTACATTTTGATGAAAAATTTAAAGAAATACACACATAAATAATAATATTTTTGTATATTAAATAAAATATAACGACACAAAGAGATAAATCAAGCGTTTGACAATCAATCGACTTTGAAAAATGAAATATATGAATTTATATATTAAACCTTCTCTTATTATACTTCTTTATAATATATATGTCTACCAGTTAAAATAGTTGTATATAAATAATTATTTCATATAATAAAATAATTGACAGAATATAACTTGATCAAAAAATAATAATAATATCTTAAAAAGATTTCTATTCATCCTGATTAAATGAAAACATATAGTAATGTTCTACCTGAAATTTCCCAAAGGAAGAGTAATCATGTGCAATATTTTATAATTTGGTTTTTAAGTTCACATTAAAATATTTGATTTAGATGACTTGGTTGAGCATGCTCAATTGAGGTCATAAATAATATGTTAATAAATTCTCTTTTCGGATTTAGAGTTATTGTCGAGGATTATACATCAAAGTTTTCAAAATGACTTAAGTATGAGTTTTGAAAAACTTTGACTTCATACCTTAAGACGAGACACAATATATCTTAAAAAATGACACATGTGATTTGGTTGACAATAATAAAAACTTTTTCAATATCAAAGTATCAAATATGAATTTTCTATTTTGTAACAGTAAGCAAATTGTATTTACAATAAATTTGTCTACAATACATCCAAGAATTCACATGTATGTGAAATGTCACAATATTTGTATGAATTCTTAAAAGTTTATAAAAAAATTCAAAAAATTATAAATCATCATTAATTAATCTTATAGGAATTTAAAACTAAATTAGTGTCATATCAACAAATGGCTAGCTCTCACCCTTCCATAGTGGGCAAGTTCTAATTCTTGCTTATATAATTTTTTGTTTACTCTTTAAATTACCATTATTATAAATAAAATGTAAATTAAGTTAATAACACAGAATACAACATTTTGGTTTGTTCCTATTCATTTTCTCATACAAATGTGCAACATTGAAAATAAAGAAATTGGATCAAGCCACATAAAAACAAACAATCCTCTCTTCTTATTTCCTCAAAATCCTAAGATTTCTAGCATTTCTTTTCTCTACTTTTTTTTTCAAACAGATACAGGAAAGGAAATAGTAAGGCATATTGAGTTTTTACTCTTTGTAAGAGAATATGAGTGTGGAGTTACATGAGACAATGATTAGATGAGATATAATTGAGCATCTATAACATATGTTTGACGATTGACTAAAAAATTTCATCCTATCATTGCGAAGATGAATTGAATGAAGTCGATGATTGCTCATTGCTCCCTCTTCACCCTTAATTTGTAGTTGGCAGCTGGTCTCTTTTTTCTAGAGATATGTGGTTGTTTGCGGTTGACTGGTCATATTAACATGTATACTTTTATGGTTCTCTATATTGTATACTTTTATGTAAACATGTAATAGACAATTGGAATGGTTTATTGCTTGGACTTAGAGTATCTCTCCTTTGGTTGAATAATTGATCATTTTGCTTGCCTATTGCATCCCAATTCCGTGGATGATAAAATGGAAAGTAGAGTTGTTAGGGTTGTTTATTATGTTCATGAGTGACATGCTACTACCTATATGATTATGATCTGGTCAGTAAGTAAGTAAAACGTAGCAAGGGGTTATAAGTAGAAGGAAACACATGTCAGGTCTTATAAAGGTGCAAAGGAAAAAGAAAATGATGGTGGTAGTCTCTAAGTTGTCTATGTCGACGTTCTTTCAATTTCTACACGTTTGCAATGACATTTGTTTGTTTCCTTAGCATGAACTTTTTCCTAATTGAATCCCTAACTAAAACTCAATTTTGGCCTGATCGTTTTCTTGACAACAACTATTTGGATTGATGCATCAATTGGTTTCATGAATGAAGATTTTACAAGATACAATGCGTTGAGTTTTATTTAAGCATGCAACTTTTACAATTCGTCTATGTTGTTATTATGTAAAAAAATTACACAATTGTTTTTTTGAAGGGGGTATGTAGTTCTCTACAAATATAAATTGTGTTTATATGCAATTTAGTTTACTAAAAAAATATCATTTTAATAAAATAATGACAACTAATGGTTCTATTTTTGATCGGTTATGCTAGAACATTTTGAAGATAAATTAAATGAATAAGTAGGAGATTGATGATGTGGATGCTAATGTGTTTCCTCATCCTTCCAAAATTGCACAGGTAACTGATAGTGTACGATATTCGTGGGATTTAGAGCGCGATATAATATATTATCATATAGCAACGTACGAGAAGGGAGAAGAATGAAAAGCTCTTTGCTTATTTTTTTATTAATTGAAACATATTTGCTTATTTAATTTTTTTAAACTTCTTTGTCACTATTGTGTACTACAAGATTAATAATATATTATGTTTATATTCTAAATTGTGGGTTCGATAAGAACTTATAAATAAATAAATAAAGATCTATCGAGAGCTCATTTAATAAAATTAAAATTTCATAAATAAACGAAAGATATAAAAGTGTTTAACAATACCTAAAATCAAGTAAGTTAGATTAATAATTCAATGTATAATAGTTTAACATACATAAATCATAAAAAAACAATAGAACGAAAACTGAAACACCAATACGAATGTGCCGCCCAACGGGCGGGTAAAAAACTAGTTCATAAAATAGTGATAGAAATCATACAACATACAAGAAACCTTATAAAGCATAACATAGTCTCACCACACCAGAAAATTTCTAAAACGCACAACAAATATCAGAATGCTTATAAAGCATATATACTACAAGTTACTTAAAGCAGATCACAAGTTTGCTAAAACAGACTAAAAATATCATTACTCATACCACAAGTTCATAGAAGCATACTAGTACTACAAACTCATTAAAACATGCCACAAATTTCTTAAAGTAGACAACAAGTTTTTTAAAACAAATCACAAGTTTCTTAAAATATTCCAAAAATCTCATAAAACAGATCGCAAGTTTATTAAAACATATCACAAGTTTCTGTAAGCATAGAAGAAAACTCATAAACTTGGATAAATTCGAAGTTTAAAAGTTTAGATATCAAAATGTAAGACATAAATTTTTTGGTACTGAAATGTAATTGTCCATCAATTTGCTTAGGATCTATATGAAAAAAATAGTTTTAGGTACTAAATCTTAATATCATTTAAATTTAAGTATCAAACTGTAAATTGCCTATCAATTCAATTTGGACTGTTCTCGCCGTCGTCGTGGTCTCTGAATTCTCCATGGGTAAGTCTGTTTAAATTTAAGTATCAAACTGTAAATTGCCTATCAATTCAATTTGGACTGTTCTCACCGTCGTCGTGGTCTCTGAATTCTCCATGGGTAAGTCTGTGCCTTGTTTCCAATATTTCCCATCTTTGTTTGGAGAATTCGATCTGTAAAAAAGGGCAGCTTTTTCTTTTTTTGGTATGGTCGCTCTGTTTTCCTCTGTTTTGTATCCATGGAAACAGAGGCGACGTTTGGGAAAGAAGATTGAACAGGCTGGTGGGTGGTGGTCTCTGGCCCAAAAGGGTTCTCCCTGATTCCGTATCTGACCACCACCACCGCCGTGACCTCCGCCACAGACTGCGAAATATCAGAGCAAAAAAGCTCTCCCATGTCTCACTGAGTACGGCGGCGAGTGGACCCGCCGATGTCGGGGCTTTTTCCGGACCGAGTTGGGAGAGGTTAGCCAATAGCCACGGCGAGTGGGCGACTCGCTTCGTCACTCGGATCAGGCAAAAAGGGGAAAGCACAATCATCACACCCACAACCCAAAACCCCTCCAAAAGAGAGAAAAAGATGGAAGGGAAAAAGGGAAAGGGAAATCAATTGATTGCAGGGTTGGCAATTGATTGCAGGGTTGGCAATTAGTAACTTCCTCCCGCCTCCTCTTCCTTTACTCTCACTGCACATTCCACCACTCTTCTTCTTACCCTTTCTTCTTCTTTGGGATTTGAAATGTCCGATGTACCTCCGCCGGCGGCCGCGGCCACCGAGCCGGTGCCAGGAACCCCCGGATCATGGAAATGAGGTCCGACCAGAGCCTTGGGCTCTTCCCCGGCGGCGGAGCTGGGACGAGGAAATTCGGTTCAAGAGCCGAGATCGACACGTCGCCGCCGTTTGGGTCTGTGAAGGAAGCCGTTACTCGTTTTGGCGGCAGCGGTCCCTGGGTTCCCTGTTATAGAATTGGGGAAGACTTGGTAAGTTCCCTTTTCTAGCTTTCTTCACTGCTTTTGACATTTCCATTCGAATTGTGGTTTGTATAGCTAAATTGGGTACAGTACAGTAGATAATCAAAATAGACGAACAAGGAAAGTAAATTATGGAGAATTCTACTTGAGAGAACTTCATCTGGGTATTGCTCCTCTTAGTCTCGTATTAAGAAACAATGAATGCAACTGTAGTGTGAAGGATGTGTTCTTAACTATACCGTGAGGTGTGTGCAACTAGCTAGGGACAAACTCTCCTAGTCAATCGATTAAGGATCGCAACAAAAAGCTAGTGAACCTAGCTCTCTCAACCGATCAACCAAGAAAACCCTAACTCTCTTAGTTGACCAATTTAGGATTGTTGCATTAAGTTAGTAGACTAACGCTCTTACCTTTCGGCAAAGGATGACAACAATAGTCTAGACAATCTAGCTCCCTCTAAACCGGTCGACTAAGGATTGCAAATAGAGGTGGCAATTGGATCGGATTCGTGGATTGGATTGGTGGATCCATGGATCAAATGGATTGGATCCAATGGATTGGTGGATTCATGGATTGGATCAAATAGATTGGTGGATTGATCCATGAATCCAAATGACATCAAAGGCTTGGACCAAAAAGTAAAATGTGAAAAGTTTTGGTACTAAAATGTCATAATGAAAATTTTTAGGTACCAAAATGTAATTTTCCAATGATATTTTCGTATAAAAATATAACTTTTAGGTACCAAAATGTAAAATATAAAAAATATAGGTAAATCGTAATTTGCCATTTGGATCCATGAATCCATCAATCCAATTGGATTTGGATCAAATGGATTGGATTTACATGGATTGGATTAGGTGGATAATTTGGTGGATGGATTGGATTGGATTGGATTCATGTATTTGGATCCTAATTGCCACCTCTAATTGCAAACCAATCCCTCAGAACTTAATCCGGATTGCGGAGAGCGACCAATCACGTCAAAATCAGGGTACTAATCTGATACTTGAGTTTTTGGCCCTAGATCAACCCAAAAGGGTTTACCCAAGTGGCTTGGAGATCAAGCTCCCTATGGGCCAAAGGGGGATTTCCACATTCTAGATTAATTTGACCCAATAGTGAGATAATGCAAGCAACGCTCAATCATTCATGATTAATACCTCAAATATTATATAGAACACACAATCAACACAATAGAATCAAGTTCTTACATCCTAACACATATCTATGTAGAATGAGTCGAGCGCGAGACCTTAGAAACGATTTCCTCTTCTTCTCGATTGACCCAGACACTGAGCAACCCTAATTTTGACTTTGACAAGAGCAAGTAAGAAGAATGGGGTAAACTACAGAATGGATCGATACACAAGGCTGAAAGATTTCCCTTTTGTATTTACCTACACGACACCGAATTGAAGTTGAGTGTTAAAGAGAATTGGGCTTGGCTCAATTCCACTTTCGTCAATGATAAGTTGGCCCAACTTATTGTTACCCGAACGCTGCGTTTTAAGAACTTATTGTACCTTCTTTTCTCCTAGGCCAAGTCGATCAACTCTATTACCGAATTTTTACGTGGTATCCGTGTTAGGTGATTAATGAACCTAACACCAACTAATCCACGGTCGAAGGATCTCTGTCTCGAGATCTTCGACGTTTCACTATGATTTTTCGTTTATCAATCTACAAAGTATCACTGAATTGATCTCAGAGTGACTCCCCGTCACTTGATCACAACCACCCTGTAGAGTCTGCTCCCTGCACCTACTCTACCCTGACTTCTCAATTCTTTTACCCGAGTTCTCTCCCTGACAACTCTATTATTTTTCTTTCTCCAACACTTAACCAAAAAACACTGTGTTTTTCTTGCTGAGAATTTCCTGAAAAAGATTGGTTTCTCTACCCAGAATTCCCACTTTTTATCATTCGCTTCAGTCGACCATTGCTGGCAAATCAATTTGCCTTCCTTGATTGCCTTGATTGATTACTGCATCTGCACTTTCCCTTTTTCTTGATGAACCAGAATCTCCAAGATTACTTGCCCTTCTTGCTTTGCTTGAGATCTCGATGCCAATGACTAAGCTTCCTTCAACAAACTCCCCCTAAGCTTGTCATTGGCTCACTTGGTTGCCTGCACACACTAACACACAGATTGGTGCAGCCTGTTCCAGTCGAGATAAATAAAAAGCAAGGTTGAATAGAAGAAGGATAAGGGAAAATCTTATTATTAATTATTCAGACAAGGAAAACAATCACACTGAAGACTTAACTCAAACTGGTTCAAGTCTACACACTTAACACTCCTACCTACTTGACTACACCCAAGATTCTAGATTCTCCCCCTGAGACTATTTCCTATGACCTTTAGAAGGGATATTCTGGTGGAGATTCGTACTCAGAGATTCTGTCCTCTTCTTTAGACTCAGAGTCAGAGCTAATCGAGTCATTTACTGCTCCTGACTCATACACAAATTTGGGTCACATTAGGTCTTGTTCCCTCACTCGCTTCAGAGCAGTAGACTGCTTGCTTGTACTTGTCGCTTCTTGCTTGATGACTGTTACAGCAGCGTCGACAAGAGCATTCACAAGTTTTCTAGAGGCATAGGATACAGGACCTGTTATGACTCCCCCTGAGCCAATGATAGGCTTACGGGGGCCAACCTCAGCATTGAGTTTTGCTAGAACATGTTGAGGTTTAAGATCATCGAGGACATTACAAAGCATGACCTTGTCACGCAGATCAATGCCCACCTTATATAGGAATTTGGTGATCTGGGGTCCAAAGGACAGGGGACCACTATAGTACTCAAGGCCAAACTTAATGAGATGGGAGAACATGAGTGAGGCATAGCTTATTAGACGACCTTCTTTAGCATTAGACAGGATCCATAAATCAGCAGAGTGAAGAATATCAGTGCTAGAGAGGTCACGAGGCAGGAAGGTCCTAGTGATAAAGAAGTGAAGCACCTTCAAATCATCTGGTATACGACCAGCTGCAAGCGGAGAATGATAGAAATCCCCGATATCACGCGTATAGCGAGCCAAAGCAGCATCAAATAGGAACCCGCGAGAGGCAAACTCACTATCGGTGCCTGCTCGAAGACCAGTGTGGGAAAGATTGAGAAGGTTTGCTAACAGAGCAGGAGTAACTGTGATATCATAATTGAACACAGTTGTTGTGAAGAATGCAGGGTCGCACCCAGGACAGGGAACAAGATTGACATAAAACAAGCGAACTGCTTCTAGACAGAAGCTGAATCTCATGTTCTCAGTCAATGAGCCCCAGCCCAACCCATCAATGAGAGAGGATACATTCATGTCATACTTGGAAAAGCCAGAAGGCTAAATGGAGAAGGAGGGTTGGATGGGACGATCTCGAAATCAGCAAAGATACCGAGAATAGGCAGCAGGGCTGCTAAACCCTTTGTTGCTAAACACTGCAGCTGGGTGCAGTTGAGCATTGTTGAAGGACATTTGTGGGTTGCTGATGGGAGGCACGAGTGTTTTAGATGAGAATGGGCTTGATGGATGATTGCCAGATCCTAGCGGAAGAGTGATATATAGTGAAGCCTAACCCTAGAGAAGGTTCGAGAGGGGGAAAGTAGAGGTAAGATGCAATGAATGCTTGATTTTAATCAAGCAATCAATGATTATGTAAGTAAGGAAGGTTTATATCCTCAGAATCATAAGGATTCAATCTCGTGAATTGAGAATAGCCCAAGTTCATGACAAATAGGAAGGAATTTATCCGCCCCAAGAGGTTTGGTGAATATGTCAGCCCACTGCATATCAGTGCTAATGAATTCTAGACTTATCTTACCTTCTTGAACTAAGTCACGAATAAAATGATATCGAACTTCGATATGCTTAGTCCGAGAATGTTGGATTGGATTTTTGGTCATGTTGATAGCACTTGTGCTGTCACACATAATAGGTAGAGTACCAACCACTAGACCATAGTCTTGCAATTGGTATTTCAACCATAGGAGTTGAGTACAACTGAGTCCAGCAGCAACATATTCTGCCTCAGCAGTTGATAGTGCTACTGTACTCTGTTTTTTACTAGCCCAAGATATCAAGGAAGTTCCTAGAAAATGGCAAGTACCTGAGGTACTTTTTCTATCAACAGTGCATCCAGCATAGTCTGAATCACTGTAACTCACGAGTTCCAAACTAGAATCACATGAATACCATAATCCTAAGTGAGAAGTACCACTTAGATATCTAAAAATCCTCTTAACTGCTGTCAAGTGACTCATTTTAGGATTCCCTTGAAACTTTGCACAGACACAGACGCTGTACATTATATCTGGTCTACTGACAGTCAGATATAACAAGGACCCTATCATTCCACGATACATTCTTTCATCAACAGGAATTCCAGTTTCATCTGTTGTTAATTTTACTGTTGAACCCATTGGTGTTAAAGCAGTTTTAAGATTATCAAGCTTGAACTTTTTTTAGCATGTTGAGAAGATATTTGGTCTGACTTATGAAAGTTCCTAGCTTAGTCTGTTTAACTTGCAGCCCTAGGAAGTAATTTAGTTCACCCATGAGACTCATTTCAAAAGCACTTTTCATATCATTTTCAAATTCTTTACACAGAGCAGTGTTTGTGGAACCAAAGATGATATCATCCACATAAACTTGAACTAGCAAGGTATGAGAGTTTTCATTTTTAATGAACAATGTTTTGTCAACTGCTCCTCTATGAAATCCTTTGTCTAACAAGAAATGACTCAATTTTTCGTACCAAGCTCTAGGAGCTTGTTTGAGTCCATATAAAGCTTTGTTTAGCTTATAGACATGATAATCGGCTTCAATATATCGGATTCTTGAACTTTGTGTGACTATCCCATGATATGTTTAAGCCGATTGGTGCTATTTTAGGGCTCGCTAACTGGGAATGGTTGAAAAAACATTACTGCCTAGTGCCATGAGTTTGATGTATTATAGGTGAAGAAAGCACCAAAAAAAATGAGAAATTGTACGGGCAAGCAATCGGGCTCGAATCATTGGTGGAATAACAATTGGACATATGAGGAGCTTAGTGCGTGGAAACTTCTGAACCGGGACGGAATTAATGGAACTGGGAAGTTTAATTGAAGGTGGGCTTAAAGCCCACAAAAACTTGATTTTGTAGGCGAGAAATCTTTGGTGGAATTAATGGGCGGAACAGCAGGGGCATTTTATTTTTATTTTTTGGCCCAGATCCGTGGCCATGGAAAAGGGGAAGAAGGGAGTTGGATTTGGGCGGAGATTCTTCTGGGGACTAATTGTGGGCGGCTGCCTTTTCTTGGAGCAGGTCGAAGAGGGGAGGCAATTAATTAATTTTTGGGAGGAGGAAGCAATTTTGGGGGGGGACAGAACTCTTTGGAAAAAAGCAAAAAGGGAATTCTCGAGAGAACTAGCGAGGGGAGCAGCAGCGAATTGGAGAGTCTTTCTTTTTGGTTTTGCGCGGAATTCTTTTGGGCCGAAGGAAAGCAAAGAGCAGCGTAGCGAGCAGGCGATTGAGCAATCGGCAATCGACTTCTCCCAAGGCGGTTTAAGCTGAGTTCAACGAGAGCGATTAGTTGGTTGGATTCTCTGAACTGAACTAGTTGTTTATTGTTGATTTAGAACATGATGATCAAAACCCTAATGTTTTATCTTAATTTCGTCATGAACTAATCCCCAATTTCTGGGGGAAACACCATAGGATGTAGCTATTTCTTGATTTGATGGATTGATTCATGATTCTTTTCCTCCAACCTCTATTGCATGAAATTACTTAATGCTTTGTGTTGACTGGCCACCAATACAACGATTTGTAGTTAATTAGGTTATTAGCGACAGTGAAACCCTAATAACTGAACCTATTTCATGTGACATAGTAACTTATCGAAGCGACAGTGGATTAAATAAGATGCTATGCGGTCTTGATTGGGATATCGTTCTTCAGGCTAAATAATTAACTCATTGAGCTACGACAGTAGGATTTGATTTAATTGTTTAGTACGTAGTAATTCCCAACAGGGATAGCTAGCACAGTGGTGATATCCTGGATGTAGAGATATGGATTAAATTGATTGGAATATGTGAATAAATTTTGATATGATAGGTAGTGAGTCCCGGTGTTTCTCCCAGAGTTTTCTCCCATTGAGTTCAACCCGACAATTTTAATTTGCTTATTTTGTTTAATTGTTTTGCCATTAGATAATAGTTTCATCACTCAAATCATTTTCACCTATAGTTTGCTCCATAGAATTGATAGAATATAAGGTTGTACCAGTCCCTGAGAGACGATACCCGGACTTTCCGGTTTACTACGAGATAGGAAATTGGCATATACGCTTTTGCCCTATCAAGACATGATCTGGAAATTCATAGTCTTCAAACCCAGGTGGTTGTGACACATAGACTTCCTCTTTTATATCCCCATTCAAAAAAGCACTCTTTACATCCATTTGGTATAGTTTGAAACCTTTAGATGCAACAAAAGCACATAGTAACCTTATAGCTTCTAACCTTGCTACTGGAGCAAAGGTTTCCTCAAAACCTATACCTTCTTCCTGATTATATCCTTCTGCCACTAATCTTGACTTATTTCTAACAATCTTTCCTATTTCATCAGATTTGTTTCTGTAGATCCATTTAGTTCCAATAATGACTCTGTTCTCTGGTTTTGGAACTAGTTCCCATACATTGTTTCTTTTAAATTGGTTCATTTCCTCATGCATTGATGCATTCCAGTATTCATCATCTAAGGCTTCCTTAACATTCTTTGGTTCAATGAGTGATACAAATGCAGTATGAACATCAGAGGTTTTGGATCGAGTGATAATACCTTGTTCTATGTTGCCAATGATCTGAGTAGGAGGGTGACGTTTTCTTATGTGAGGTGGAGCTTGGCGCTCTCATTCCCTCATTTCCTTGTTCAGTTCTCCCTCTGTGTCATGATCTTCAGCCACATTCTCCTTTTGATTGTCTTCTGAATATGTTCTTCCAAGACCAAAGTCCTCTGTTTCATCTAAACTGTCTGCACACTCACTTGAAGACTCATCAAAAATAACATTTATGGACTCCTCAACCTTGAGGGTCCTTTTGTTAAATATTCTATAGGCTCTGCTGTGTGATGAGTAGCCTAAGAATATTGCTTCATCATATTTAGCATCAAATTTACCAAGATTATCATTGGTATTTAACACAAAACACTTGCATCCGAATGGATGGAAGTATTCCAGGTTAGGTCTTCTTTCTTTCTACATTTCACATGGAGTTTTATTCAGTTTGGAACGGATTAATGCTCTGTTGGTTACATAGCAGGTAGTGTTAATTGCCTCTGCCCAAAAGTGCTTGGCTAAACCATAATCATTCAACATTGTTCTGGCTATGTATATCAAGGTTATGTTTTTCTTTTCTGCCACTCCATTCTGCCGAGGAGTTCTAGGAGCTGAAAAATTATGAGAAATGCCACTTTCCTCACAGAAGCAATTGAATTTATCAGAGATAAATTCTCCTCCATGATCACTCCTAATGTTGATAATTTTATATCCCTTTTCATTTTCAAGTTTTCTAGACATAATTCTAAAATTTTCAAATGTTTCATCTTTTGATGCAAGAAACAGAACCCAAGTGAACCTAGAATAGTCATCCACCACAACAAAAACATACTGTTTTCCACCAAGACTTTTGATGTTTGTAGGTCCAAACAGATCCATATGTAACAGTTCTAGAGGTCTTTTAGTTGAAATTACAGACTTGCTTTTGAAGGAAGACCTAGTATGTTTGCCTTTTGCACAAGCTGCACAAAAGAATTCCTTTTTACTGTGAATTTTGGGAATACCTTTGGCTAGTCCAAGGTTTACTAATCTTAACAAAATTCCCACACTCACATGCCCTAGTCTCCTGTGCCATTCCATTTGATCATTTTTATCCACAGTCACCAAACAAGTTTCATTGAACTATGTTTTATCATTTAAATCTATGACAAACAGTTTACCTTTTCTTTTTCCAGTGAACAATATGTGTTTACTTGAATATTTTCAACATAGGTTCAAAAACTACTCGGTTCTCAGTTCCACACATTTGACTTATAGATAACAAATTATGTTTAAGACCTTCAACTAACATGACATTTTTAATTATTGGATTCGATCCTACTTGACCCTTCCCTAGAATGTTTGTGCTATAATTATCACCAAAATAGACTCTGCCTTTCTTTCCTAGGGTAAGTTTTGAAAACAATTCTTGTATACCTGTCATGTGATGTGAGCAGCCGCTGTCCAAGATCCATTCACTTTCATCCATGCTCACTTGGAGACAGACCTGCACAATCATGGTTTTATTTGATCTTTGGTATCCAAACCTGTTTGGATATCTTTAGTTTTATGTCACAGTGTTTCTTTAAATGACCTGAACAACCACAATTATGACATTTTTTGTTTTCTTTTGCAATTCTTCTTCGGCAATTAGCAATATAATGACCTTCCTGATGACAGTAAAAACATTCAACCATTGTCGACTTCCTTCTCTTTGTGACATGATTAGTGTTTGAATTATTTGTGATCCGTTTTCTAAGGCTGGAATGACTCTCCTCACCACACTTGCATTTTTTAGTGTTTTGAACTTCTTTTAGAGCTAGAAGATCAGCTTTAAGTGCTTCATTTTCAAGCAGACACTGTTTTAGTTGACATTCAACATTCAGTTTTTCTCCCTTCAGCCTATCACAGACGCTGTTTATGTGCAGAAATTCATTTTTTAGCCTAGCATGCTTAATTCTAACATTTTCGAATTCTTCTTGAATGTTTTTAATTGTATCAATCATCTCTTCAGTTTCACTATAATTATCAGAATAATAGTCAAGATGACTTACCTGAGGTGATTTGGAGTCATCATCACTCATTCCCAGAGCCATGTAGGCATTGTGCCTTGCTTCATCATCATCTTCTTCTTCTTCACTACAACTCCAGGTTGTAGTGTATGCCTTTTCCTTTTTCATCATCGGGCACTCAGCCTTTATGTGGCCAATTCTTCCACATTTGAAACATCCAGCCTGTGGTGATAGCTTTTCTGATGCAGCTCCTTCTCTTCTCAGTTTTGGCAGTGATCGATTGCGTTTGGTTTGGTCATCTCCTTCTCTAAATCGATTTTTCACCCCTCCTCTTCTCTTCTCTTTCCTCAATCTCAGTAACTTAGCTACGTGTTTACTCAACATAGCTAGTTCTTCATCCTCCATTTCATCAAGACTATCAAGATCTTCTTCCTTAACCGTTGTCTTGAATGCTATGCTCCTTCGTTCTTTCCTGGGTTCTTCAGCTTCTTCTTTCTTCAGCTTTTCTTCATGGGTTATTAGGGATCCCATGAGCTCATCAAGACTGAGTTTAGTGAGGTCTTTTGATTCCACAATTGCAGTGACCTTTGGCGTCCATTTCTTAGGTAGTGCCCATAGCACTTTTCTAACTAGATCACTGCTTTCGTACATGATTCCCAAATTCATCAAACTGTTGACAATCATCGTGAATCTTTCATTCATCTCTCTAACGGATTTTTCAGGCTTCATGACAAACGACTCGAATTCTTGCTTCAAGCTATTGATTCTCGAAATTTTCACATGTGTCGTACCTTCATGAGCTATCTGAAGTTTGTCCCAAATCTCCTTTGTAGATTTGCATCCAGTGACGCGATGATATTCCTCCGGTCCCAGTGCACAGTACAACAGGTTGGTGGCTTTGGAATTCATCTGATAATTCCTTTTGTCTGTGTCTGACCAGTTGCCTCGAACTTCCTTAACCTCCAGTGGTCCATCGAGAATGATATCCCAAAGATCTGGATCAGTGGACCCGATGAAGAGTTCCATTCGATTTCGCCAGTACCCATAGTGCACTCCTTCGAATCTCGGGGGTCTTGTCTGAGAAAATCCATCCGCCATAAAGATCGCTCCGGTGTTTGCGCTTGTACTCATTTCCTCCGAAGGTGATTAAGCCTCTTTCGTCGGAGCCGGGCTCTGATACCACGTGTAGAATGAGTCGAGCGCGAGACCTTAGCAACGATTTCCTCTTCTTCTCGATTGACCCAGACCCTGAGCAACCCTAATTTTGACTTTGACAAGAGCAAGTGAGAAGAATGGGGTAAACTACAGAATGGATCGATACACAAGGTTGAAAGACTTCCCTTTTGTCTTTACCTACACGACACCGAATTGAAGTTGACTGTTAAAGAGAATTGGGCTTGGCTCAATTCCACTTTCGTCAATGATAAGTTGGCCCAATTGATTGTTACCCGAACGCTGCGTTTTAAGAACTTATTGTACCTTCTTTTCTCCTTGGCCAAGTCGATCAACTCTATTACCGAATTTTTACGTGGTATTCGGTGTTAGGTGATTAATGAACCTAACACCGACTAATCCACGGTCGAAGGATCTCTGTCTCGAGATCTTCGACGTTTCACTATGATTTTTCGTTTATCAATCTACAAAGTATCACTGAATTGATCTCAGAGTGACTCCCCGTCACTTGATCAAAGCCACCCTGTAGAGTCTGCTCCCTGCACCTACTCTACCCTGACTTCTCAATTCTGTTACCCGAGTTCTCTCCCTGACAACACTATTCTTTTTCTTTCTCCAACACTTAACCAAAAAACACTCTGTTTTTCTTGCTGAGAATTTCCTGAAAAAGATTGGTTTCTCTACCCAGAATGTCCACTTTTTATCATTCGCTTCAGTCGACCGTTGCTGGCAAATCAATTTGCCTTCCTTGATTGCCTTGATTGATTACTGCATCTGCACTTTCCCTTTTTCTTGATGAACCAGAATCTCCAAGATTACTTGCCCTTCTTGCTTTGCTTGAGAGCTCGATGCCAATGACTAAGCTTCCTTCAACAATCTAGACTAGGATTCACAATATCCAAGTGAGTAGGTAGGATATTCCATAGCTAGGCAAATAAAAACAACAAAAAGGAGAGAAAGAACCATGAAGAGATGACAATCTTCCTTCCTTGTTGCTTGAATCTCCATCGAGAAGAAGAAACCTCCAATCCTCTAGCTTAGGGCAAGCCCAAATTTCCTTCTTCCTTCTTTGAATGGCAATTTCTCTCTAGAATAGGAAGAGAAAACTCTAATCTCTCACTAGAAACCCTCATTCATTCCACACACTAAAAATGTACCAAAAAGCTCTCATCTAGTCATCTTCTTCCTTCTGCTGCAGACTTTATAGTCTGCAGAAATCAACTCAAACACGGGGGTGTTCAGGCCGTGTTCTTTAAAACTCGACGAAATGCTCCGATTTTGCCCGACTTCACGACCTCTTCATTGACTATCATGGTCTGAGTGACCGTGATAATCTTTTGTGCCAGTGAGGCGCACAAAGGCCTTTGGAGCTCAGCTGCTGACACACCCTATGAACACGAGCGTGTGTAGACTGTGTTCGTCTAGTGGAAATAATCTTTCATCTCCTGAAACGCTGTTGTGTCCAAGTAGATGGTGTGGAACACGGTTCGGGAACACAGCCGTGGCCGTGTTCTCTTTGTTTTCTTTATTTCTTGCCATTCTTGCCTCCATTCGTCCCTAAACTCGTCCTCGACCTTCCCACATGTGCTAGGACCTGAAATTATCAACAATAGCACAACCTAGCGTAAAATATGTCAAGGGACGATGAAATGCAAAGTCAAATTATTAAGAATTCAAGGGTAAAATGTGTACAATTAGACCTGTATCAATCATTTTATTAAAATGTTTGTGGCACTAAGTTGAACACAACAGACTATCAATCAGTTGTCTCCCAACATAGTCATACACTCTCAAATTCTCTCATTTGTGCAAAAACAAGGAGATGAATGAATGCCATTCTTTTTTATGTCGCTGCTCAATTTTGTGAATCTTTTAGGGTTAGAATCCTTCTATTTTGGAGGATTAATTAACCACATTTTAGAAGGATAATTATTATTCTTATTAACATACAATATTTCACAAGAATAATTATATCCTTTTTTATTTTAGATAATTTATCAGAACAAATTGTCTCCAAAAACATAACTATTCACATCATCAATAATCCCTCATCCAGTCATTTGAATAGTTTCTAACATTTACCGAGCATCAACATATAGTAAAAGACCAAGCATAAACTTGCACCACAACCGGATCCAGCAAAAGATTCAGTCACTATTTGGTTAGGGTTGGACTCAAGGTTGTTAAACCCCTATCGAACCCCCCGGTTGGACCCGGTTCAACCCGAGTCGGGCTTCAAAACGGCCTCCAGAAAACCCCCCGGTCTGACCCCTAAACAGGGAGAAGAAGAGAGGCAGAAGAGAGGAAAAGGAACGAAGGAAGGGAAATGGTAGGTGGATCATGGAGGTTAGGTAGATTTATTTTGTTGAAAATAAGTTTTTAATAGATATATGTAAGATAAATTTTATTTCACTCATTAAATTTTTAATTACTACTTTATTTGTATATATATTTAGAAAACGTCTAAAACGGCTCAAACCGGCCGGACCCCGATCAGACCATTAAACCTCAAACCCCTTGCTTGACCGGCTCAATGACTTAAACCGGTTTGACAACCTTGGTTGGACTAGAAGTCCCATCAAATTTTTGGATTTCTGATCCAAACAAAATGAATGAAAATTGAAGTTTGGTGGCAGAGATGTGAAGCGTGCTGCCTGCCTGCCTGCTTGTTTTACTGTGTTTTGTGCTTCTTTTAGTTGACTACTCTGAAAAGATTCTCCTCTTCCTCCCACTTTCTGGAAAAGGCAGGCAACGGCAAATCCTGTCCTTTCACCAAGGTTCGGTCAACTTTGTATTGTTCGCGAAAAATGATGAGCTCATTAGTCGGCCCGTACCGGAAAGTTGTGCAACTTATTCGGGTAAGTCCATGGGCGGAGCTCGGCCCATATTTGATTACAGGCTGGGGCGCTGGGCGCATTCAGCGATGTAGGAGCCCAGTTCGGGATTTTCTTAAACCGAGAAAGAATATGCGGAGCCGAAGAAGAGAACGCGCGCGAGAAGCAGCACACGATGATGTTGATTGGGCGGTGGAGGCAGCCCTGCTGCAACGCCTCGTTTCTATGTTCTCTGGGGAATTTCGTCGAACACCTTCCGCTTCCAACTTCCCTATCAGTTCGTCCGACCAGAATCCAGGGGAAATCTGTTTATGCTGTCGGAATTCGCAGCTCTTCCTACTTCGAAGCGTTGAATTCCCGCCAACAGGACCAGATTAGACTCTATGTCGATACTCTTCACCAGTGGAACCAGGTAGGTGATTTCCCACACCTTTATCTGTGTTGGGATGTAGCTTATTTACCTCGCTCTTTGGAGCTTTTAGCGGTTCAGTTTTATTGCAGAAGATGAATCTCACTGCGGTCACGAGCGTCGATGAAGTCATGGAGAGGCATGTGGAGGACTCGCTTGCCCTGATTCCTCCGATAAACCACTCCTACTCTTCAAACTGCAGTGGTTCAGTTGACAGCCTGAGTGTCGTTGATGTTGGCACAGGCCCCGGGCTTCCAGGGTTGATTCTAGCAGCCGCTTGTCCAGGTTTGTCTTTGTTGTTTCCGTGCTTCACCATTTGGGACTAAATTGTTTACTGTGATCTTTGTGTTTCGATGTTGCTGAACTTTGTTGTTGTTGTGGAGAGTAGGCTGGAAAGTAACACTTATGGAATCCATGAAAAAGCGCTGCGATTTCTTGGAGCATGCAGTAGACATCACTGGGTTATCCAATGTTCAAGTGGTGAGGGGTAGAGCTGAGGTATATTTTCCAGTCCCTCTTAGTCTATTAAGAGCTTCTTCGGCATACGTGCACTAGTTGTGTGCGTTTTCATTTTCAGTATGTTGTTAGTGATAGTGATTTATTGGTGTAGGACAGAACTTAGGGCAGGATGTTTCCTTCAGAGAACAGTTTGATGTTGCGGTGGCTAGAGCAGTTGCTGAAATGAGAATTCTAGGTAAATGATATTGTCATTCCATTTGGATATGTGAGTGAGTTTGTAAATCTAAGTTAAGGGTTAAACTTTAGTATGTTGTTTATTTGATGGACAGTGGAGTACTGCCTGCCTCTGGTTCGTGTTGGTGGGCTGTTTGTTGCGGCGAAGGGTCACAATCCAGAAGTATGTTTGCATTCTCTCAATACTTTGTTTTTGTGTGGGATGTTGAGACCAATGTTTCCATATATTGGGTTTGGATTTTGGAAGTGTATGAATACCCTTTGTTTTTTTTGGTAACTATAATAGAAATCTAAGCTCTTGTCACGTACTTCTGAAATCAATTTTAAGTTTCAATGCTATCAAGACAACCAGGCATCATCGGTCTTGGATATTCTTCATCCATCTTAACCATGGGTGGAAATTTTGTTAATATGTTTTATATTTGACCTACACTGGAGCATGTTATGAATAGTTAATCACTAAGATGATCATGTAATGCTGATTTTCCTACATATGGTTGGACATCGACAGGAGGAGGTTAAAAGTGCAGAAAGATCAATGCAACTGATGGGTGGCTCTTTGCTGCAACTGCACCCAGGTATATGTTATTTGTCATCCAGATTACTATCCATTCATGTGCCTTACTCTCTTATTGCTCCAATAGGGAAAGCCACTGCATTATCGTTTTAGGAGTAGGTTGGCTGCATACCCGGGGGAGACCTGGACACAACCAGCCACTGCATTATTCTTTTTTCTTGGGTAGAAGGATTTTTGCACCTCTTGCTTGTGAATGCTCAATGTCAATAAGTATGGAACTAGATCAAGATCACTTGGTCCCCATTCTTAGTAGTTCATGCATTTTCTTTGATTACTGTGGAGAAAGGTGGAAACGTTTTGGTAGAGGTCCCTGTTCCCCCTCAGTTATAGTTTACGCACTGAAGAGTATATTACAATCTTGGATAGTACAGAAAAGTGGAAGTTGTTAGGTTTACATAGTTTCCTTCTGCTGAGGTGCCTCTCCTAAGTGAACATCTTAATACCTACAGTTACAAGAGTAAACATTTCATTAGATCAACAAGGCTGGTAGCATAAGCTGGCATCTGATTGCATAACCTCCTTTACTCTCTTCTGAAATTAGTGTCTGTCCATCAGTCCTTGGCTCCTTGCAGTAAAGTAACATGTTATTATTAACCACATTCAGTGAAATCGCATAGCCCACATGGACAGAGGACTGCTATCATATGCTTAAAGGGTCGCCACACCCCAAAGAAGTACCCACATGAGCCAGGTACACCAGCAAAGTCACCAGTTTGATATCCATTCATATCCTTGTATGACCTTCACACATCTTCTAAAAATTAAAGATGAACAATTGTAGGTTGTATTCTCACGTCTCATCGTTGGGTTCCAGTGAGGAAAAATTGTATTGCAATCATTTTCCATGCTGACTTGTGATAGCATTAGTTATATTTATTTTTGACATATAATTCATTAGTGAATGTGATCTTGAAATTCTTGCAACTTAGCTAGTTGAATATATAAGGAACTAGAACTCTAGTAACTCAATGATCCTAATGCTCCATTATGCAAAGGACTTGTAGTTTAAGGATCTTCAGTGTGAATTGTGAAGCCATCTGTTGTTGCTGATACCTTCTTCTCGGTTCCTTCTTCTCCTTCTTCTATAACCCGAGCTCGGAGAAGGAGCCACATACTAAGTAGCTACTGCATAAAGGCTTTCTAGGGGTTGTATTACGTGAAGCAAATTAGGTACTGATAGTGAATCATTTTCATCTGTGCTTGTCTTTGCTGAAAGTCTAGCTTCCCCGATAAGGTCAAGATCACATGTTTAGTTACTGAAACCCAGCTCCAGCACTGTTTTCCCAGCACTCTTTCTTTCCTGTTAGTTTTATTCTTGGACTTAAAATCTTTTTTTTAGTTCATCCATGAATGCTTTATGCTTACACTTTTAAAGTTGAAAAGTATTGTCCTGGTTGCTGCCTTCATTTACCTACTTGCTTTTATTTAATCTAGACCAAGGAATTGCTTGCCTGCCTTTCTGTTTGGTACTTAAGCTGCATGTGAGACAGGAGCCCCAGAATTGCAGGGGGGTTAGAATTGTATATAGGAGCCTAAACAGGAAGATAATGTTGTTTTCTCACTGATATTTCACCAAGTGGCCAGGTTTCATTTTGTCAAGATTCCTTACATAACCTGATAGTGAAAGGGTTTTGTTTTGAAGCCTTGGTAAGTAGATTGAGTAGGTTAGAATCGTAGTGTTAGTATTGGCATGGAAAGAGGAACTTTACCTAACTCTCCTCCTAATAGGGTTTCTTTTGTTTATTCGAATCAGTAACCTCATTGGTAACCATTGTTCTTTGTTTATTAAGCCTAGCATAGATCCTTTACTACATATCTCTCCCAAAAGGACCCAATGTTTGGGACCATGTTCTCCATTTCCTTGTTATGGCATGACTTTCTGATCTGTATCAGTGTGCCCCAATTATTTTATTTCCCCCTGCCAGCGATAGATGGAGAATGCTTTTTTCCATTTGCCATTTGGTGTCTAAAGGCCAAAGTATAGCTTGCTCCATATTTGTTTTGCTTTGATTGCTCACTTTACAACAGAAAGGTGGCCGGTTTTGCGGTACAGTTGAGCTTTCAGGTAACCCTACTTGAACCACAATAATATCTCATTGAAATATTCTAATATAGATTTCATGCAACAAATTAAATTTTTTCTGTTTATATAATCGTAATTCCTACGGCTACTTTTTGTATGAAGCCCCGACAGTTGCCAGTTTTTACTTGGCCGTGGCGGAGCTAGAATTGTGAATGATGGGTTGATTTAAATTGTTGTAATTGGAGGTTAAAGGATTAGGGCTATTATAATCTTTTGATTTTTATATATATGTGATTTTACATATATTTTAAATTGAAAAGGGGCTACAAACACCTAGCTCCGCCAATATTACACGGTGGTGTGAGTAGGGGTGTACTACAGTCCGGTTTGGACTGAACCAAATGAATGAAACCCGCGGTTTAACAGTGTAAAATAGAAGATCTCCTAGGATCAAGGACGGAAGCAATAGTGTATTCAGTCTGGTCCAATTTTCTTCAATATTTATACAATTTTTGGAGATCAAGGAATGATCACATTGTATTCTATTCGGTATAGTCTTATTCAAGCCTAAGTTTAATTCGATGCACGGTACGGACCAATCACACTACTAGTAGCCCAGTAGTGAGCAAGTTGGGGGGTAAAGTTTGTGCGAAGCTTCCACGGCGCTCCCTGCTCTCCACGTCCGGACAAAGGCCGCAAGTAAACCCACTGAAATGATTTGGTGGGCATAGACTGGCATTTTCAGCAACCAAATTATGTTGTTGTCTAATGAGGCGTTTGAGGTCCCTTTCCTCCACATACGTTTTCTTGTGTAAGCCTATCTTTTTTTGTCATTTGTGAGAATATACTGTTCTTAAGTCCAAGTTTCACACAATGATAGGACGGGCAAAGAAAATGACCCATGCACGGAAAGAATTCTTCTTGAGGGTGATATTTTCTTCAGGAAAATTTCAGGCTTATAATTGGCTGTGTTCTCTAGTCAAGACCCAACAAGGATTTCAATTAGTTGTCTTGCTCTATAATTTAATTTTCGAAAAAAAAAGAAGATTGTTTAGATTCACAGAACCTCTCGCAGTCAAATACCTGATTATGATTGCAACGCTGAATCACCCACACGTTGTCTCAGTGGTGGAGATTCGACGGCTTATAGCATAACATATCCTTGGCACGATAAGTCAGAGCATGCATATAGAAATGCTAATTTTGTGATTGATTGTGCTTTGATGGAATTGAGGTTGAAATCCTCAGATTAATTGACCTAGTGATAATGTATAGAACACAACGTTCATCAAACTCATAATTCTGGCTTTGGCCTAACCATCATTGAAAATCTCATACTCCTTGGTATCCAATTCGCCTTCTACTGCCCTCTAAACAAAATTAGTCTCCCCAAAAGGGACAATCTACACGGAAATTAATAAAAATAAAATAAAGGGAGGAAAAAACCCATGAATCTGAAACTGCAACCAAAGATCCCACCGAAGAAGCAGAGTCTTCTACAAAACAGGGACACTGATCTGCCACACCTTGATATCACAGTCCAACCCTCCACTGTAAACAGAACACGACATATACTCATCGTCCGAACAGTCCACCGCCGCCGTCAAGCACTTCACCGGCTCGGCGTGTCCTTCCAAAACAGCCAAGCAAGCGTACTTCCGATCAACCCCGCCGCCGCCGGCGGCCCTCCACACCCTCACCGTCCTATCCGCCGACCCACTGCACACCAGATCACACACCACAAAAAGGCACAGAATCGACTCAGCGTGCCCCCTCAGCGCTCCGACCACCACCATCTCCCCATCCCCATTCCTCTCCCACACCAGAATCGACCTGTCGCAGGCGCCGGAGTACAGAACAGAGCCGTCTTCGCTGAGAGCCAGAGCATTGACCCCTGAATTGTGCTTCTCCAGCGTCTCCGCCAGCACCAACAAATGCTTCCTCCCACTTCCCGACTCGTCTCTCCTCCACACCTTGATCCGCGTGTCCGCGGATCCCGTGTACACCGTCCCGCCGTCGCGGGACGACACCGCGACGGCGTTGATCGCGTCGTCGTGCGCGCTCGCCAGCGACTCCAGACACCTGAAGTCGCCGGCGGCGCGCCAGACCTTGAGGGTCCTGTCCCACGACACGGAGTACAGGAACTGCTCGTCGTGGGACAGGGCGAGGGCCGCCACCGCGTCCACGTGGTGGACCCACGTGGACGATCTGTGGCGGCGGATTTGGACCTGGTTCCCCGGGGACAGGATTTTGGCCGCGCGGTCGGTCAATGTAGGCAGAGTGGCTATACGCTGGAATTTGTGATTCTGGTGGTCGGAGGAGATTTTCCAGACTCTGATTTTGTGATCCTGGTGGGCGCTGAAGAGCTTGTCGTCGGCGATGGCCATCGATTTCACGGCCCCTTTCCCTTCTGCGACCACGTTGTCATCGCGTTCGAGTACTTGGTCGGAGCAGTGGTGGTGTCGGGGCCAGGAGCGGATTTCTTGGTCGGAGGAGCCGCTGTAGAGGATTTCGCCGGAGACGGTGAGGGAGCAGAGGTAGGAGGTGTGACCCTTGAGGGTGGTTATGAGGGTGTAAGAGGAGTAATGTGGCGGTTGAGGGTTGGTTAGAGAAGGGACTGTGGGGAGGCTGAGCTGTGAAGTGAGGGATGGGTGGCGGTGGGATTCCGATGATGGGTCGTCGTTGATTCTTCCCGAGTGGTGGTGGTGGTGGCCGCCGCCGGGCATGAGTCCCATTTTGATGGAGAAGGAGGAAGGGGGAAATGGGTTTTGGGATATTTAAAGACGGGGGGAAACTGGAAAGTGGACTGTGCTAGTTGTATGGATGTGTTTAAGGGGAAAAGGTGGTTTGGGGAGGTTGGAAGAAAGGGGTTTGGGGAAAAGGTTAGGGAAGAAGAGAATGGAATTGTGTCGACTAGTTGGACAAATTGTGATAGTTGGGGATGAATTGGATCTTTCTATGGACCAACCAAACCAAGCAAGGCAATTTCTTTCTTTTTAGCTCGAGGGTTGGAGATTGCTGAGTAGGAGAAACCAATTCTTGAGAGGTTCTATTCTATTGGGGCTTTGTTTTATGGAATCGGAACAGCGGCTGCACAAGTAGAATGGCAAAATTGGTTGTAATATCGGTTTGGGTTTTTTTTGGACGGTTTGAGATAGACCAAACGGTTTTTAATGGTTAGATATAAAATCATATTGATTATACAAATTTTACTGGTCCACTAGTTTACTGTTTTAATCACCAAAAAATTGTCAAAAAGAAATATTTGAACTTAAAGTAAGACCATTCAACATGAATTACTAATTTTGTTTCTGGTTCATTCCCCCCCTCCCCCAACCTCCTTGTTGGCTTTGTGGTCCACTAGGCATTGTTAGCCTAATTATTAAGATTTATTTTGTGAGATAGTTTGAACGATTTGTTATAAGTTTTGGTGATGAATGCTAGGGATTTGGAAATGTTCATGTTTAGAGTGATAAAATTCAATCATAAATTAGTGTACTACATACGTGTTTTATGTTATAACACATGAATGATTCTATCAAAGGTTGTTTAACGAGTACCTGTTGAACCATAAAACCACTAAATTTTTAAATTCATAGATGGGGGAGCGAATGGGAGAATACGGAGAATCCGTATCTGCTAAACAATATGGTACTTTAACTTGAAGTAAGAGCATCCGGCATGAATTACTAATTCTATTTGTGCTTCATTTTCTTCGCTTCCCAACCTATTGTCGGTTTTGTGTGATCCACTATGGATTGTCAACCTGATTACTAACTTGAATTTAATATAAAATCATAATTCTTTTTTTAGATAGTTTGAATGATTTATTAGAACTTTTTGGTGACGAATGATATATAGATTTAAAAATGTTCATGGTTAGAGTAATAAATTCAATCATAAATTAGTGAATTATATATGTGTTTTATGTTATATAGTAAGAACGATTTTATCAATAGTTAACCAAATGTTCCACAACGGTTTACCGCTGAACCATAAACCAATAAATATTTCCCTGTTTAGCATCTGGTATATGATTATGAAAACAAAGATCAAAAGCTGGAACGAGGGAATATCGAGAAGTCGTAGTTGCTAAACAATATGGTACTTGTCGGTTCAATCAAGAAAAATGACCTATCAATCTAAATCGGTATAGGATTTTACCAATACGAAACATTGTGGCTCCCTTTCATTGGTTGTTTATATTTTCCGGTGCCTTTAGTGGTCGACAGTGCCATCTCTACTCTGAACATTTCTTGCTCTCCTAGAATGGAAAGGATCGATTTCCACTGAAAGCGCCATGTGCCTCCCATTCCCCTCTCTATACCCTAGCCTGAGAATTTCCTCTGTTTTATGAAATTACAGAGTCACCGGCCGGAATTGAGACGCGTGGCGATACCCACCAAAACCAGAAGGCTATTATTTGATTCGGTTTCACTGGGCACAGGCCATTATCAACGTTCCATTCATAGCACGTACGGGTTCTCAGAGATCATGTCAATCTCGTACAAAAATGGTGTCTCGGTGGTTGGTTGCATGTGAATATCGCAGGTGAAAAAAGTGGAGATCCACGGGGGAAGACCTCGTCGTAGTCGTCCACGTGTACCGATTCGGCTGGAGTACTCTTGACATCGATCGTTGCGGTTTCGATGTCTTGACGTGATTGACGGTTATTGGATCATACGTTACGTGTTGAATCGTTACTGCTGGATGTCTGCGATCACAATTGTTTAGAATGTATTATCATCCCACTTATACAGAGACCGTGAAACGGAACGAGAAATGTGCGTTATGGACGGTCGTTATTGAGGATGGACACATCGATATGATTATAGCTTCATTATCAACTTCTCCACACATGGGGAATTTGACATGAAAGCTAGCTAGGGGTTGTTTTCGATGTGTAATTTATATATTGTTGATGATGGTATTTAATTATCGTGCATGTCTTAGTCTTATCATTTGATCCATCACTTGAGTGATTGATCAAAATAGAACTAATTATTGGTTGCGTCTATGTCTGTACACATATAACCATAAATGTTATTCTGATTTCTTTTTCAATTGTAACATTCAACATTCTCTTACCTAAGATATTTTCTGTTTTGAATTTATCCACCACGGTTTTATTTTTTGACGCATGTCAAAGTGGATTTCCGAGAGGTCACTCATCCTTACACTGTTCCACAATAAACACATTTGATTTAAATTTTTTTACAAAAGATAACTTATTCATTTTACCTCAAAACCATGGTTGTCATGCCGGTGGCATGCCACCCGGTTGAACCTGGTTCAACCTGTGCCGGTCATGAAACCGGCATGACACCACCGGTATGACCGGTATGATCGACTTACGCATTCTAAGTAAAATGACATCATTTTAATGAATTTAATGAATAAAAATAATAATTTATTATTCATTTTATGAATGTAATAGTTAAAAGTTGATGATATTTGTTGGATTGTAACTAAATTGCCCACAAATATGTTTTATATATGATTACATACATTGGATATTAATTGTTTTCACATTTTTTTAGACCGGCATGAACCGACACAAACTGGTTATACCACCGGTCGTACCATTCCAATTGCCAAACCGGCACAACGGTGTAAACCGGTTTGACAACCTTGCTCAAAACACACGTATTGTCAGTTAAAATTGAATGTTTCTTATAAATTATAGATTTCTTTCGTACTTTTCTTTATGTAAAATTTACATAAATTCTTTCATTTTTTCTTCCCCCCCCCCCCCCCCCAATTCCACCTTTTTATTTATTATTGAAAGTGACCTTTAATTTTATTTTAATCCGTGGAAAAGCAACCTTTTATTTTCTACCTACATACCTTTTTATGGCACCTATATAAATATATTTCACAAATGGGGTGAGTCTGATTTCAGCCAAATATGGGTGAAGATAATGGGAAATGATGCTTAGGGTGGTAATTAAGAAACTAAACCAGCAATAGCTAATCGATATGTCTATATCATTAGAGTGTCATGTGCTTCACAATTATTGCATACTTCTTTTGCAAATCCTAACAAAATATATATTTTTAAATATTACAAGTGGGTTTTCTTTTCTCCCTGCCACTTTGGTAAAACCGCTTTTTCTTGGAGTTGAACGTTCTTTCAATACATTCCACCACAAAATTTAAAATTTGCAGGACAAAAAAAAAAAAAAAAAAACCAAGTTGGACATTATATATTGGTAATTTGTCTATAAACAAAATTGATTAACAACTAAATAGGACTATTATAAGTTGTCACAAATTAACTATCACATCTCATCGAGTAATTCTTAAAGACTATAATCACTATAATAAGACGAAGCCTTGATCAAGTGGGACGATTTCTTTTATCACTAATCTACATAGGAGAAACTACTTATAATAATTATACATGTATAAGTTTAGTATTTTTTTTTTAGCGTGGAAAATGAAACCATCAAATAGTGAATACTATAGGATTGAATGGGCAGCCAATCAATATATGCTCATAAACTGAAATTTGAAATATAATTTGTGAAATTAACGTGTCGAAAACATAGACAATATTCCTTAATATATCGAACCACAAGTCATCTCACATTCCATTTGTAACGATGTTAATGTTTATGCTCAAACTAACAAGAATTGGTGTATAAACAACATCAAAAGATTTGAGTATATTTATATATATCCTGTATAAGATTTTTAGCAAGTTTTTCGCCACGAACCAGGAGTTCGACAACCTTACCTTGATATTAAAAATCAGTCTAATGAGCGTACTAATTAAACATGTGACATGCACAAGTTCCCAAACGAAACAACAAATGAAACACAGTCTATGGTCAATTATCTAATTAAGAATAATCTGATTCGTAATCAGCGGGGGCCTCGCAATTACCCTGTCGGACAAACTAAACTAAGCCAAAACACTGGCCAGAAAGGTGGATAAAAAAAATTAAAAAAGGAGGGCTACTAACCACTCACTTCAGCTGCTACTTATGGACTTAACAACCCCTCTTATATATAAAGATTAAAGAATCCAACGTATCAATGGCTCGATCGGAAGAACTGTCAAATGAGATATGATAGCGGTTCACTTGTTTCGACAGTTAGGAATGAGTCGAAAGGTCTTTAATAGTTGAACATGGAACAAGAGGAATCACTCTGTTTTGATTGATCCACTATTTTGACCACACTAACAATAGTAAGTAATGCAACCTTAATTACTAATATTATTAGTTATGCTTCATCTTCTTCAAAATTCTTACTCTAATTTCGCCGCGGAAAGCCTTCGCCATTTAATAAGTAATGACATATATCTCAGTCGCGGATGCTCAGTCGCAGGTGCTAGAAATAGATTACGAATAATTTTATTATTATTTATTGCTTTTTTTTTTTTGTTGTTCTAGTATATTTCTTAGTGTAATTTTGTTTTCTAGGAGTCTACTTTTTCTTATTTGTTGCATCTCGAATTGGAATCACCTACAGAGGAGATAGATTGAACCCAGGAGGGGCTACAACTCTCCTCACGTTTGAAATATAGATAAAATTCCATGTAAAATTCGTAAGAAATTTAGGAAATAGAGTAGTCGATAACGTCTTAGTCCTCTCCCCCAATTATCATGATTCAAATCAGTCTCATTCGAATTTCTTACTTCGCCACTGATCACCTATTATATATGTTCATTCCGAGCGATCCAATACTTGCATTCATCAGAATAATGGGAACTTGTTGTTGACCGCATTGCTCGAAAGGAAGAACTAGTAATTGGGCCCGGCCCGTTGGCCGGTGGAGTTTTCCCTCAGCATTCTAGCTCACCATTACTTACTTGGTGTAAGTTGAGTACTTTAAGCTCATAATGGTGACCCAACTGTAAGTAATAATATTTGTGTGATACAAAAAGTAAATACCTATATATAAAAAATACAATGACTAAATAATATATTTCATATATTTAATAATGGCATAAGTCTATATGTGAGTTTTTATTAAAAGGGAATATTATCAGCTACCATGAGTAATGAAATTATCTTTTATTAACAAATAACAATCCTGCATCCAATTGTTGTATTTAAAACAAATCATGATCTATTTATCTTACTAACTCATTATAGTTAATTGAATCCTAGAAAATACAGGAAATACAAAGTCATTATGTTAAAGATACCTACCGAGCATTACCAAAAAAAAAAAATTAGATTACCTGCCGAGCTAGTTGACAAAATAAAGCCAATATTCTTCGATTGCCTATGCAACCAAATCAAGACCTAAAAACCTTGAAAGCATTGTCATCCACTGTGGAAAAATGAAAGACTAAACACTCCTAATTCTCATACCCGATTCTCTGAAATCATTCAATTAAATCCAATCAAAGATGATTAGTACCAAAACTGAAATTCAAACTTACATGACTTGTAACCGAATGAGAGCAAACCATTTAAATAAGACCCAAAGAAAATATGGTCATGAAGCCCATTGATCTAGGAAGAAAAAACATACTGTCACAACTCACATATGCTATCAAAATCTTTTAAATCTAGCTTCATATCTGGCTTCATCCCATATAATCTTGAGTTAATTTTGATTGTATTTGGCCTCCCCCCCCCCCCCCCCCACATCTTGAGGTATTTGGAGAGTGCTCAAGCGTGTGATCTTCATTCCGGGACACAACCTGACAATATGGAAGCCATCATCGAAAGTTGGTCAGTTAAAGCACAATCATACTTGGATTTCTAAGTTCTTTCTTCATACTTTCTACTGGAGTATGTGCTGGAAAGAAATAACAGAGCATTTTAGAATATTTGCAAACCCAATTTCTCACTGCTTGGAGGATTGGACAAACTGTGATTGATTGGATCTTACCCCCACTAAAAAGTGGACGTCAGGACTTGGCTTTGGCTTTGGCTCATTAACCTGCAAGGCTGCAACACAACATTTTGAGTATGGATTCATTGCGAATTGAAAATCAGCCTGCTGCTGCCGCTATCCTGCTTCATGTAATCTTCCTCCTCCTCCTGCTACTGTTCTTCGTTTTTCGTTCCCATCTTGGTGAAGGTCACTCACCCCGCTTCCCTTTGTAATCTTTTTTGGTCTCGCTCGTACTTGTTCCATCTCATAGTTTTATGTGTATCCCCCTCTGTGTACTTCTTCCCTTTGTGCCCTACACAGCCTATGAATTGCCTGTTGGCCTCTTGCTTCTTGACTGCAGATTTTGTCTCTTATATTGCTTCACTTCCATTGAAAAACAATATTACTGCTGCCGATTTCTGGCAAACAAATAAATGACTAATAGCAAGAGGAAGATAGATATAAGGGAAACAACGATAGGACAATAACGGAATGAATCAGCTAACTCGCTGAGGCTAACTAATGATTTACGCCAAGGCTAACTGCTGCATTATGAAATCATTATTGGACCAAATCCCACATGAAACGAATTGAACAGACATGAATTGGATTGCATGTCCACTGGGAAAGAAAACATAGACGAAATAAAAAACGGGAGGAGAAATCCCATGTCCAGGCTCCGCAAAAGCCCATAGCAACATATCAAGGGGAACTTACAAAGACAGGCAGATTGGTCCGATTTCATGGCTGTGGTGAGACGCTGCAGAGGGCGCCGTGAAGGGGTAAAGATGGGATTGGGATTGAATAGGAATAGATTGAAGGCGGAAAGAGTGAGGGGGAGTCGAAGAAATTTTTCACCTAGAAACGTCTTTGGAGACGAAACAAAGGGATCGTCTGAGTTAGTCGACGGTCGTTGGATAGTTGTAGAGGAATGTAAGATTGCTTCGATAATGCGACAATGAGGTTCGGTGGGCAGTCGCACTCGTAACTTGTCGACCCTGCCATGCGAGATAGACGGGCAAGAGCGAGAAAGAGGCGGTGGGAATTCTTCAGAGAGAGAGAGAGGGAGAGCGACAACAATTGATTCCCAGAGGTTTTGGGAGACACAAACAGACGGCGAGACAGAGTGAGAGGAGGGTGAGTTCTCCTGGAGCGCTCGGCGAGAAACATCGATGAAGTAGAGAGAGCAAACGGAGATTCCAGAATCTGAATCATGTCAACCCACGGATGGTTGGAGCTGTAATGGGCAGGGGACAGGGTGAAATTTGAGGGTGGAGTAAAAGAACTGAGGATTGAGGAATTGGCAAGGGTTCGTTTGGGAGATAGCAACGCTGAGATTTCCGGGAGGAGATGGAAGACAACCCCCGAAGAAGAAAGCAATTTGTGAAGTTACCGGAAAGTCCTTCCGCACTATGCGGTTTATTGGGCAACGGCTGGCGTGGCAAATTGCTTTTTTTGACATCGTCTTATAGTAATTTGTAGATGTTTGGTCGAAGTTGTAAAGCAAAACTTGATTGATTGATTATATATAGAAGAAGGTTGTGCTCTTTTTCTTTATTGAATGTGTAGGCATTCACACTTTGGTGTTTGTTTCAAAAATCAGTAGCAAACTAACAAGGCAGAGAGGGCATATGTTTCAGAATTCTATGGAAACTAATTGCACTTTACTTATTTTGTTTCACATTTTATTATGATTATTTTGTTTAAAACTAATAATTATATCAGGCGTAGTTTGTATTATTTTCTTCGTGATGAGAATATATAATGAAGCTTAATGGATCAGGTTGGGTGTGCTTTTTACCAGAAACATGATGTATTGTAACAATTATTGCAAGTCGATCAAAGCTTCCAACCTGCCACGTGCTATGGTGATGGGAGCATTATATTTGCGGATCATTTTTCTATTGATGATAATGGAGAATATACAATTGTGTAAACCCAATATTTGACTTAAAAGTGCATTGTATAGTTAGAAAGAATTAAGTGGGACTTTATAAAACTAAATCAGCATTAACAATTGAATGATTTAAGTCGAGTATTTGAGTGATAAAATTTTTGGGTCTGATGATTAAAATGCCCTGTTTATCACATCTAAGTGGCTAGCTCACCCGATTTGGCGGGGTGGTCACTTGACAGGGTTAGCCTTGCATGGAGCCTAGCCAACAAGACTAAGCAGGGAGGTGAGTGGCAAGGAGACTAAATATAGAGCATAGGCCGTGAGGATTTCATCAATGAGGCGGGATGGCTCGTTGCTAAGGCCATCAAGATCGGCAAGGAATTATGAAGCTGAGACATGACCCTAATAGACAAGGCCAACGACGAGGCGTTAACAAGTCACCACAATGCTTGGAAGAGCAGTTATCAAGCCAACACTTCTCCATGAAGCCATGATGATTGATATCATGTCAAGATTCATTTTTTCCCCTTCTTCCCTCTGCTATATTCTCATCCGGATTAACGAAGGTGTTGAAGATAGATAGAAGAGGCCAAACTCAGTGGATTAGCTAGATAGGACTTGTTAACCGAAAGGGAGCATATAAACATGGATGGGATAGGACAGTTGAAGTACTGTTGCTTAAAATGAGGCAAAAGTCTTGAGAACAATCGAACATCTCTAGGTACCCCTATCAAATTATTAGGTTCTTTTAATTTTGTTGAAATTGGCTGGTGTGTGTTTGCACTTTGCACTTGCATGCATCATCATGTGCTTTTATTAATTTGGTTGGTTGGCCACTTACCTTATTTTGGTTGCAATCACACATCCCACTTTGATAACCCCAAATCTTACCCATATCCTTCTTTGCCTAAATTGGTCCCATTTCTAGGAGGGACATGACATTGATATACATGCACTATATGCTTTTCAGTTTATGGTTCCACGAAGGAAAATCATGCATTTCGTCTCTCGCACGACTCGGGCCATGATTCATATTTCGTCCGAGGTGATTGAGTGTATGGGAACAATTGTGTCAGGTCAATAAGGGTGTGACCCTAATATGGATTTTGAAGCCGGCGGATGAGATGAAACGAATATAGCGGCATTGGCTCCTCTTGTTACTTAAGAGTGTCGAATTGGAGCCAAAGACAATGTACAACTTTGAGGTAACGGTGAGTACTACCCATACGTCTTCTCCTGTCACTGGTACCGACGTTCTGAGTTTTGTTGAAGCAGTTCATGGGTCATTAGCTTATACGCCAAAAGCGCATGCAAAGTATTCCAAAGAGTTAAGACAAATTTATTCAGATAATTTGTCCTATCACAATATCCAATTCAACGTCATGCTTTCCCATGTCAATGAAATCCTCTATCCTTCAATCCTTGATACGATTTTCCACCTCGAGTTAAGTATTGAAGAGTGTCATCTTAAGAATCAAATAGTGGAAACCAATAGACCAACCATCTAACCCCAATTCCTCGACTAGGTTATCCAAACGGTTCTCATGTTTGGTGATTAAGGAGTCTAAGAATCTATTTCTAGACAATCTCCATATTCCAACAAATTTCTAAACTTAGGACGCGCTTCCTAACTTCAGACCGATGACAATCAAACACAAAAAAAAAACAATAATTTATCTTAAATACCCCAGCTACTTGTCTTAAATTATAAAGTCTAGAACCCTAGAACCAGTTCCACCAATTCAAACAAAGAGGAGTTCACTTGTAATCGAAGGTTGAGACATAATAACAATAAAAAAATGGAGAAACTTATTTTGGATAGAAATCGCCTTGCTATTGAGCTCTAAACCAATCAAATTGGGCCTCTTAACTACGAAACCAGTCTCATTTGATCCTCTGCTGTGGAATGCACTGAAAAGTCCACTGTGAGCGAATCAGTAGCGGTTTCCAGCCCAAGTAAGAAAGCCCGCATCACGGAGCCACGGCCCAAATCGCACTACGCCCCACCAGCCCAACAACCCGCGGAAAACGACACAGCGCTTCATTTCAAATCCAGTAAACAAAGCCGTAAATAAGGAAACACGAGAGACGCACGCCTTTCCCCCACTTCATCAATTCAACTCTTTTCTGACCATTTTCTGCCTCGCCGGCAACCGGCGCTTCTTTTGTCTCTTTCTCTTCCCAGCATCTGCTGACCTCAACGATTCCCAACTCTCCCCTCATAATGTCAATTCCCTTCGTACACCAGACCACCTCCTTCCCTCACTCCTCTTTCCTTCTCTTCAGTCCTTTGCTATGGCCACTTCTCCTTCATCGCAGCCTCCGCTGCGGCTGCTGCTTCCGGCAATCTCCGTCCTGCTCCTGTCTTGTATCTTCTCCTCGAGTGAATCGGCGACGGTCGGCGTCGGTTCCATTTCGCGCCTCCTCGAAACTCAGGATCGCGAGCGAGCTCCTCCTTCGGTACAGGTAGCTGCCGCTCGAGGTGTTCTGCGTCGGCTGCTTCCTTCTCACTCTTCCAGCTTCGACTTTCGAATTGTCTCCAAGGTTTTAATGTTTCTACTTTCTTCTCTCTTCAGTGTGATTGATTCTCTTGTCGAATGATCTGTGAGAGCTAGCTTTCAGTTTACTTGATTGGACGCTTCCGTGATCAATTCGTTTAATTTGGTGTTCAGGAGCAATGTGGAGGCGAGTCCTGCTTCATTATCTCGAACCATCCGAATTCCGCTGGACCTGGCACTCCAGAGATACTGTACGTGAGATTGTGGTTGAATTGTTCAGTAATTTATTTACCTACAGAATGATGTTGTATAATCGTTGGTGCTTGGAGGCCTGAATTCTTCATTTCCGCCAGGATTTCTGGGGCCACCGGAGTGGAAATGGTGGCTGGTTTGCATTGGTATTTGAAGTACTGGTGTGGCGCGCACTTATCTTGGGCTAAGACTGGCGGTGACCAACTGAATTCAGTGCCTCAGCCGGGCTACCTTCCGCGTGTTCAAGATGATGGCGTCTTGGTTCAGCGACCAGTTCCATGGAATTATTACCAGAATGCTGTTAGCTCTAGCTGTAGGTTCCTCATTGGTGTCTGCTGATGCCCTGTGTTCGAAGGGTTTTTTTTCTTTTTCTTTTCTTCTTTGTTTGCTGGAGAACTTCTTTTGGCTGATGTCAGTTGAATCTGCATGTTGGTATCCTTTTGCTTTGTAGATACTTTTGCGTGGTGGGACTGGAAAAGATGGGAGAAAGAAATTGATTGGATGGCTCTCCAAGGCATCAACCTACCATTAGCATTTACTGGCCAAGAAGCTATTTGGCAAAGAGTTTTCCAGGTCCTTGCTCCCCTGCTGTCCTATGTTTCTTCAGTATGAGCTTGGTTCAGGCTTCGAGTTTCAGTTCTAGCTTATAGTTTACACTCAACTTGCATCAGAAAATAGATGATTTTTCTATGAAAAATCATGTTGGTCTCCATAAGCTTTATCTGGAAACTACTCCATGTTTGATGTTCCTAGGTAAAGAAAAAGGAGAATAGCATGAGGAAGTTGGACCTAGTTTGATCTGCAAACTAATTCATGCTTCTTCACTGTGTAAACTCTTGTGTGTGGTAGTCTTATTTTTGCCTTTACATTCAGCAGAAGTTCAATATCACCAAAGCTGGTTTGGATGATTTTTTTGGTGGCCCAGCATTTCTTGCATGGTCACGGATGGCAAATCTCCATGGGTTAGCTATCACACCTTTCCTATTGTTTGGAATATTTCAGAACCTGTCTGTGCCTCTTTAGGCAATATGTTTTTCTATTTTCATTCTCAGGTCTGATACAAACCTGTTTGTATTGCAGATGGGGTGGACCACTACCACAAAGTTGGCTGGACCAACAATTAGTGATGCAGAAGAAAATCCTTGAAAGAATGTATGAACTTGGAATGACTCCTGGTAAGAAGTTTGGTAGTTCTTCTGCATAATGTGATATGAAGACATTGTCTAGGCTTGGGGAAGGATTACATGTTAATCTTTGTTATATTTATTTCCAACCTCGACTATTTGCTCTATAGGTTCGCTACTCCTTTTTTGTTTAATCGAGTAGTTATGTTAAAAATGACTCAATTTGAGGGAGGACTAAGTCATTTTAGACCAGTTTTAAACTACACTACAAATAGTGGCTTGGACTAACCAATTTCACAAGATACTCTGGCTGGATTTCCTACTCTTACTGCTGTGTATGTCTACAAATGGTAGTGTATCTCATGCCTGTACCCTATTGGTGATATCTTAAGCAAAATGCTAATTTGTGTTGACATCATGATTGGGGTTGAAAAGGTTGGACCTATTTTGGTCGTCTTCCCGAGTCTTGTTCACTAACCTCTGTGGGAACAACGGTTCCCATGGGTAAATATGGTATGCAGTCCTCCCAGCCTTTTCTGGAAATGTTCCTGCTGCTTTGATAGATCTATTTCCATCAGCAAAGATAATGCGCTTGGGGAATTGGTATGTTCGGTAACACTCTAGTTCCGATACTGGATTCATGGTTTCCTTAGGAGAAATTGCAATCTCAGTTCTTAAAACCTGTCCTAGGTTTTCTGTTGAGAGCAACCCAAAATGGTGCTGTACATATCTTCTTGATGCAACGGATCCCTTGTTTGTTGAGATTGGAAGGGCATTCATCGAGGAGCAAATAGAAGGTGTTTATCTAATCCGTGAGCTGGTCCGATCATTCTTCTTTATAGAATCAAGCATGGAACTTTTCTCTTATTTTGTATGACGGTCGAAAGTTTTTTCTGTTCAGTGTATGGAAGAACAAGCCACATATACAACTGGTGAGATTTAACATTTTTATCCTGACAACTTACATTGAGAAGATTATTTTCCTTGCAGTTTATTGGTGAAGAGTTTTGTGCATGAATTGGCTTATCTTTGTTGTTGTTTTATTGTTTACTTTTTGCTTTCTCTTTACACGAGTACCTTTTTTTAGGTTAAAAGTACTCATCTCCACTGGTCTGTTGAATCATTTACAGTGACAACTTTGATGAGAATACTCCGCCTGTTGATGACCCTGAGTACATCTCTTCACTAGGTGCAGCAACCTTTAAGGGAATGCAAAGTGGGGACAGTGATGCCGTCTGGCTGATGCAGGTGATGCAACAAGAGTGTTAGTTGTCCAGCTATAATGGCTTATCAGAAGATTGAGTTACATATATCTATAATAAGTTAACAGTGCATGTCAGTCAAAAGGCAGTTCCTTTAGGTCCTTGTTTGCTGGATGGCTGGATTTTCAGATGGCAGTTTGTCTTCCTGGACATGAACTTCCATTTGGTTTGACTTTATATATGTTGCTTCACTTGCAGGGTTGGCTGTTCGCTTATGATCCATTCTGGAAGCCCCCACAAATGAAGGTTGTTCTCATTATATTTGCATTTTCGTTTATGTCCTTGAACTACTTAAATGTTATATATCATCAGCATTGTGGTTTTTTTCTTGTAGCAGTATATAGATACACATTGGTGCTTTAAAGAAAGTTGTCCTAGAACCTTTTTGTTTTGATTTGAATGCTCAAATGAAACCTATATGATCTATACTTTTGCAGGCACTTCTACATTCAGTACCCCTTGGGCGGCTCGTAGTTCTTGATTTGTATGCTGAAGTGAAACCTATATGGAGTATTTCAGAGCAATTCTATGGTGTTCCTTACATTTGGTAAGTACCTATTCTCTTGAAGCTGTTTTTCAAGTCAATTATGTGTTACATTAGCTGCAAATATATCTGTTAACAAGTCATTAAAGGATGGTTTTCCCCTTTTCTCTGTCTCACCTACATTCACATCTTGCACTCTGGTTTCCAGGTGTATGCTACATAACTTTGCTGGAAATGTAGAGATGTACGGCCTGTTGGACTCTGTAGCTTCTGGACCAATTGAAGCTCGTCAAAGTGAAAATTCAACGATGGCAAGTGCACACTCTCAATTAATGCTCCCTCTAACTGAAAAACGTAGCATGGTTGATATGGGTCATAATTGTCATCTATCATCAGATCAATTGCTTTGCTCCAAAATTTCAAAACAGTTAAGTACTATTACTGAAAGCACTCGTGCAGTCTAAATTTGATTGCAAGTGATATGTGAACATTATTAGTCATTGGAAGGACTTGGAGAGTCAAGTGCAACATCCTCTGGCAGCAAGTTCGCAACTGCTCTACTGAAAAAAATATTGTATCTGCCAGGATGAGATTGAAAGCTCCAAGTAATTGAGTTTTTTCTTTTTCTAGCTTTATCGTTAAATCATATGGGATTAGATGTTGCTGTGGATGTCCCAAACTTCTGCAGTTTTGTCAAACACCAACGTCTTGTCATTGCTGTTGTAATCAATTATTTTGGCGTTTCAGCTAATTACTTTTTTGTTCTTGTTGCTATTTGAAGGTTGGTGTTGGAATGTCGATGGAAGGTATAGAACAAAATCCTATTGTTTACGATCTCATGTCTGAAATGGCATTTCAGCATAAAAAGGTTGATGTGAAGGTAATGTCATACCTGTAGTATGTGCGTTATGAAGAATCAGTTTGAGGTTTTCCCTGTTAAATTTATGATGATGAGCTTTCTCTTTTCTAGGCTTGGATTGATCTATATTCTACAAGACGGTATGGCAAATCAGTCCCTCTAGTACAAGATGCATGGAATATATTATATCACACTGTTTACAACTGCACCGATGGTGCCTATGTAAGTCACCAACTTGTTCCATGAGAAATGAAACAATCTACCCTGTTTTCTTCTAAATATATTTGCTTCCTCAATTTATGTAACACCTCGACCAAATGTGCAGGACAAAAATAGGGATGTAATCGTGGCATTTCCTGATGTGGATCCATCCTTCATCTCGACATCACTGGAGAGTTACCAGAACAATGACAAGCCGACACTAAGAAGATCTATCTTACAGCAGGATTCTGGTTCATACGAGCGGCCCCACCTTTGGTATACACCTTCAGAAGTTATAAGTGCCCTGGAACTTTTCATCAGATGTGGTGATGAATTATCCGGAAGTAATACCTACAGGTCAGCCTACCTCTTGGACTCTCAGAAGCTTGGTTCGTGCATACTATACAGTCTTGCTTAAAAACCGTCTCGAGATGTGTTTTTTTTGCACACTAAATTGTAGGTACGACCTAGTTGACTTGACAAGGCAAGCTTTGGCAAAGTACGCGAATGAGCTGTTTCTAAAGATCACGAAATCCTACAAATTAAAGGATTTCAATGGAGTTGCATTGCACTCCCGTAAGTTTGTGGGACTTGTGGAAGACCTGGATTCCCTGTTGTCATGCCACGAAGGGTTTCTTCTTGGGCCTTGGTTAGAGGATGCAAAGCAGCTTGCAATGGACGAAGAACAAGCGAAACAAGTGAGGAATCCCTTTCAAATGCATATTAATCACTATGTACTGTTGTGCCTTAACAATTCATCCCAACTCGTCCCGGTTTGCAGTTTGAATGGAATGCAAGGACTCAAATAACTATGTGGTATGACAACACCGACTACGAAGCAAGCCTTCTTCGCGACTATGGTAAAAATCGACAAATGTTTATCCAGTCTGTAACTTCTACGGTCAGTTGAGCTCTCGCGTAACCTGGGGTTACTTATAATGTAGGGAACAAGTACTGGAGTGGGCTCCTGCGAGACTACTACGGGCCACGAGCAGCTATTTATTTCAAGTACTTGTTAGAGAGCTTGGAGAACGAGCACAGCTTCCGGTTGAAGGACTGGAGGAGGGAGTGGATAAAGCTGACGAATGAGTGGCAGAATAGCCGGGGTAAGTTCCCCGTCGGAAGTAATGGAGATGCTGTCTACTTGTCGCGGCGGCTTTACGAGAAGTACCTGAAGAATCACTCCGGCGGTGTGGCACTGTGAGCACTCTTGAGTTAGTTTTGTTCCTAAATGGTGTATAATTTCCAGATACTGGTGGTATTGAACATGATACAAGAATGGTCATGTCTTGGCTGAGAGAAAGCTATGCCCTACTTCTTTGTTCCTAAACCAACCTTGATTCATAGCTAACGAAGTGTTTGTGGACTGTGGTTAAGCTGCGGTAGGCTTCCCATATTCTTATCAAGGACCAATCCACCATGTCAAGCCAAGGGACTCTCTTAAGGTGCTCACACGTTCCACTAGGGTAGCAAATAAATTAGATTCATAGATTCGTGGATTGCATTGATAGACGTGGAGCTAATTTAGAGTCCATCGAAACTTCGTGGATTGCATTGATAGACGTGGAGCTAATTTAGAGTCCATCGAAACTTCTGAAAGTTACGTATAAACTTGATATGATCTTTGCACATTACGTTCATCCGAAAGAAATTTTTACTACATTACTTCGTGTGCAAAAAGAGAGATACAAAGTGTGAATAGTCTAGCGGGAATTGTGGTGATCTAATCTCTATTAAACATAGTTTTGAATCCCAGTGTTCAGTCGTGTAGTTAGGATTTCGTCTAAGGTGGGTCCACTTAAAAGAAAAATATACTTGAATTTTTTTTGTCAACTTTTCTAGTCATTAATGATATAATCTTATATAGGAAAATCTTGGTAAATTAAAATACATTAGCAGTCGAAACTATCAAGAATATCACTTTGTGCACCAAACAATTATTAATGATTTAGTTGGCCATTCTTTTTCGATTGTGCTTTGTTAATAACTGTTTAGTAGCAATAACTCAATCTGTTGAAAGAAGTTTAATAATAAATCTTACACAAAATAATAATTCATGATTTAGTTAGTCGTCCGCTTTCGAATTGTGTTCTTTGTTAAAAACCATTTAATATCAATAACTCGGGTTGTTGGGAGATGTTCAGTAATATATCTTATACCATTTACTAGCATGCTCCCTCATAACAAAGCCAGCTTATACGAAATTGAATGTTTCCCAAATGAGAATATCTGTGTGGTTAAGAAATGAGATCGCCAAGATCCGAACACAAGACTTTTCAATAAGCTATTCTCAATTAGGCACCCCCTAATTTATAATATCTACCAATTTAACCATTTTCCTTCTAAACCAGGGGTTCGGGGCCACCCTATTATACTCCCCCTCCGCCACTGCCAGTGTTAGCTACTTTGTTTTTTTTTTTCAGTTTTACTTAGACATAAAAGTGTAAGTTAGCTGGCAGATTTTAGATTTTTATTTTAGAAAATCTTTGAATTACAGTAACTAATTGCTTAGATTTTCATTTTCAAAATTTTGACTACCATTTTTGCTATATAATAATTAAATTATACTTAGTGGGTTTTTTTTACTGCTATAAAATTGTTAAAAACATGTTAGCGATTGAAATGTATTATTGATTTTTAAAAGCGGGGGTTTCTAGAATTAAATTTTAGTGTAAGCATGTGCCAACACAACCATAGCCAAATTCCTTACGTTCGTTGGGGTTATTGGAGTTCTGGAAGCGGGGGTTTTATATAATTTGAAGACGCCAATTCATGAGGGGGATTCTCATTCTATGGCTCTATGCTTATTCTAGAAGTGGACTTTCTTGTTGTACATAATCCAATAATTTTGCATGACAACTCCATGATCCTATGGCATGGTAACAATTAATGGTTGAAAAATGTGACCGTATAAAATTTGTAAATATTCATATTTGATGAATTAAATTGCTAACTGAATTCATATTTATTTTTAAAATAAATTTATTTTATATATTCTATAGTTATTAACGTATTATTAAACGTATCATTAATTTAAATCGTACATGGAGAATTTATCTTCCGGCAAACATTCTTCAATAGGGGGAGGGATCCTACGTGTGTTTTGTCTAAACTTTTCTATGAGCTTTTGTTGTTGTCCTTTTGTTTTAATATTCGGGACAAATACACGTAGGGTTCGTTTGGAGAATATGAGTTTAAATTTATAGATTGTCAACAATCTAAAGATTTTAACTCTTTGGATTGTTGAATATAGATTTTGAAATGTTTATTGTTTGGTAATTGTGATTGTAAACATTCAATGGAAATAATTTTTTTAATTTTATATTAAATAGCATGTTTATACTTAATAAAAAATTAGAGTGGTTCGAAAAATATTAAAAAATTTGTTGATAAAAGTATTTAATATGATAAATAAGTAAAAGAAAGAGAAAATGAAGGAGACAAAAAAAAAATATCACGAATCAAGATATATAATCTCTCTGATTACGAGAGATTTGATATCCGTAGATTTTAGAGATTTGAAATCTTTAAAGCTAAAATTCACAATACAAAAAATATAAGTTTTTACAAAATCTATGAATTCAATTAATCCACGCCGTAAATTTTGTTCTCCAAACAATACCAGGATTCTTCCCAATAAATTAAAACAATGGTTGGGATTTCTAGTTTTTGTAATTATTGACCAGGAAAAAAGAAACAAACTCTATTCGCCCCCTTCTAGTTATAGATAGGGGAAAATACGTACGAAGACTCAACCAACGCGCATGCAATGCAAAGCAAAAGCATATTCGAACCAATTGGCGGCATTGATGATTCGTTATTTTCATTTAAAACGTTTCGATTAAAAGAAGCTTTGATTTCCATCTTTCCGTTATAATAGTTTCGAGTTTGATTGTCAGGCCATTGCCACGAAGTTTCCGAGACCGGCAGAATCCGCCGCGTCGGCGGTCACACGGCGACGGTCGCCGCCTCAGCACCAGCCTTGTCACCGCTTACGGAGGGAATTTCCTTGCCGTCCCCGTTTTACCCAGCTAACATAGATATAATAATAATAATTATTATTAAGATATATAACAACATATGACTTGTGGATTGCCACCGGCGAGGCACTATATTTTCCCATATTTTGACCAACATTTTAGATGCTTCTAGAATCCAGTCGATTCCCCGCAAGTTTACACTTTTGCCCCTCGTGTTCTATTTCTCCTTTGCTACGGATACTTCCACTCATTTGCTCAACAGCCATGTCTCGACTCGGCCCCGACCTCCCTAGTGAAATAGCGTGGTCCGCTACTTTACTCCTCTGCGCAGTGACCTCCCAAGCGAGGATCTTTTGCGTCAACTTACTAGGGGATTCCTCAATGGCTGAAAAGACATAATCATTTCTCGAGCGCTATAAGAACCAGCACGTGAGGCCGAACCGTACCTGGTGGTTATGGCTGCGCAGAAGGTCCATGAACCAAGACTTCATGCCCCATACCCGCCGGACACCTCTCCACAAATGCGAGCATCGCGTCTTTCCGGCGTAGCTCGACCCGATTATAATCCTCCTTGAGATACTTCTCCTTCAACACTCGAACCCATAACTCATTCGGCTTTCATTTTCAATCATTGTTTTTTTGTCTTCCTCACATTAATTTCCAAGCATGATAGAATTCTTAGATATGGGATTTTTAATTCAATTCAGATACGAAATCTTATTTGTTTTTTTATAGTTTTGTAAACAAGCCAATTTCTAAATTCCGATATGAAAATATGTTTTCTTAGAGAAATAGAGTGGGAAGTTTTCGCCAATGTTAATGGTGGGATCATATGTTGATTATTCTTTTGTGAGATCTATGAAGGTGTTTTTTCCGTCTATTGAATTCGATTGTTGCAAACAAACATATTTGTGATTACCCCCTAAACGTATAGCAAACTGTACAAAGCAGATGGAAGAATTTGCTAAAGGAGTCGGAGAATCTGAGCTTTTCCCCACGCTATATCCCTATTTTATTGTTTACCATTTTATTCATATTTTATGTTGTAAGTCCTTTATATTCATTTTACACAACCTCTTATATTAAAAAGCACTTCTAATAGTTTTACAGCCAAACACTCAACTGTTTTTTTTAAAGTACTTATCTAAAAGCTCCAGCCAGAAGCTGATTCTGCAAAAACTACAGCAGGGCCAAACTAAACTTATATATCGTATCTATAATATCAAGTGAACTCCATCCTCGTGGTTGCAATGGATGACAAGCCTATATGCCACCTTCAAGTAGTAGCTAGCAATCTCCCAACAAGAATGAATTACATAATTGGCCAATTCTTTCATCGTCAGTTCAGAAAATTGGTCAGCGTAGATTAAAATCATTTACATTTAAAGATAATTACTTGTGTGATACCTCTTGCAATAAATAGCACGTTTGTATCGAAAGTGAAGGCTATCATCACTCGAATGTAAGGCCTCTTTACGAGTTAAGGTTAATGTTAGACATATAATTGGTAGAATAATAATAATTAATAATGTTAGTTAAGTAGGGTTAGGCAGCTAACCTAGGCTGATTAGGTTAGGATGGGGAGGGGTTACGGTGCTAATTGTACAATAGTTATCACCGTCCTAACCAAGGGAAAACTACTACTAGTTTGAATTAGTAGTGATTTAGCTTAGATGTTGTATTGATTTTATAATAATCCGTAATGAGTTTTGCTAGTTATCACGGTGCTAACCCCTATTAGGATTTTGGGTTTATTTCCTAATCTCTCTCAACTCCTAATTTCTATCTTCTCCTAATCCAAGGCCTCGACCGATTCTAGATTCTATTATGTTCTTCTCATCTAAATACCTAATTCTGTCTCTCAACCCCTAAATCCCTATTTGTTACGAGTAGTTACGGGTGCCGAAGATCAGTATTGAGAATCCCTAACAAGAGGGTTCTTTCAGTTTAATCTTCGTCATTGTCCCGTTTCAAACCCTAGTTTGGGTACCATTTCGCAATGAGATTTTATTTCATGCCGAACAAGGAAGAAAAGAAGATGAAAGGGTGTAGATTGCATTTTGTCCAGGGGCAAAAACGTCAAAAGGGGTGATAGTTATTAGCAGCTAGCGTCAAAACAGAAGTCTATGCTCTTTTTCTTCTCTTTCGGCCATTCGCATCCAGAAAGAAAAGAATCTATAAATCTTCCACGCACCTTCGCCAATTTCCTTTCCCGCGGGCTTGCCGAGTTGGACCCGGCGACTATTTTTCTATTCCTAATACTCCCGTTTCTTCTTCATCCGTCAATCCAATTCGTTTATATATTTGGAAATCCCAATCCCAATCTCAATCTCAATCCCAAACGCAAACCCATTTCCCTATTCTCCATTTCAAGCTAACACAAGAAAAGAACCAATACCAAACCCAAAAACAGAGCTTCCCCTGCATCCCTCTGTTTTCTTCTTCTTAGCTCTCTGTTTCTCTGTCTCTGCACTTTTCTCTCATCAATGGCAGGAACCAATGGTTCGTCGTACGGTACATCCTGGGCCGACCAGTGGGATTCCGGGCCGGACCCTGTCTACCATCCTGACCTCCAAAAGACCAACAACGGCGGCGGCGGCGGCGCGGCCAAGTACAAGCAGAAGGTGGGAGAAGGGCTGGGGAAGACCAAGACGGCGGCGTTGACAGGGATGAAGAAGGTCAAGCAAGGCTCTTGTGTTGGGTTCCATTGGATCAAGGACAAGTACCAGAAGACCACCCAGAAACATTGATTTTACTTCCTGCAACCCACCATTAGCATCACCCGATTCTTTCTCTGTTCATATTGCTACTCTGTTTTGTGGGAGTTTTTTTTTTTTTTTTTAGTTTTTACCTTCTTCTGATGGCACGGACTCTGTTTTATGTACCACATATATTGGTTTGTTGATAATTGATATCACACTTAGTTTGTTGTTGAATGATTTTGTTAGCAATCTTGTTCTACGATTTTCGGGTCGATTTGATTGCCGAATGGGATGTTTACATCTTCTCGGTTAGTAGATTCGTGATCAATCAACTACAGAGCGCGAAATGGAATCCAGTAATGAAGAAAACCAGGAAATTTTGAACGTAAGTATGAGGTAACCATAGCATTTCTTTAAGAAGAAAGCTGAAGGAGCTATTTAGGTGAGCTAAAACTGGGAAGACGGTTACTTGTGGGAACAATAACTAAAAAGAATTATGCTAATTTCCAAAGTAATTCTGTCATTTCGACGAAGTATTATTTCATAATCTAGAAATGAATTGATTAACACGGACGACTAAAACTAATAAAGCTGCTGATAAGGCCAAAGCAAGCCCTGCTGCTGCTTCTTTGGATATCACTAAATGTGTGTGTCACTAGTCTTCTTTTTCATCGTCAATCTGGAGAAGAAGAAGAAAAAAAACGACAACAACAAAGAAGAAGGATCAGTGAAACGACAAGTTACGGATTATCTTGCTTCGAAAGAACTGAAAACAGAACTTACATTGATCTTTCTCGGCAACCCATTTGTAGGATACTGTTGTCGTTGCTGCAGCTTACTGTCACCTGAAGAAGCTATGGTGCTGGCTGCTTTGCCGATGCATTTCACCGCACACTTAGGGTAACACATCATCAGCCAAGCGCCTGACTGCGCACAATCGATCAGGCAAAGTGCATAGCATTCCTCGTACGAGGCCGCGGATTGCATCGCGAACATCCCCAGCAACAGGCAAACAACGATTAGTGCAGCTGCTGATCTACTGCTAGCCACCATCTTCACTGCTCTGTTAGATTGTTGTTCTGATACACACTTTTTCATTGCGTAGTGAGGTTTATATAACGGTTTTGGCATTCAAGGAGATAATTGCATGGAGATACACACAGAAGGGTTGATGGTGTCCAATCTGATTCTGTGGCATTCTATTGCATTCAACATGGAATGATGGAAAGAATTCTCCTCGATTTAGAGATGCCGACATTACTATGTATATCCATGCCACATCTTATCATTCATTTCTAAGTTTAAATATGGCATCTTTTTGGTTATTACATATGGATCTTAGCATTCAAAATCAACAATCACAGGGTTTAATCTCCAAAGTCCAAACTACAGATCCTTCCTTACAACTTCTTCTGATGGGTTTTTGTAAAATTTCTAATTTTTACAGCCTGAAAAAATTTTGTACTCATATCACCAAGTGACAACAAGGAAATTATAGATTTTTGTTGCAATAAGAACTTTCCTCAGATTTGTGCAGCTCATTGAATTGAGCATGTAGGTCTGCTACTTTCCCAAGACTAACTTCAGATGGCTCATTCAAAGCCTCCAGCATTGCCTCATTAGGCTTAGCCTCGATCTCCTTCACTTGCTCACTTATGCTGCAATATGCTGTCCTGTTAAGCTTTTTTAGAATCTTTTTTTACCTCCCTCATTTCACTCTGTATGATAGTCAAGTGAGTACCAGTTACCTGTATAGACCAGGCTTGCTGAACAATAACCAAATAAATTCAGGTGTTCAGTCCAGAATTCAAAGAATTTACAAGGCTTTGGCATTGTTTTCAGCGGAGGTTTAGTGACTATTAGCTCTCCACGGTGATTTGAGAAGCTTGTGGAAGAAATATTCAATTTTTTAGGCCCTTTTTAGATATATGACGAGACGACTAATAGGAGACAGGAATTGAAATTATGTACACACAGTTGACATTTTGAATCCTAACAATAATATATAGAGGTTCTTGGCATGAGCCCCCTTAATCTCCTTTTTCCTGCTCTGTGCGTAACCCACGGGAGGAGATTTTGGTAATTGCACTATCAATTTATTGACCGAACTGGGCTGGGCCCATTCTTTTTTCCCTTGCAAACGGGACACGTAAACAATTGAAAGGGCTTTACTTGGACCAGAGATAATTGAGCTGGAGAATTCTTTTGGAGGACAACACTCAAGCGGCATCATGCCATCATCCTTTCGTCAAAAAAAAAAAAAAAATCATGCCATCATCCCCTAAATCTTAATAATCAGTTCACTCACCATCTCCAAAGAAAGATGCTAATCAGCTAATAAAAATGGGAAGGAGATTATGTGTCTAGGAAGGACACTTCTTCCTTTTAATTATTAGCACTTCCATTATAAGGTTTATATTTCATATTTGTAAATTCTATCGGTGTGAAACAGACGTGTCATATTTGTAAATATTTTATTATTAAATTTTTGTTTTCAATGAAATGTAGAAACAAGAATGCTTAATGATGGAGGTAGTGGATCAAATATTGGAGATAATGACAGTTTGAGTGTTGATACGAAGGAAGATAATATTGATGGTGTAGACCATAGTTTTAGTTCGATTTAATAAGTTTTTTAATTAGCATTTGACTTCTTGATATTATCTTAGTTTTTAATCTCAACTTCTTACGTCGATGAATCATTTAATATGTCAGAAAACTCTATGAAACTCTTTGATGCATGTCATTTTTATCATTTTAGTAACTGAATTATTTGGATTTCTTTATCGTATTATATAAAATGCATATTTGGTCCGAATAATTTTCATCGATAAGATGTACCCGACCAACGGGCGGGCCCAAATCTAGTAGATAATATATCAAAATACAGTCTCAAGGCCGAGTTTGGTACAATGCTATTCTGCCAAATCTTCCAGTGCAATGCTAGATAGTGGTCGCTGACCTGAACGAAAAGTTTGATACTTTTAGCTGGGTTTAACATGATTACATACAAACACATTCTTCACTTCACAAGCACCACTCGAATTTGCCACTCGCCAACTTAACTAGCATAATTGCATCCTTTTATTGTAGTAGTTGTTTTGGTAGGTGCAGACGTGCAGTAGCAGTTCAATTGCTCCAAGAACTCTTTCACTGCTTCGGGGGAGGTTGATACCAGCCCCACGGATCACTGGAGATATACTTGGTGACTTGCTTCACGCTCAAGTAATTGTCAAGTCCCCTGTCAAGAAGCAAAAACAGCAAAAATGTCTACCTTCAGAATCACACTGAAAATCTTCTGAAACTACTGTTCAAAGAGTACCCTAGGTTCAAACTCCGGTGTCGATGTTTGCGCATCAGGAAAAGTATCTGAGTTTTTATGAAATGAGAGACATACCATTCTCCAAGTTCACGTCCAAACCCACTGCGTTTGATGCCACCCCATGGTGCTTGACAGAAACATGGCTGCGAGCAGTTCACCCAAACACAGCCTACCCGAATAGCCTGGATACCCAAACACAGCAAATTCTTAGTCTCCTTTCACAAGTTAAATCCAATTTCTGGAACTCCACATTATATAGCTTTTGCCACGTTGGGTCTCACCTTGCTCACACGATCGCACCTCTCCTCGTCATTCGAGATCACAGCAGCAGCCAAGCCGTATCTGTGGATACGTGCACAATGCGATCAGATGACAGAAAGATAAACAAAGGATCAAAGAGCAGGTGCTTAGATATAACAGAATAAATATGAGTAATAACTCACTCGCTGTCGTTTGCCAAGTCAATGGCTTCATCTTCACTACCAAATGTTTTGACACAGAGAACAGGACCAAAAACTTCCTCTCTCCATATTTCCATGGAGGTGGTCACATCAGTTATAATAGTTGGTTCAACAAAGAATCCCTTACTTAAATGCTGCGATTCATTTAGACGGAAAACAGGAAGAATTAACATTAATGTTATTGAACAGATAAAGATGTAAAAGAGTCGGCAAGCAAAATAATGAACTGTTAAGTACCTTCGGGCGAATGCCACCCGTTAAAATAGTGGCACCTTCACTCTTGGCGGTTGAGATGAAGTTCATAACTTTCTGATACTGAATGACAAAAGAAGGTTATGAGCAGACAGAAATGAGTTCAAGGTCAGCAGACGACATACTGAATCTATCTGAATACAAGTCAGCTGGTAACTCCCACCATCAGTACCCATATACAATCATGATCACAATGTTTTATGATTTGACGAGACAATGCATCGTGAAGCATAATCGTCCCAACCACTCTTGAAGGGAAAAAGAATTTGAAATTTACAAACAGCAGAACTCTAATTACCTGCCCTTCGCTAACAACTGGACCAAGCCTACAACCTTCTTCCAGAGGATCTGATATTTTGATGTTTTTTACCCATTTGACAAGCCTGTCAAGAAACTCAGCCGCTATGCTTTCCTATAGATTAGAGCAGATAGAGAGTTCCAAACAAATTACCAGACCTACACATGAAAGACAGATATGAAAACCCCTGCCCCCAATCCCTCAGAAAACGCTTACATGTACAATGAGTCGGGATGTAGCGCTACAGATCTGTCCATTCGTCCAGAAGCATCCAAAGACGGTCCATTCAGCAGCTGTTCGAATGAAGAAACAGGCACAAATAGGTGCTTACACATATCAGAATTGGTAAGTCTTTTAGCACATATATTTTGGCCACAGAAAAAAAAAACGGTAACGACCATATGTTTTATCCAAAATCATTCTAAAATGTCCAGGGAGGTACTAACCTTTATCAAGATCTATATCTTCAAACAAAATAATTGGACTCTTCCCACCAAGCTCCATAGATACAGGCTGTCAAGAATTACAAATGACACTCAGCATAATAAAGCTAGAATCAGTAAAAAGGAAACAAAAGATATGCAGGCATACCTTGACTAATTGTGCTGCAGCAGTCATTATACGGCTTCCAGTGGCTGAGCTCCCAGTGAATGCAATCTGTCAAGCATTACAGTCCATGACAGCATGATATGCATGCATCTGAAGATCAATATGCTAAGACCTGATTTAAAATATTTCACAATGACGAGACCCATAGCAGATAATTGAACCTTGTCAACTTTGGGATGAGCCGCCAAAGGAGCACCTGCATCAGGCCCCAAGCCAGTTAGAATGTTGAGTACACCACTGGGTAGACCAACCTCTTCGCAAATTGCAGCGAGCTCCAAGCAGGTCCTGGAAATTATAAACAGTTAAAACTTATTCATAGCACAACTACCAAAAGTGAAAAGAGATACAATTTCTTTAATGAAAACCATAGTCGCATACAAAGATGAGAGCTCAGATGGCTTCAGTATAGCAGTGCACCCGGCAGCCAGAGCGGGAGCCACTTTCCATGTGGCCATCAATAATGGGTAATTCCTTCAAAACAAGAGGTGGAATCAGATTATCAGCAGACTAAGAAAGAAGAATCTCATTCATTACATAACAAGGGAATTTCCTGATTATCTAGATGTTGTTCATCAATATTCAAATTCCACAGACGAAAGCAATCAACAAGACTTCAACACAACTGATTCAATGTTCAAGCATCCAAAGATCGACATAACCCTGAGCAGGATGTGCAAGCAAATTCTGCCCCCTCAAAAAAAAAAAAAAAAAAAGTAACAAAGCGAAAATACAGCAAATTACCAAGGAGTGATCAATGCAACAACCCCAATAGGCTCCTTGAGAACATAGCTCTTGAATGTTTCCATGGGAAGGGAAACTGGAGCCCCTTGCTTCGCATCGAGGCCTTCTGCAAGGTCAGCATAGTACTCAAAGCACCCAGCAACATCATCCTAGGAAACATCATAGACAAAATAAGGCAACAGATCCTCGTACTGACAAAAGATGTAGGTTTCACCGTAGCAGGGACAGATAAAACATCAAAAAATGCATACCATGTCCCATGCTGCTTCATCGTAAGGTTTCCCACAATCAATTGATTCAAGTTTCGCAAGCAGAGGTTTCTTCTCCACTACCTGAATGCCACCATAGACACGGGGACTCGGGGAGTAAAGATTAAGAAGGTAAGATTCGATTCAAATGCACCAGAAGCAATCGCCAGCTATTACTTTTTACATTCACCTTAGCAGCAATTGCTCGCAGGTACTTTGCACGAGAAGCACCAGAGGCAAAGGCCCAATCTTTGCCTCTGTTTCTATAGAAAGCTTTGTGGGCTGCTTCGACTGCCACCTCGACATCTTCGGCAGTAGCAGCTGGGATATCACCTGGAATTCAATTCCCCAACAGCCCCAACAACTCATGAGCTCCATGAAACAATCCAAGCATCCAATCGGAAGAAAACGTTTAATAAAATCACAGCCAGAGACTCTGAAGGGGGGAAAAAACCATACCAAGGATCTCTTCAGTGGAAGGGTTGATGACCGGGATGCATTTGTTGAGGACGGGGAGCTTCCAGGATCCATCGATGTACAGCTGCCGAGTGGGAATTGGAATTGCCGCCATCTTGTCTGAATCTGTGTTAGAATGAACTCGAAGTGATGAAGTGAAGTTGGGAGTGGCGGGCTTATTCTAATAAGCTGGAGTGAAAGGGGAGAAAGGATGGAGTTGAGGAAAGACAGCGACAGGTGGGCCATGGCTAATTTGGCAGAGTATCGATCGGCGCACCACGTCAGACATCCCATGTGGAGCTCCCCCACCATTAATACATTGACACCTGGAATTAGTATGGACGACAACTTGTTCTCATTATTTCTATTCTTTTATTTTTTATTCTTTTATTCTCCTTCTTATCTTCTTTCATCTCTCTTCTTCCCCTGCATGATCGATTTGGTTCTAAGTTGTGCTAGCAGGACATTGGTGGTTTGGGCTTGTATTATGATTTGGAAGCATTGTTTTGGTGGTCGTTTAGTGGTTATATTTTCAATTTCAAATGTAATATAATGATTCAATTGAATGGGTATAAGTAATTTTAGATGGAAGCAGTAGCATATGCATGTTATCATTAGAGGGATGTTTGCCTGATGTAAGTAGAGACCATAAGTGATCTATGTAGAGAAACAAAGTTGTGAATATCTTAATGGGAAGTAAATTGCAGTAGCATTTTTAGAAGCAAAATCTGCAGTTTTTTTACAGCAGCAACATCGAACGTGGAAAAAAGCAATTGAGCAAAACAAGTTGGTAAATTGCATAATATTCGACAATCAACTTAAACTTGTACTAACCAACTTAAATGATTAAGACATAACGATAACAGTCAAGTTGGAAATAGTAGTTCCATGCCCATGAGTGGTCTAAAATGCAATGTAAGATAAAAGAAATTCGAGGTTGCTCCTGAGCTGCAACCTTCAGGCCCCATTTCCTGTTTCTGAAGTCTGCAATCATGATAAAATGTAGGATGATATGTTAGAGAAATGAATCAAATAATATTCAAATAGGAGAAGCCAAAAATCATTATATTTTTCTTAGTTAAAGGATGAACCTGATTTGCATATAAGAATGGCCACACTGAATTTTTCGGGTATGATTGAGGCAAAACATTTTGTAATTGTGACAAGTATATAATCAACCATGATAAGTTGTTGAACACAGTTTTGGACATATTTCGTAGGGTAAATTGAACCTGATTAACAAGACCCATTGGACTTGGACTAGTATTTGACATCATATTCATGTAGGAAAGGTTTGGAACTGACCCGCGATGTCACAACATTCAATATTTATTAGACGTAATATACACAAAAGTAGGCGAAACTAAAAAAAATGGAAGAGATAAACTACCAGTGGTTCTGCTGCAAAATTATTGAAACCAGTAGCTTGAGGCAACTAAATGGCTGCTCTCCTAATGCAAAATTGTTGAGTCCAGTAGGTTGAGGCATACTAAAACTTGGCATTGACTACATATTGAAAACATGGAACGATAATTGAAATCTCATATTCAGGAAAAAACCCAAAGAACCATTGGAATCACTAACAAGTTAGATTGACACGTACCTGTGGAAGAGTTTGCCAATGTAGGGTCCTACACTCCTACCAAGGTTCCTTTGGCTTTGTTCAGGACTTCAGGTGCATTTGTTTGAGGCTTTTTCCCTGAAACGCCCTCTTAGTAGTTTCTTAATAAAACAATTTTTTTTATAATTCTAACAAATAAGGAGGCACTAAATATGAAATACTTGCTTGATGAAGTTTTTCCTGATTTTGGTGTACGCTCCTCAAAGTGTCCTTTTACTCTACCATTCGATCCTTTTGACTTAGCTTGAGGAGGATCTAGTACTGGGGTTTCATTTGCTTCTGAATCACCACCTTCTTTCTCAACATGGCTACCCATGTCTACTTTAGCTAATTCTTGCTCGACTTTCAACTCAAGATTCAACAAACTTTCTTGACATATTTTCCTAATGTTTTCATGTTGTTGACTTTTTTATATGAAACCGCTCGCTATACGCATCATAGAGCTTCGCCAAACTATTTATGCTTCTTCAGTTTTAAATAGAAGTTGGATCTTTCTCATACTCCATCGTTCCTCTTTTTGCCTCTTTGGTCCAGCGTCTCAAAATATAGTCCGTGGGTAGCTTCGTAATGTTCCTGATATTAAGAATTTTTAAAGCATGACAACAAAGTATCCCCTTTGCCTCAAACTTCTTGCAGGAACATAAAACCTCATTCTTCTGCATATCAAAATGCACTGTACGGACTCTACTACGCCCCTCTTCTTTCACCTCATATGTGTTTGTCGACCCATCAGTACCTGATTCTGTCCATGTAGTTGCGATGCTAGATAGGAATTCTTTCTGGAACACCATGTACATAGTAATGGTATATACGGCAGCAGCATGTGCTAAAATACCAGAATGTTTAACCATCAATGGTGGAGTATCTTGCTTTCAGCGAAAATCCTCTTGTTGCTCCCTTGAACACAAATTTGCAACTAGATTATCAAACTGGACAGTGAAATCAGTAAGATATGTGGTTTTCCCAATATCAAATAAATAATAGTTAGAACACCCTTAATATGAATATTTTTATATGATTTAGACTTGTAGGTTTTATTTCATGATTGAAAATCCCGGTGATAGGGAGTTGAGGTGAGAAAAGTTTAGTAAAAACTTATCGAAGTCTCCATTGAATGGATTCAATCAAAGTCTTTATTGAATAAATTCATCACATTTACCATTGAGGAATGCCAGACTGTTAGAGAGTGGTATAAGATCCAACATAACCTTCTCCCAACAACTCGAGTTATTGGGACCAACTGGTTTATGACAGAGACTAAGTAAAGGCCTTGAGTTTGCCTCAAGCTAAGGCAGGGACAAGGAGAATAAGTAAGTTGGCATATCTATATATAGATTGACCTAGAAACGAGAATTGGCAGCTAAGTTTAGATTGGATGATGACTTTCAAGTTGTCAAAGAGTAACGAATGACCATTTGTTGTGAGCTATATAATTAATTGTAGTTCTTTTTTTAATTTCTCGGGATACCGAATACCACCACAAAATCAATCATTTGACTCAGTATTTAGTAATACCAAATAGTGGTAAATTCAATATGGTTTTCGGTAATATCCCAGGTACCCAACTTCCAACCCTACCATAAGGCCAACAAAACAAGAACTAAGGAAAACCAATTTGAAGGATACTAGTGTTAATGGGAGCTTTGAGAGTAAGGGATAAACATCATATTTGAAATGCTTGCCACCAAGAATTGCAATCAAATGCCATGTTTGGTGTTTTCAAATGTTATAATGCATTGTATTATAAATGGACGTATTATATAACATTAAAATGTTTTGGTGATTGTAATTGTAGTTTAGGGATTAAAATGAGTACAATTACTTTGCACGTATTTATATGTACAGGGAAGTAGTATGGGAATACATGAGAGACATTAGGGATAAAAAGAGAAGTAAATGTATGTCTACTATTTCAAATTCTTTTAGATCATAAATCATGAAAAATGAAATATTTAAAATGTCATGTCAAGTTTCAAATACATGCATTATGTTTTATTTTGATAAAAAAAATATGAATTCTCTAACAATACATGAATTGCCTACATATATATTTAAGGGGTTGTTTGGAAGTTGTGATTCTTCAAATTGATGTATTGGGACAATTAGTGTATTATCATTTGATGGATTGAACCAATTGATGTATTAGGTAAATATCTTGTTTGGAGGTTTAGATTGTGTTTTTGTTCCAAAGGTAAAAAAGTTAGTATTGAGTGATTGTTAAGAATCTCAACAAAAAGTAGAGATTGTAAATCCCTCAATATTGAGGGATTGTGGTGGGACCTCCAAAAAGTAAATGCATGTATTCTGGTTCTACATAAACCAAAAAACGACTTAATCTCACAAATACATGAATTAGATCAATACACCATTTGAAATCACAACTTCCAAACGACCCCTAAGAATCATAAACACCAAACAAGACTTAGATCATTCAGACCGCTTGGATGTATAAGCTTTCCCAACATAGAGATGTTTTGGGACAATGATATGTCAATTCGGTATAGAGGTGGTTGACATAACTTGTGTTATGTTGTGTTGAAATATTTTGAATGATTGTTGTCTTAAATTGTTGTCTATATTCTTGGGGAGTGTTGCGGTTACTTCAACCGAGTTATTCTTGTGCCTTGTTGGACCTTGTCTCAGCAGTAGTGGCATTAGGGTTTTAACTCTAATTCTTTGTCTATATAAGCTTAGCTATCGACTAATGTGATAGTAAGCCGTCAAAATGTAAACCTAATAAGAGATCAGCTGTGAGCTCTTAAAAGATCAGCTGTGAGCTCTTAAAAGATCAGCTGTGAGCTCTTCAGAGCTCACTGTGGATTAGTCATGTTCACATCGAACAGGGATACCACGTTAAACTCGTTGTTTCGTGTTTTTTTTCCTTCTACATCATCAAATTCTACATGGTATCAGAGCTGGTTTGGCCAAGTGGTTATACATCTATTGGGATGCTTAATGCATTTTTTGGCAATACTTTATACATCTACGGAAAATACTCGAGGGAGTGCATGACTTGACAAATTAAAGAATAAAAGTTAACCAATCTAGCTAAATATATGTATGTGTGTGATTGGATGTTGAGATATGAATGGTTTTGGATGCAATGTAGTTGCTTTAACGGTAATCTTAGTGCTTGCCATAGTTGTGTGATATATGGTGGGGATAAAGGTTATGGATGTGGAATCAATATATGTTATTCCATGTATATGAGAGAATAAAATTTCGTACTACTCATTACCACCTGATACCACATTCATTTTTCTTCAAGATAAGATCTATTTTCAATATATTTTTATTTCCAATATATTCAGGGCAATTTTTTTAAAATTCGAGTTAAAACAAATGTGGAACCAGGTGGTAATGAGTGTTATGAAATTTTTTTCTTTAAAATATATTGAAAATGGATCTTATTTTGTAGATCACAACAAACCCGTTCCATCTTTGCAAACAAATTGAAATCCAAGTCATAACGAAAAAAAATAGAAAACGATTAAGAAAAAAAAGTCATTTACCCTAGTTGTACAACCCAATCTTAAACCGCTTAGATCTGACCGACTTAAAATTCCTGAATCACTATTCATCGCACTAAAATTTAAAAAAAAAACTATATCTAGGAGTCGTTTGGATGACACATTCTGATGAGTCAATCTGCCCCAATTGACTCAAAATGAGACAATTGGGTCAAATTGGCTCATTTGGCAGAAAAAAAAATAAAACAAAACATTTTGGACCGAGTTAATTGTAATTGCTTCGTTATGGGTGAATGTGAAATACCTGGGTGGCGGGCAGACAATCTACTTTGACGCATTTTTTGGGCCCCCTTTCCGATTGTGACCTTCGTTATTTTCTTCCTCTCTCTTCCCCGAGACAACTTTTCCTCTTCTCCTCTTTCCTCTCTTTCTCTGGTCTTCTTTCTTCCTTTTTTTCAACGGCGATAACAAGATGCAGAGGTGAATGCTGAATCGCTCGATTCGTGAGCCACCATGACTTGCTCGATCTGAGCTCTATTGGTGCCGACCAGGGGCGGAGCTACACAGGGCCTAAGGGGGGCCCAGCCCCCCCCCCCCCCCCCCCCCCCCCCCGGGAGAATTTCGAAAATCATGAAAGAATGTACGAGTATTCTGAAAATTACGAAGTAAATACAGGTTTTATAATAATGGTCGCGGGTTAAAGGGTATCTAAAGAAGCTGATTACACTAGTGGAGTTGTAGTGGTTCTGTATCAAATAGGTCAGGGGTTCAATCCCCACCTATGTCAGTTTTTCGGTTGGAGTTTTTTACAATTTTATAGCTTTAATGGAAAAAATTTCCCCGATAAGTTTAACAAGAATGTCAATCTAATTATTTGACAAAACATTTCGTACATTTTGATAATTCACACAATTAATTTATTTATATAGTTATATAATTATTTTGATTTTTTTCTTATTACGATAATATACGAAACATTTCCGGCCCCCCCAAACCCAAAATTCTAGCTCCGCCCCTAGTGGCGACAGTGTTGCAGATGCAGAGGATGGCGACGATGGTGCAGCAAAGCAATCCTGGTGACCGATAGTTGGGAATGGGTGGAGAAGGGGAAAATCATTGCCAACATCGTCGCCGGTAAAATTGGCCTGCTTTCTTTCTCTTCTTTTCTCTGTTTTTTCCGTTTCTATATAAGCTTTGGGAAAACGAAGATCCCATCTAATTGAGGGTGAAATCTGACGACAAAGAGGAAGAGTGAAGTCTGACAGCGATGATGGAAGAGTTGACCTGGGCTTGCTGTCCGATTGGGTTTGTGATTTGGGATATTTGGAAATCAATGAGAGTTCTGCATGTAAGTAAGTGGTGGGTCGATCTGCTCCCCGCAAGCAAGATTTTTCATATCAAACAACCATTGTTCCTCCTAAGCGGCGGTGATTATGGATTCTTCCTATCTCCTGTAGGGTTTTCAATTCAGTCAAGCTAATTCGTTTCAGATTTTGGATGCTATGTTGTAAATGGGTTGGGTTTGTTTTCTGTTGCTTCGATTTAGTCAAGCTTCGATTCAGGGGTAATTAGCATAAAAGGTCACAAACATATACACTTTGTACAAAACGGTCACAAACCTTTCATTTTGCACGTTTCAATAACATATGTTTAGACTAATAACAAAACGATAATTCCGTCCATCTCCATCCAAAAAATAGTTAGTTATGTCCAGTCAACACGCCACATCACCTAAGATATTAATTAAAAAATTAATGACCAAACCAATTGAACCGAAAACCCTAATTCTATACAACCCACCCGAAATCTTGGAGACAGAAACACTGCCGCTTTCCTCTGCGGTTGTACAGAGCGATTCAGCTACTAGAATCGCCGCCAGCCCATAGAAATTCCCCACCGCCAAACGCACCGATCAGGCGATCACCTCCCATGCTTGCATCACCGGCTAAACCAAACAGCCGCCATCGTTTGCCTCCTCTTCGCCTGGCATGCTTGCCCGACGAGAGGTTCGCATATATTGTGTAGGCTGTAGAATGCATCCTCTATCCTACCCATGAGAGCTTCCTCGCCGACCCACATGAATCGAGTTCGCAATCTCTATCTGACAATCAACAACTCCCATGGCAGCAGTAGCAGATTACTCTGCCGTCTTTCGACCAGATAATGAAGCTTCTCGATGGAAGAAAATTGTCATGTTCCTCGACTACGATGGCACCCTCTACCCATTTTCAAAAGACCTCGATCGTGCTTTCATATCCAAAAAGGTCAGCCATTTCAACTCCCGGGAAGAACAAAATTGGAAAGATTAAAAACTTTGCTCCGTTTTTTCTTTCCTTTCTTTCTTTAGATGAGGACGTATGTTAAAAGGCTGGCTAGGTGTTTCCCATCGCCATAATGAGAGGAATATGCAGGGACAAGGTACATTAATGTCGTGCAACTGATGTAGTGGATGGCTGAGATTTCTAGCTATGCGAACCTCTCCTCAGGCGAGCAGGCCAATCGAAGTGGAGACGGAAGGGGAAGGCAATCGGTGGCGGGCGTTTGCTTCAAGCCGGCGATGCGATCATGGAAGTCAAATCGACGGCGGGGATTTTCTATGGGCTGGCGGAGATTCTAGTAGCTGAATCGCTCTGTATAGCCGCAGAGGAAAGATGCCTTCAAGATTTCGGGTGGGTTGTATAGAATTAGGGTGTTCGGTTCAATTGGTTTGGTCATTAATTTTTTATTAATATCTTAAGTGACGTGGCGTGTTGACTGGACATAACTAACGGTTTTTTTGGATGGAGATGGACGGAATTACAGTTTTGTTATTAGTCTAAACATATGTTATTGAAACGTGCAAAATAAAAGATTTGTGACCGTTTTGTACAAAGTGTATAGGTTTATGACCTTTTATGCTAATTACCACTCGGTTCAGTCAAGCTTTGATTCGGGGGAAAATATGATTGCTTGGTGAGGGAGTATTCTACCTGGGTTTGGGGTTGTTTTCCATTGCTCTGTTTCTCAAAGGGTAGTCTATGTGCGATTTGGAGAGCATTCTATGCCTAGCACAAAGAGGAAGATGGAAAAGGAGGGTAAGATAACAAGGGCAAAAGTGTATTTTCACTAAATGTCTCATGTCAATTGCCTCCTTTCGAATAACAAGTCAAACAAGACAATTTGAAACAAATATATACCATATAATTGTCTCATTTTGTAAAATGAGACATTTACACCAAATTGTCTCATTTTGAAAATCCTTCATCGAACAAAATGAAACATTTACACCAAATTGTCTCATTTTGGAAATCCTCCATCGAACCCCTTGTTATACAATGGTGCATAGAGGTATTCACCTATCCTAAGCCCAAATCACTGAAATCTCAAGCACTCCGATAAAAACACGTGTAACATGGAAACATCTCATAAAGTGTACATTTTTTTAATAAAGAAGTTCAATTTGGGATACAAATATACAATATACATCCCCACTCTCCCCGTAAAAAACTGATGAGTCATTGAGTCAGTCACATCATCTTGCTTCGGAACGCGGGACCCCGGCTCTAAATTCTAATCCTTTCCCCTCTTTCTGCTCATTATAAAATCCCCCAACTCCAAGTACACTTCTTTAATCGATCATCCGCACTGAAAATCCGCACTGAAAATCCGCTCACCATCAAGTCAGCAACAGATCTCACCGACCCAGTAGAAGCAACGATGGCCGCCATTCCAATCCCTACACGGCAGCTGTTCATCGGCGGCGAGTGGAAGCATCCCGCGCTGAATAAACGCATTCCCGTCATCAACCCTGCCACCGAAGAGATCGTCGGTTTGTTCTCCCTTTTTTTCCCTAAACTTCTGGTTCAAGGATCTTGAGGGTTCTAGCTTAGTTCTTACAAATCGTTTTCGGCGATCCAATTGTTTGAGTTGTTTGTTGGAAGGGAACTGAATGAGTTGTTTGGTTCTGTGTGTGGGAGTCGAATTCCAGGTGATATCCCAGCCGCTACTGCCGAAGATGTTGAGGTTGCAGTCGAAGCAGCTCACAGTGCTTTCAATAGAAACAGAGGCAAAGATTGGGCTTTTGCCTCTGGTGCTTTCCGTGCAAAGTACCTGCGCGCTATTGCTGCTAAGGTGAATAGACCCTTTTGATTTTGCCGTTTCTGTGATTCTGATTCTCTTTTCTTTTTCCAGCATTTATTTATGTGGGGATTTTCGTTCTCTTCAATTTTGTCCTGCGTCTCCAATTTTTTGGTCATGATATAGTTGTTGTGAATCAGAAAGGAACCCTTTGTCGTGGTTGAGACTCTGCTGTCATGTTATACATGTAGTTGGAAGGTAGGGGTTTAAGGGCTGAAAAATCTTATTCCGGAGACTCTTGCGTCGATGTTTATTTTGCACTAATATCTGGGTGCTCTATATTTTATATGATCTGCCTCTTCTGTCTATTATAGAAAGCTTTCGATGATTTTGTGATCCTTCTTTCCTGAAAAGGAACCGACTTCTTATCGCATATCTATGATCGGGTGCAGGTTGTAGAGAAGAAAGAAGTGCTAGCGAAACTTGAATCAATTGATAATGGGAAGCCTTATGATGAAGCAGCCTGGGACATGGTATGCATTCGCTATTTTCTCTGATACCTACTATATTCTTGCCAGTACAGGTCTGTGACTACGGTCTTATTTTCTCATGCTTCTTAGGACGACGTTGCGGGGTGCTTCGAGTACTATGCTGACCTTGCAGAAGGCCTGGACTCGAAGCAGGGGACTCCTGTTGCCCTTCCCATGGATACATTCAAGAGCCACGTTCTCAGGGAGCCTATTGGGGTTGTTGCATTGATCACTCCCTGGTAATTCGTTGTATTTTTGCTCAGTTGCTTTTTCTTTAGGGTGGTTTGTCATTGCTTATCTACCGACCATATTAGAATTGACTTTTCCAGAATATTAAAATGTTGAATTGTATTTTATATCCTTGTTCATGAGTGTTGCTTTCCTTTTTGTTTGAATATCCTGATGACGGTGATCACCATCGCCGGATGGGAAGATCAGGCAAATGTTATGTCTTGTTCGATATTTGAATTAAACACTAATGTTGAAGTCATGGTGATTGCATTGTAGCTGGACTTTGATTGCTGATAAACATCTGGATATTCATAATTTCTTTTGTTAGATAATGCACGATATTCTTCTTTCTTAGTTGGCTGATAATTTTTCTCAAGTACGAGTTGGCTGATAATTTGAGTTCACCTCTTGCTGCAGGAATTATCCTATGTTGATGGCCACGTGGAAAGTGGCTCCTGCTTTGGCTGCTGGATGCACTGCTATACTAAAGCCATCAGAGCTGTCATCTTTGTATATAACCATGATTTATTTGAAAATTGTATCTTTTTGGTCTTTGATTGTTGTGCAGTGAATCTGTTAAAACTTAAAACTGTTTATAATTCCAGGACCTGCTTGGAGCTTGCTGCAATTTGTCAAGAGGTTGGTCTGCCCAGTGGTGTACTCAACATCTTAACTGGATTGGGCCCTGATGCAGGTGCTCCTTTGGCTGCTCATCCCAATGTTGACAAGGTTCGTTCATCTGCTATGTTATTGTTCATTCTTTAAATTAGCTCATGGAATAGAAGATTTCATCTTTGGCTATGTGTTTATCATTGCCTTCGTTCACTGCTTAACAGGTTGCATTCACTGGGAGCACAGCCACTGGTAGCCGTATAATGACTGGTGCAGCAAAACTAGTCAAGGTATATTTTTGTTATCCTTTGTTTCTTCACCCCTAAGCTTTACCGTTTTTTACCATCATTATTGTTTCGTGACAGCCTGTCTCCATGGAACTTGGTGGGAAGAGTCCAATTGTTGTGTTTGAGGATGTAGATCTTGATAAAGGTCAGTTATTTCTGAGACATTTAGAATGATTTTGGATGAGACATGATTGTTGAACATTCTTTCATTTCTGGCCAAAAAATCTTTTGTGAAGGACTCGTCTATGTAGGAGGTTGATATCTGTGTACACAAAAATTATACTAATTACCTGTGTCTGCATTCGAACAGCTGCTGAATGGACTGCCTTTGGATGCTTCTGGACAAATGGGCAGATCTGCAGTGCTACATCTCGTCTTATTGTACATGTAAGTGTGGAAATGAAAAACTTCCCTAGCTTTATTCCCCATTTAGATTGCTCCATGCTACTAAGATTTGCTATCGTTCGCGGAAAGCACAGGAGGCCAGAACACAATCAAGCCAATTAAATTGTTGTTTTCTTTTCTTCTAAGTGTTTGTGCCATCTTTATTTAAAGAAGTGGGCAACATTGATTTGACTACTTAATCCTTATGTGAGATAGAACACATGTTTTACTCCGTATCTTTGTCTATCCAAATGTCAATCGAAAGTTGACCAACATCCCTTTGACATGTGATGAACTACCTGCACGGTTTGGAAACCCAAAATTCCAATGAGGGGAACTACCAATGTAAATGCAGAAGCAGAGCATAATCACTCACTCCCCGTTCTTGCTTGGCTTAATATTCACAAACCTCAACTCAAAATAGAACTGCCTACTATGAGTCTATGACTTTATTCCTTCTTAATGTGACATAAATTCTGGCTGCTTACTGTAATCGGTACTTTCGAAATAAAAGATTATTGGGACCAAGACTGATGTGGTTGTGGGAAGTGAAAGAGACTTAAGGTTATCTTTCCCCTATATTTTATTGTTAGATGTGGAAGGCATGAGCTTCTAAGTATTGTGTGTAGTTTTGTGTATCTTAAGTCTTTGTTCGCACTATATATGTTGGACTAATAGAAAGTGTGGAACTTTATCTTTGCTTTAATCTGTAGGAAAGCATAGCGGCTGCATTTCTTGATAGGCTTGTCAAATGGGTTAAAAACATCAAAATATCAGATCCGATGGAAGAAGGTTGTAGGCTTGGTCCAGTTGTTAGTGGAGGGCAGGTAAGGGTTCTGCTCAAGTAATTTCAGTTTCTTTTTTCTTCATGAGTGGTCTTGGTTTTATCTGGGTACTGAATCCTGGACCTACTATTTGACTATAATTAGTGTTTTCAGATAGATTTGGTACGTCCTCTATAGAACTTCCAACTCATTGTCTGTCGAAATTTTCTATTGATAACCTGCTTTTGTCATTCAGTATGAGAAAATTTTGAAATTCATCTCAACCGCTAAGATTGAAGGTGCCACTATTTTGACCGGTGGCGCTCGTCCAAAGGTACTGAACAGTTAATTATTTTTCTTGCTGACTCACTCACATCCTTGTCTGTTTAAGAACTGTAATATTTTCTCTTGTCATGTAAATGAACTGCAGCATTTGAATAAGGGATTCTTCATTGAACCAACTATTATTACTGATGTGACCACCTCTATGCAAATATGGAGAGAGGAAGTTTTTGGTCCTGTTCTCTGTGTTAAAACATTTAGCAGTGAAGAGGAGGCCATTGACTTGGCAAATGATACCCAGTGAGTCGATACTTGTACTTATTTGGTGATACCACTGTCAAATGGTCCTTGTTCTACACTTATATATTATCATTCTGTCATCTGACCTCATTGCGGATCTATCCACAGCTACGGCCTGGGTGCTGCAGTGATCTCCAATGATGAGGAGAGGTGTGATCGTGTAAGCAAGGTGAGATCCAAAGTAGCGAAAGCAATAAAACGCAGAGTTTGCAATGGTTAACTTGGGAAGGAGATTAATAATTTGCCTCTTTTATTTATGGTGCAGGCTTTTCGGGCAGGCATTGTGTGGGTTAACTGCTCACAGCCATGTTTCTGCCAAGCACCGTGGGGAGGCCTCAAACGTAGTGGCTTTGGACGTGAACTTGGGCAGTGGTGCGTCTCTCACCTATCATAGCTCCTGCACTAAGTTTTTGCCTTATGTTGTGACCCTTATAATCTGAACGATTTCGTGATCCAGCCCTTTCCGTCAGCACCCTAACACCGCACCCTCTCCTGTTTTGCATATGTTTTCTTCTTGACAGGGGACTTGATAACTACTTGAGTGTGAAGCAAGTGACCAAGTACATCTCCAGCGATCCATGGGGCTGGTACCAACCTCCATCAAAGCTGTAAGAGTTCTACAAACAATTGAACTACTCGAAACAACTAGAATAAAAGGGAGAGCCAATCCATTCGTTGGTTTAGTGAGTGAGGAAGTCGAGTGGTGCATGTGAATTATGATACTACATTGGTGTGCTTTCAAATAGATCCAATGTGGAAATAATGGCGCACATATCTACAACTGAGATCTAAATCAGTCTCTGCAGTCGGATTTGTTCATTGTGCTTTCTGTATCATTTTCAACCCATAGTTAAATTATCAAACTTTTCATTCAGGTCGTGAACCCCTTTCAAGCCTTGTGCTTGAAGTCTGCCTCATCCCCTTCCGACGGGCTTGTTTCCAAATTCCAACTCCCAAGCAGAGAGAAGTTTGGCAAAATACCATTCCAAATGCAGCCTTAGCCTCTGTAGAATGTACTCTGATACTTTCTGTACTGTGATACATAATTACAGTTTCTATCCTAGCTGTCATGGAATTATAGTAGCCACTCCCAATAATGATGGAATCCCTAGTGATTCTGTTCATAAACTTTGTTGATTGCAAATCCCTGAGATGGGAAGATCGCTTTGGGTCTTCATGTTCAAACAATTCGTCCCGAGATGTTGTTTCATGTACGCATCATTAGGAGCCTTCATAAATAACCATCATATTCAACGCATACATAGTGATGGCAATGGGGCGGGGCGGTTCCTGAATTCCCATGCCCCGCCTCAAGCTACTACGGGTTGGGGCGTGTAAAACCCGCGCGGGTACGGGCGGGGCGGGTCGACCCACTCTTATATGTTGTTCAAAAAAAATACAAGTAAATTTTACTTTTTACAATAAAACGTAGGGAAAAACACTTTAAGAATGAAAAATATTGATAATAGAATGGATAATTGAGCCTAATAAGTTGAAAGATCGACTCTAACTAGTTGAAGAAAAGTCCAAATAGGAGAAATATGTATAGATATTGTAAGAAATTGAGATAAAATGAGTCTAGAACGGGGCGGGACGGGGCAGGGGGGGTCGGAAGTAAATACCCATGCCCGCCCCACGCTACTGCTGATCGGGTAATACCCGCCCCATCACGGGTTAGGTCGGGTAATACCCGCGGAACGGGTTGAAATTGTCATCACTACGCATACACCCTTAAGATATACAAGATGAGAATACGTTGGTTTGGGTATCCTAATTGATACATATCTAACCAGATTCTCTTTCTCTCATACGTGCCCCCATTCACTTTTTTTAAAAAAAAAGGTGATTGGTCGTTTCATTAATATGAAACACGATGTACAAAGTTTTTTACAACAATGAAAAGGAAAATAACCATCTGAAAAGAATATTGAAAGAGAAAAAAGTGGCCTAACAAGGCTCAAAGCAAAGAAGCTCACACCCTGGTCCAAAAACAAATGGACAGCCCACCCCAATCAACCCTACTTCAGCTGACCCAATCATTAAAAGATGGCCACCAATTGCATCCTCCACCGCCGACCCAACCGTGTTACCTTCAGCTTTCACATGGACACCCGCCGCCGTCGAGGAATGAAGGGGACAACCGATAAAATCACCAGGCACCAACAACCCACTAGACCGACAAGTTACCGACGAAGGGAAGAAAGAAAGAACCATCAGCGGGGAGAACTATTCCCAGTGAGCTCCGAGATCACAGCAAGAAGAACCAGAGAAACAATCTTGGACCATGGACAGATGAAAGGCGATCGAATCGTCGCAATCTGAGCAATCGACTAGAACACATCCTCAAGAGTGACTTCCTTGCTCACAAGCTCTCTGAATCATCATCCAAGACAGCATCTCCGAATCATCCCCATTTATGGATGAAGCATGTGGAGGTAGATGAGGGATCAGAGAGGAGCAAGCCAACCAATCAAGATTGGTCCCCTCAAACACCTACCAAGGACATCCACACAAATTTGGAATTTGGTAGGGAACAAAAACATCTCCACAAGGATGGAGAAACATCATCACAAGGATGGAGAAACCACAAACATGAAAGGAGAAGAAGAGGAAACAAGTCTAGATCCACGAAAACAAATACCAAAACCAAACCACAAAGATGAAATCAGCAGAGAAAAGGGGGCAAAAAGTAAACAAATAAAAAAGAAAAGGAAGGAAAACCGTGAACATGATGGAATCACAGGAAAAGCAGAAGAAATATAGGGCTTGGGCCACCGTCTGTCAGCAGAGGTAGCCGACGGCAGCCCTTTAGAGAAGGGTGAAAGAGCTTCCTGTTAGAGAGGGGAGCGCAAATAATTTCAAAATAAAGTAGGAGAGAGAGCCGCCCTCCGCGCCCCATTCACTCGTTTCAAATGGCATGGGAACCCTTGGTCCAAGTGCTCATTATCTTGGTACGATCTGAGCTCCTTGAATGAAGTTTGGGTAAATATAATATATTAGCCACAATTATTATGAAGCGGGAAATTATAGCCACAACAATGAAAATTCAAATTATTAGCCATAACTATTGTTGCGACTCAAGATATGGCTAACTGTCTGGTACTGTTATTGAATTTTTTACGGAGAAGGTCACGTCATCGGCCACAGCAGCGGCCACGTCGGAATGCTTTTAATTTATAACTTTAAAACATAAAAGTTTAGTCAATATTACTAATGAACGTGTTAACAGATAGTTAACATTTGGATAATAATTTGAATTTCCATAGTTGTGGCTATAATTCCCCGCTTCATAATATTTGTGACTAATATATTGTATTTACCCTTAAAGTTTTCAAAAGATGCATACTTGTACTTATGCAAGTGGCATTGGTTGTCATTTAAGCATACCGTATTCCAGTTGTACTGTCACCATTTTCGTTCCCGGACCTAACGGTACATTATCCGTGCTACACAGCTGCTGTCATCTTCTCCACTCTTGACTCGCCCTCATTTTTTCACCTTCATTTATTCTTCCACTCTCTTTCAAGGGCAGCGATGAGTGGCTGCAAACGAGTCGAGTCAAGTATTTGCTTACATTGAGCTCGACTCGTTTATAAAGTTTTCAGGTCAAACTTGAATTTTGATAATCTAGCTCGACTCGAATAAAAATAATCCAACCGAACTCGGCTTTGTAAAGCTCGGGAAATGCTTATTAACATAGCTTGACAAACTGAGTACAGGCTCGGCTCAATATGAGCTCGATTTGAAATCATTCTTGGTGAAAAATGTGTAAACATAAGAATTTAAATGATAAAAGAACACTGAAAATTAAAAATAACAGCTAACTTCAATACACATGTGTATTAACAAGATAATATTAATGTTCAGAAAAGTAATTAATCCTTTCACAAGCTCTAAACAAGTCAGCTCGTGAGTTTAATTGAACAAGCCACTGAATCAAGCTAGATCACGAGCTTATCAAGCTGAGCATGATCTAGCTCAAGCTTGGCTCGTTTACTAACAAGTCGTCTCACGAGTCGATTTGTTAAATAACGAGCCGAGTGTCGAACGAGTTTTTCCGGATTCGATCGCCAAGTTGCTCGCAAGCGGCTTGGCTCATTTGCAGCCCTAACGATGACAACGACGACATCAGGAAAGGTGTAGGCTCCGCCTTCAACCTTTTTTGAAGCTATCGGAGGATATTGGTATTTGGTTCTCCGAAATGTTCTTCAACGAGGAGGTTGGCGCCAATGGCGTTGACTTGTAGGGGGATATGGGTAGCAAAAGTTCTAGCGCTTTTATCCGAAAAGTTATCGGGTAAATTGCAAGGTTGGTCAATGGGATACAATAAACGTTCATGTTTGGTCACTAGAAATATTTAATTCCATTCCTGGTCACTAGATTTAGTAAAACAGTTCAAATTTGGTCACTCTCCGTTAGTCTCCATCCATCTTCGTTAGTGAAAACCGTTATGTGCTAACGTGGCAGACGAAATTGCCTAGTCAGCCTAATTTAACCTGAAATTAATGAAATGTGACATGCCACGTCATTAAAACACGCCATGTCATCTAACTCAGCCCAACCTAAATTTTGAACCATCCCAACCCACGAACCAACCTACTCAAACAAAATAGGGTCTATGTCATTTTCCTTTCTAGATCTAAAAACAATCTTCTCTCTAGTTCTTCATTATTCCATCGCTCCCTTCAACAACCAGCTCCAGATGGTACCTCATCGGGTCACCGCAATAATTGGCGCTATGGAGAATAAATTATTGTTGTTATGGTGAAGGCGCCAGCGAAGCACGACCATCGCCTCCCTAGAGACAAAGGGAGGTTTGATGTTCAGATCAAGAGGAAGCTAGGGAAAAGAGACGGGCAGGGGAGGCTTCTATTATGTTAAAATGGATGAGGGGCAGTGGAAAACTAGGGGGAGAAGAACCTTTTTGCAAAGGGATACGAGAAAAGAGATTCAAAGAAAGGAGAAGAAACAGAGAGTATAATAGCAAAAGGGAAGGGAAGGGCTTTGGGGCAGAGCTCAAAAGGTACTTCTGTCTTCATCGTTTCCTTCATTTTTCTCTGCAGAGGCCCAGCTATGATAGCAGCAGACGCCCTCAATCATTTTTCCTTTGTTTTCCCTGTTGAGAGGAGAGAGCTCCTCGAATCCTCTAGCAAAGAGAAGAAGAAGAAGAGGGAGGTGAGAGGGGGCAAGCGCCGGTTCCTCGATCTGGTTCCGTACAAGATTTTTTCGTCTGGACTTTCACTCCCGTAGGATGAATCAGGCGATGAAGGAGGAGGGAGTGTGATCATTGATGCAGATTCGGGGAAGAGGAGTAGAGTACAAGGTGACGGCAATTCATTATTTAATAACGAAAAATGGTGAAAGAGGCCAATTTTCATAAGTTGGGCAGCCCTAAGGTAAGACAACTGTGATTTTTTACTTTTAGAGTTTTAGTTGATACAATTGAATTAATTTGGGAGGAACCCAACAATTGTAATTGAGAGTTGAATTTTATTCATCTGTTGATAGCTCTAAAGTTGAGAAATTTAGTGTACATTTCCAAGGGAGCCCAAAGTTTCCAGTTTTTGTGATCGGTTTGGGGTGGGGGATGGGGAGGGGGGAGAGAGGAGTTAATTGTACTTGTTGAAGTCGGAGGATGCATGTGGGAGATGGAGGTGCTGCCCTAGTGATGGCAATGGGGCGGGTACCTCAATTCTCATGCCCCGCTCCACGTTACTACGGGTTGGGGCGGGTAAAACCCGCGCGGGTACGGGGCGGGGCGGGTCGACCCAATCTTACATGTTGTTCAAAAAAAATACAAGTAAATTTTACTTTTTACAATAAAACGTAGGGAAAAACACTTTAAGAATGAAAAATATTGATAATAGAATGGATAATTGAGCCTAACAAGTTGAAAGATCGACTCTAACTAGTTGAAGAAAAGCCAAAATAGGAGAAATATGTATAGATATTGTAAGAAATTGAGAAAAATGAGTCTAGAACGGGGCGGGACGGGGCAGGGCGGGTCGGAAGTAGATACCCATGCCCCGCCCCACGCTACTGCGGGTCAGGTCGGGTAATACCCGCGGGGCGGGTTGAAATTGCCATCACTACGCTGCCCTTCCGTTGTTGTCGTTATCATTCTTCCTGCCGGGAAAAAGATAAAATAAGGAAATGAAGCTGGAAAGGAGCGCGAGGAAGGAGATGAGAAGATGACTCAACAGACATTATCTGTGCTAATATGAAATGTCAGCGTGACACAGATAATAACCATTTAGGTTCCTACCCATTAAGTATGGAGATAGAAATAGTGACAATGCAATCGAAATTCGACATACATGGTTTAGTTGCAATAAAAAATAAGTTAGGTGGTGGTGAACGCACAACATAAGTTGTACTTAAGTGACAACTGGTGCATATAACCCTAGATATAGCCATACCTATTATGAAGAAGTAATGAAACACATATGGGAGATCAATTAAGTAGACACGATGGAGAAGGTGAGGAAAACGAGAAAATGCTTAGAAACGGCCGGAGGAGTCGACGGAGCCTCTCCGCCTGCAAAGAATAGTGCCTAAAAATCCCTCAAACTTTCCGCGAAGGGACGCTTAAGTGAGAAAATTATGGGTATGCTTTTGGTTTTGAAAATGGAGGCTTGAAACTTGAAAATTTGTTTCTCATAGATATCACTCAGAAATAAAATAAAAACTTTAAAATTTGTTGAAAAATAGTATGAGAAGCAGGTTTCCGACGAAGAATTCCAGAATCTAACGAGAAATGGCGAACAATGCACGATTAGAGACCGCGCGACCAATATATAGGGAGGATGGACGACGGCACAACCGTGATGGATATCACGGCTTCCAGTCCCTGCAAATGCCCGCAAGTCGTGCAATCATTTGGGATATTTGCACGGCCACACAGGCTACCGCACGGTATGACTGTGTGGTAGCACTAAGGCCAAGAAACTGTGTGAATTTCCAGGGCCTTTGGCCGACTTCATGACCTAGTTAGGTGTGGTGTGCACGGTTTAACTGTGCGAATTGCCCACCAGGCCGTGCGGTGGACAAAACCCATAAAATGACCCACTTTTGACCTAAATCATACTATTTTCGATGCAACTGTGCTCCAAACTCAAAACCAAACATTAAAAGACCAAAATGACAAATTTGGGCACAGGGCTCTCTCTTGACTCAATCAAACGACTCATACTCAATCACAAACACGGCCCAAGGGAAAAGGAAACAAACCATCATTGGTTGCCTCCCAACATACACTTCGTTTAACGTCCTAGCTAGACGCGGCTGGGTGGATCTCATGCTTTCAATATGATGCCACCGGAGCGGATCTACCATACTCTCAGGGCGAAGGTTGTCGCTTCTACCGTCCAATGGCAAAAGGTAGCCTTGGTACCTGGCCATCTTTTCCTTTCCCTTGTTTTTGGGACGAGGCAAAAATAGTCTCAAGCCGAATCCATGATCTGTAGCCTTCAAAATCTAAGGAAAATGACTTTTCGAAAAATCGTACAAAAAATTATGAAATAGCCTTCTGAATAAAATCAACCCAAATTGGCAATTAATAGACTTCATCATCGGTGGATAATAGCCTCAGATCGAATCAGTGATATGTAGCCTTCAAAATATAAGGAAGGTGGTCTTTCGAAAAAATCGCATGAAATTTGTGATGGTAACACTTTAGAATCAGCCAAAAATGGCCTTGGAAAAAATCCAACGAAATTGGTGGTTAATAGACTTAATCATCGGTGAAGATTAGCCACAGGACGAATCTGTGATCTATAGCCTTCTAAATCCAAACCAAACGGCCTTTCGAAAATAGAATCTGACAAAAATGAACCTGGAAAAAATCTGCCATAATCGGTGTTTAATAGACTTAATCCTTGGTGGACAATAACCGCGGACCGAATTCGTGATCTATAGCCTTCAAAATCCGAATAAAATGGTCTTTTGGAAAAAAATATGTCGAATTCTGTTATTCATCTTTGGAATTTGCCAAAAATTTCCTCGGAAAATGATCTCACGCCAAATGCGCTATCTATAGCCTTATAAATAGAAAGAAAATTGTCTTTCGAAAAAATCGACTGAAATCTGTGATGGTACCCTTTTGGAATCTGCCAAAAATTACCTTGGAAAAAATCCGCCCAAATCTGTTATTAGTAGCCTTCATCATCGGTGAAGAATAACTTAGGTCGAATCCGTTATCTGTAGTCTTCAAATTTCAAAGAAAATGGTCTTTCGGAAAAAATCGTTTGAAATTTGTGATGGTACCCCCTTTGAAATTTGCCGAAAAATGCCCGGAAAAATTCGCCCAATTTGGTGCTTAATAGACTTAATCATCGGCTAATAATAGCCTCATACCGAATTCCTGATATGTCACCTTCAAAATGCAAGGAAAATGACATTTCAAAAAATCGCTTAAAATCTTTGTTGGTACGTACTCCTTTGGAATCAACCGAAAATGGCCCTAGAAAAAATCTGCCCAAATTGGCAATTAATAGACTTCATAATCAATGGAGAATAACCTCACGTCGAATCCGTGATCTGTAGCCTTCAAAACAAAGAAATTGGCATTTTGATAAAAAAAAATCATCTGATATCTATAATGGTACCCATTTGGAATCAGACAAAATGGACTCGGAAAAATCCTCCCAAATCGGTGCTTAATAGATTTAATCATCGGTGGAGAATAGCCTCAAGCTGAATCCGTGATCTCTAGCCTTCAAAATCCAAAGAAATGGTCTTTTGAAAAAATTGCCCGAAAACTGTGATGATACCGGATACCCATTTGGAATCTGCCAAAAATGGCCCTGGAAAAAGCCGTCCAAATATGATATTAATAGACTTAATCATTGGAGGAGAATAACCTCAAGCCGAATCCGTGATATGTAGCCTTCGAAATAAAAAAAAATGATCTTTCGAAAAATCGCATGAAACTTGTGATGGTACCTCTTTGGAATCAGCCAAAAATGGTCCTGAAAAAAATCCACCTAAATCGGTGTTGAATAGGCTTAAGTATCAGTGGAGAATAGCCTCAAGCCGAATCCTTGATATGTATCCTTCAAAATCCAAAGAAAATGGTCTTTCAGAAATCGCCTGAAATCTATAATGGTACCCCCTTTGGAATCTGGCAAAAAATGTCTCAGAAAAAATCCGCCCAAACCTTCAATTAATAGACTAAGTCATCGATGGTGAATAGACTCAGGCCGAATCTGTGATTTGTAGCCTTCCAAATCGAAAGTAAATGGTATTTTGAAAAAACGCACAATATATGTCATGGTAACCCTTTGAAATCTGCCAAAATTGGACCCGAAAAAATCCTCGCAAACTGGTGCTTAATAGACTTAATCATCGGCAGAGTTTAGCCTCGGGCTGAATTCGTGATCTGTAGCCTTCAAAATCCAAAGAAAATTGTTTTTCGAAAGAATTGCCTAGAATCTGCAAAAAATGGATCCGAACAAAATCTGCCTAAATCAGTGCTTAAAAATCTTAATCCTCAATGGAAAATAGGCTCAAACCAAATCTGTGATCGGTAGCCTCCAAGGTCCAATTAAAATGGTCTTTCGAAGAAGAAAAAAATGCTTGGAATCTGTGATGCTACCCCTTTGGAATTTGCCAAAAATGGCTCCGAAAAAAATCTGCTTAAATCGGTGATTAATAGACTTCATAATCGATGGAGTATAGCTTCTGGCCGAATCCGTGATTTGTAGCCTTCAAAATCCAAGGAAAATGGCATTTTGATAAAGTGGCCCAAAATAACTAAAATGTCTCCTTGAAAAAAATCTGCCCAAATTGGCGACTAATATACTACATCATTGGTGGAGAATAGCCTCAAGGCAAATATGTTTTCTGTAGCCTTCAAAATCCTAGGAAAATGGCATTTAAAAAATCACTTGAAATATGTCACAATACCCATTTGGAATCTACCAAAAATGGCAGCGGAAATAACACCCCTCAAATCGGTTCTTAGTAGACTTAATTTTCGATGGATAATAGCCTCAGGCCGAATCCATGATATGTAACATTCAAAATCTAAGGAAAATGTCATTTCAAAAACATCGCCCAAAAATTATGAAAATACCCGCTTGAAAAAATCCACCAAAATTGGCGATTAAATCATCATCGGTGAAGAATAACCTCAAGGCGAATTTGTGATCTATAGCCTTCAAAATTCAAGTAAAATAGCATTTTGAAAAAATCGTCTGATATCTGTGATGGTACCCATTTGGAATCTGCCAAAAATGGCCTTGGAAAAAAATTGTTAAAATCTGTGTTCAATAAACTTAATCATCAGTGAAGAATAGCCTCAGGCCGAATCCATGATCTGTAGCCTTCAAATTTCAAAGAAAATGGCCTCTCGATTAATGAACTTCATCATTTTTGGATAAATTTCATAGCTCAGTGCTAGTATATTGATGGCCTTTGTGTTCTTTGCCAAGGATACTACAAAAAAGAGGAGGTTTGGGGAAGACAAAAATCATCCTCGGAATTAGGAAAACTCGTCCCTATAGCTTTTGGAGACGACTAGTCGTCCCTAATATGTGGTTCCCTATACTATTGTCCTCTATTCTTTTGGGGACGACAAAAATCTAGGTCGTCCTCGTTACTAGGGACGACAGTTGTCCCCGATACTCGCAAGTTGTCGTCTCATTTTTTTCCATGAAAGACAACATGTCGTCCCTATAGCTATAACTGCAAGAACAATAAGTCATGTCCTAAACATTATTTCCGGGAACGAACAATTGTCTCTTAACTTGTCTATTGAGCGACGATGTGACTTATACAACTTCTAGGAAAAGACTAATTGTCTTTTATGTAACTCGTATGAACCACTTGTTGTCCTTTAGTATGTCTATTTGGGGACGCCTAAGTGCTCTTTTTTTTAGCGGGAGGAATGGAGATTATGTCACATCTGTTTGTTGATTGTTCATATATGACATGTATTTGGTCAAGTTTTTTTGAAGTAGTGTTGTCTCCCTACTCCCTAGCATGTAGGATTGGGATGCAAGGTTGACTTGGGCAATAGCACATTGGAGCGGTGTTGAACTAGAGTCAATCTCTAGTGGGCATATTAGTGTGGACTTTTTTTAATTGAAAGATGCTCCATGATGTATGGAATGAAGGAAGCTATGTCTCATTTGGAGGTTGCAAGACGAATCAATAATGTGATATGAAGCCTGGTTGTATCTTAACGTGGTCGAGTTTGTGTAGGTTGGATTTGGGATGGTGATAGATATACAAGATAGTTTTGTTCTTAGTATACCTAATGTTGCTAATAGTTAGGTTCTATTCTTTACTTCATAGGCAAAAACACTTTTGATAATTGTAAGTTTGAGAAAGGAGACCAACATGATCTACCTTGGGCTTGATAATATTTGATTTAACCTTAAAAAAGAAAGAGGGCAACAAGATTACTAAAATCAAACTATTTGTGCGATAGAGGCCTGCACGTAATCGTAGCTACACTACAATAAGAATATAACATAAGAGAATAAGAATAGGAAAAATACTAATAAGCATTAAAGAGGATTGACATAGAATAAGTAGAAGACATATTCATGCTCCGGCTCATATTGCTTACTGCCCCAACAATACCTGCATGAAACGGTCGTCAGCATACAGGTCAAGTCAAAATTAACATCTCCAATTAATTATCTTAGATACTTAAATCATGTGGGCGAACTTTAAATACTTTTATCATTTGCTGTTGTTTTATGAAATTGCCTTAAAAATAATAGACGGTTTCAAATTTGAGGATTCCAGGCACCATAGAGCACATTTACATCCTTCCTCTTCTTCTTATTTATACCAAATTCTCCACCTCTTCAACTTGCATCAAAGCATTTCCCCCTTGCTCTGAAATCAAGCAAAATATCATGGATGTTCCTCCTCCAAACCGTAGTGGTAACTTGGCCAATGTCCTCATGACTTGCACAATTTGTTGGGAGATGCTTTTTATCCATGGCCGTTCAAGAGTTACCCTCTGTTGCTCTCATGTTTTTCATCTTGGTAAGTGACTTCGATTCAACCCAAGTTTATCATTACATAGGTTGATGTTTGAGTGAGCTCTCTCATCTCCCAAATTTGATTCTTCCTTTGTTTTATTTTGTGTACATTAGATTGTATTGGCTCTGTATTCAATTCCCAGAGGGCCATGCGATGCCCTGCTTGTGGTCATGTTGAAAACAGGGCATGGCAATTGCCAGCCCGAGAACAAGAGGAGTCGTCGTCATCAAGAGGCCCGAGGCAGCATCGCACATCTCGAAATCGTGGGTGGGTGGTTTACGACCAAACTACACGTGAATTCGAACATGTGGAAGCAACAACGATGGAGCTCTCGACCTACATTCGTAATGCTGGAGATATCATGTTTGGAGAAGAAGATGGTTTAGTTTATATGGCATTTAATAATGTTTCATATAGCTTGATGTATTTGGTTGACCTATAAAGTTAACCTTTGTGATCCATCAATGGCGCTCGAGAGTAAAATCTCGAAACTTCAATAAAGAGAAGCTCAAGTTAAGCAACGAAGGCGTTTGCTTAAGTAGATGCTTGGTATTTTAAGTTATGATGAACGAGTTTCTCGTGAACAAGTGGTTTTTAAACGTGTCGAGAAGTTTAATAGATGACGGAACATGACATTCGTGCACACTTAAATCAAGCTATGTTTCTATCGGACATTAGCTAGATATCCTAATGTTATTCTATAATGTTCGATCGCTTAACTTGTTATTTATAACGGTTGAATGCACTCAATAACTATTTATACATATGATAATTGTGAATAACGAAATGAATGATTCAACAACAATCAAATTAGAAAGTTTGAACAAAAATCCCTATTAGAACCATAGCCAGACAGTGCATGCTCGTGCTAATGCATAAGCTTCAAAAAATCACTACTATACCACCTAAGAAAATCCAAACAACAAGTTAATTACTCTGTTAATCATAAGAGAATTCCTCACCAACACAAAGAAAACAAAATCCCAATTATCTATCCTATAGCCGTACGTAGCCTATTGGAGAAAATTACCGGGAGAGTGTGAAAGAACAGGGGGAAAGACGCGAAAGAGAGCGCAAAAACAAAAAGATACCATGGATGGAAGCTTCGGCCGTTGCAGGGTCTCTGTACTCACAAGAAAGAAGCCCACCGCCCAATACTCTGCTTCACTCTCTTTGAGTCTCTGTCCTCTGTAAGCGCACAATTCGCAAACTAGTGTGCTTCTCCTTGTCATCCTCCTTCAATTCCTCGCCCCTCACTACAGTTTGCTTTCTTCCCACTTTTCCTTTTGCCCCTTCCTTCACACTCTTAGATCTTCAACTGGATTTCCACACTCTATTTCTCTGGGCTTAAAAAAAAAACTCAAATAGAAAAAGAATAATTGCAGTCTGCTGCTTGCCATAAGTACACCTATTTAGGACCACTGCCGGTACAAGGTGAAAGTGCTTATCTTGTAGCTGAACAAAACCGGATTGGATTCGGATATTCCTGCTGGAACACCTCATAGATCAAGGGGGAGAAAGCTTTGGTTTACTTTGAGAACAAAGTTTTCAGCTTTTGGAGATTTGAATTCTCTTGTGACCGTAGAGATTCAAGAGTTGTTGTTTTTAAGGAGAATTGGGGATCTGGGTTCTGGTGATTCGCAGAGCATAAACAATGGGTGGTTCCGATGAGAGAGTTGTGGCTGTAATCATGGTGGGTGGACCCACGAAAGGTATGCTGCTCTCTGCCTGTGAATCTTCTGTCGAAGAATATTGATAAAGGATTCTCCTTTTTGGTTTTGCATATCGAATTGCTTAAATCTGCGGATGCCATTTTACCCTTTTTGCGCGTTCTTTTGTTTATATGGCGCTTGGTTTTTTGGTATTTGAAATGGTTGGTTATGGCGATTCTTATTCAGCCAGTCTGAATTGTGAAATACTACAGGAACACGATTCAGGCCATTGTCATTGAATATCCCTAAGCCTCTTTTCCCCTTAGCAGGACAACCAATGGTTCACCATCCAATTTCTGCTTGTAAAAGGGTACATTTTACTTGCATTTGAAGCATTGTGATTGAATTGTGAAGGAAAACCTGATTTTGAAATGCCTTAGCATTTTGGATTGATATGCTTGTCGTCTGGTTCAGATTCCAAACTTGGCTCAGATCTATCTCGTCGGTTTTTATGAAGAGCGTGAATTCGCATTGTATGTTTCTGCCATCTCTAATGAACTTAGAGTGCCTGTCAGGTAAACCAGTTCAAATCATGTATGGTTATCAGCTTCTTTGCCTCTAGATTTGCTCTTTTGTTGCGAATCATGGGAATCTTGGATTTGGTGTAGATATCTGAGAGAGGACAAACCTCATGGTTCAGCTGGTGGGCTTTATAACTTCAGAGATCTGATCATGGAGGATAATCCGGTATTCACTGTAACCTAATGTTCTTGGGAGCTTGTGAAGAAAAAAAGCTACTGTCTTTCTAACACTGATATATATTTTGATTCTTTCTACAGGCCCATATATTTTTGCTGAATTGTGATGTTTGCTGCAGTTTTCCTCTCCCAGAAATGCTTGGTAATTGCCAGTTGTATATTAACTGTACTCGTAGTTTTAACCTCTGGAATCAACTTCATCTGCTGCTTATGTTTCTGTTTTGTTTCTTCTCTTAAATGTTTGCAGAGGCACATAAAAGATATGGTGGGATCGGAACTCTCCTCGTAATCAAGGTAGATTGAGAAAATACTGGAAAGCTTTTTGGCCTAAAATATGTTATGTTTCAGTATTGAACTTTAACTGCATGGTTATGCTTCATTCTTTTCTTATCTCCACAGGTTTCGGTCGAGTCAGCCAGTCAGTTTGGAGAATTGGTAGCTGATCCAGTCACCAAAGAACTGCTGCATTACACAGAGAAACCTGAGACTTTTGTATGTAACTTGCCTTTATTTAATGTTTATCAGAACATGAAAGAACTTTCGAGGTGCTGCTTCCTGTACTTATTTGGCTTTTCCTTTGCTTCTAATGTATGCATTGTCACAATAATAATCTACAATGCAGGTGAGTGACTTGATAAACTGTGGAGTCTATGTGTTTACTCCGGAAATATTTACAGCCATCCAAGGAGTTTCTTCCCAACTGAAAGATAGGGGTCAGTAAATCACTCTTTCCAGTAAAGTTATGTTTATTTATGAATCGTGATTAAGTTGGCAGATTTCGAACATGCCTATTCTTGTATCCAATTCCTCTGCAAATGAACTGCAGTGGTCTAGATGCTATTAAATGCATGAATTTCACATCTGCAAGGGTGCATTTGGTGTAGAAGTGTGTAACAAGCAGATCCCGAACTTAAGAACTCAATTTAGGCCTGAAAATTGAAAACTGTCTTAGAGTTGAAGCAAATGGGTACATCTGGGAGTGTGAATCAATTGCTGCCAGTGGAAATAGGTTTTCTTACAATTTTTATGTCAAACTATATCCTAAAGTTGTTTCCAATTCCTCTACAAGTGAATTGTAGTGGTCTAGATGCTATTAAATGTATGAATTTCTCACCTGCAAGGGTGCATTTGGTTTAGAAGTGTGTAACAAGCCAGAGTCCGGACTTGAAATCAATTTAGGTCTGAAAATTTACAACAGTCTGAAAGTTTAAGCTAATCGGTACATCTGGGAGTTTGAAGCAATTGCTACAACTGGAAATAGTTTTTGTTACAATTTTGTGTCAAACTAATCCTGAAGTTTAATTACCGGGAAAAAAAATCCTGAAGTTGAGTAATTCACCCATAACTTTCATGTGCAGCTAATCTTAGACGTATGTCAAGCTTCGAAGCTCTTCAGTCTGCTACCAGGTTTGTTCTTCTGTACCTGTTGGTTGTGTTGTTGAACCGAAGAGTCATTTTTCCTGGGCTTGCTACCCGTTCACCATAGATGGGATGACACAGTATGAAGATAGAATGATCGGACACAGTGCACTTCGAACCCATTGTTTCTTTTAATTTCCTTTTTTTTGGCCTTCTTAAGCGAATTGTCGTGATATGTTTGTGTTGTGCAGGAGTTTCCCTTCACATTTTGTGAGGTTGGATCAAGACATTCTGTCACCCCTTGCAGGGAAAAAGCAATTATACACCTATGAAACCAGAGACTTTTGGGAACAAATAAAAACTCCAGGGTAACTAGCCAGAACTATCTGCATATTTGTCACTGTTGCTACCCTTTCCCCATTGCTTTAAATTTTGACTTCTCCAGATATATGCATGCAGAATGTCTTTGAAATGCTCTGCTTTGTATCTTGCCCAATTTCGGTTCACTTCTCCACATCTATTGGCTAGTGGTGATGGTTCAAAGGGTGCCACTATTGTTGGTGATGTTTACATTCATCCGTCGGCCAAAGTTCATCCAACCGCTAAGGTGATTTTTCTTGCTCTCTTAGTTCTGGTGCACGATTCATTGATCAGTGATCACTCAGACTCAAACCCACTGTGTGTAGTTCGGTAGATCTTAAACTGTGTGTTTGTGCCTTCTCTTGCACGACTAAATGACAAAAACAGTGAAAAGAAAAAGAGCAAGTTTGTGTTAAACATATTGTTTCAGTTTGCTGATCCAAATGATGATATAGATATTGCTGAGACGATTTTCCTTTCCAACTATCCACTTTCCCTTGTTAACGGAACTGTGGTGAAACAGATTGGTCCGAATGTGTCGATATCAGCCAATGCTCGTATAGGACCAGGTGCAAGGCTCATCAGTTGCATTATCCTCGACGATGTTGAAGTCATGGTAAACAGGCTAACTCTACTGACTGACTTTGCATCCTTATGAGTCAGTTCCATAGCATTTGGATGCCATGATTGTGTATATAACTCTCTTTCTTTTGATCAGGAAAACGGAGTTGTCATCAACTCCATTGTTGGGTGGAAGTCCTCCATTGGCAAATGGTCTCGAGTCCAGGCTGAAGGTGCTTACAATGCAAAACTGGGTATCACGATTCTCGGTACTTTCTTTCATACCCTGGTCCCTCTGCCCTAGTCTCCTCCCCCTTCTATACCACTCTGCAAATTCTACTGCATTGTCAGTCATCGGTTAGACTTCTGCTGATATGACTTCTTCTTCGTCACTGTTTCTCCAATATCCAGGTGAAGCTGTAACAGTGGAAGATGAAGTGGTGGTGGTGAACAGCATTGTACTGCCACACAAGACTCTCAATGTTAGTGTTCAGGAAGAGATCATCTTATAGGGAAGGATGCCATTGCTCTCTTGTATTTGTACTCCACAAACAGCTGTTTTTTCCTCTTGTTGTCGAGAAAGTTTTGAACAAAAACCTCACTCACAGCCTCATCTGTAAAATTCGTAATTGTTATGAGTTACCAGAAGAAACTAAAGAGGGACTAAATTCCATTTTGCCCCGTTATCTGTCTGTCTGTCTCTCTATCAAGCACCCTAGCAATCTAAGGGCTAAACCTTAAACGCAATAGATGTCCCATCGCCATTAGAACAAAGAAGACACAGAGACTCTGAGACGTGACCAATGACCAACCCAGCAGCTAAAAATGATCATTTGCAGCCATAATACTATGCAACAGATGGACATATGACCACCTCACACATTCTCCGTCAAGAGCGCTTTATCAAACTCTTGGACTCCCGAATTTGGAGTCCTTACCGCCCAGACAGCCACCAAGGCAACTAAGAACATAATCCTTTACCGTCAGGACACTATGCAAACAAAAGAAAAAAACAGCCAAGAAACCAACTAAGAACGATCCCACCACCAAGATACTTGCCACCGAAACAACTAAGAACAGTCCTTCACCGCCGTGATACTATACGAAAAAAATAAAATAGACAGCCACCCAAATTACTAAGAACAATCCTTTGCCACCAAAGCTGCTAAGAAGCTGCCAAGAAGAACAGAAAAGAGGTAGTTCCTAGCAGACCACGAGGAGCTATGAAGTATGCACGATCCTCTACAGCCTAAAAGGTCTAGTAATCTGAAACATAAAAAGAGATGTTATGCAATTACATCCTTTGATCTCACCTTATCAGCTTTACATTGATATTCCCTCATCTATTTTGTTCCACATTAAGAAACAACCAGATAGACCTTTGCTCATAATGAAACCTCCTGATAAAGAACAAGGTGTAAAATCATTTGCTTTGTACTCAGTTTATTCATACTCCGTAGATCTATCAAGTCACACACTATGAAAAACTATGCGGCAGTTGGTTGCGTTGGATGTCACTACAATGAATGGTCAATGACAAATCAATCCAGAGGATGGCCATACAAATTTTTATGGTGCACAAAGGAAGTGCAACCCACGAGAGAGACCATCTCTTCCATTTCAGCTGAGAGCTTTGACAAAGGAGAGCCAGCGAATGAAAAAGTCCATCAGGAGATTTGCTGGATTGGTTTCTTCTCTGAAACTTCTGTGTACCAGGATTGCCATGCCTCCATGTAGTGAACAAACAGGTCTTTCAGAGCTGCAGCAATTGTTCAATATTAAGACTACGGAAGAATCTCTTTAAAAAAAAAAAACTACGGAAGAATCAAACTTGCTATCCAAGTTTAGTCTGGTTTAAGCTAGTGAGGGTAGGATTTTTTACCTTGATTATGATATTGAGGGCGGAAAGTGGAGGTCAGAGCGTCCCAATCACGAACCTGAGGAACTACCCTTGGAGAACCACTATCTTTGACCGCAGCAGCTGGTGCAAAGGGACCAAATTGGTAACTCCTTGACCCCTGAAATGAATCCTGGCTCAGGCTGCCTCCCTCACATCCAGTCATTTCATTCTCAACCTTGATTTGACTTGTATTATCATGCATCTTCATGTTCTGGGTTTTATTGCAAACTAGAGAATCAAGCTTGTTCCTCTTGAAACTAATATTTGTAACATCTGCACCAAAAACCCTTTTCCTTGGTTCACAATTAGGAAGAGGTGCAGCAGTGCTTGTAATGTTGCTGTTGTGGTTTCCGTTTAACCCTACCCACCTAAATGCAGGCTTCCTGGAATCTGCAGTATGAGTCTGCATCCAAAACCAACATCAAGTTTACAACTTGACAAGAAATCCAACTGCTCAATGTTCAAACTAGCAACTGTGCTGAAAACTATCTTGTTGTGGAGCATTACCTTCTCGATAAGCTTCATGGAAGAAAGTACATTTGCAATATCATATAGCCGTCTGACTTTGGCTGCAGATTCACAGAAGAGATGGAGTTTGTTTATAATAAAGAAACAGATAACAAGCTGAGATGTGAGAGGGTAAATGCAAGAATGGAGCTAGAACTTGGAACTCACTTCGCAATATCGACACACTATGGCCGTCTCCAAGCAGTAGCTTTGCAGAATCATCAAGAGATATTAACTGCGACTGAAACAATCAGTTCAATGTCAGCACCAGCCCAAGTGGTTCAGTTGAAACAAACAATATCACAAGCATAAAGGACAAGCACTCCAACTCACATCAGAACAAAGAAAAAGCTTGACAAAATTCTGGGTAAGAAGCCCCAGAGATTTCTCCTTCCTGTTATCTACAACACCAGAAACAAAATGAGCAGGTTGAGTAACTCCCCCCATGAGCAAATAAACTCCTACCCATTCCGAATGCAGAGAACTCACCTAATCTCAATGCAGCAGCAGACTGGCAAGTACCACTAGGAGCTGCAGAATCATTCTGGCTACCAGTATTGAGCTCTAGATCGCGGTCATCTTCGTCGTCATTCTGGCTTCCTGTATTGGCCTCTAGCTCACGGTCATCAACGTCATTTTCATCATCCAGCCCCTTTCCAAACAATTAGTAACGGGAGTAAGAGTAAGAACAAGCAAAGTAATATAGAACACAAAGTAAGGTTGATGTTCTGAGTAAAGCTAATTCAGATATCAACTTACTTTAGCTCCATTGTCGTTACTCTTGTTATCAGATGAACAGAAGTTCTCCTTCATACCCTGATCCTATGGTATCATCAAGGCACAAAAACCCAGTATCAATAGTCTGTACTATGCCCACAAACATAGAATTCGATGCGGGAATTGTAGTTTTACCTTTAACTCCCGGAGAGTCTCTGGCATTGCAGCGAACCCTTTCCAGGTGTACTGATTCTTAGCTCTTCTACACAAAACCTATAATCAAAAGAATTCATTAAAAGCAGCCCAGATAGTGAATAGCCCTAGGAAATCCAAAGTCAGCTGGGTTTTTGAAGGAAAGATAACTGAAAAAAAGGAGGGAAGTGAAAAGTGAATCTCACCCCAACACTTTCAAGGACATTAACAATGTCGTAGATCCGACGGCGCTCAACCCCTGCAAAATCCACCGGTAAGAAAACTGAGCTTTTACAAAGAGTTGAGAGAGAGAGAGACCGAAGAAAGAAAGGCGATGGGGAAAACAAGGGGTTAAAGTTTAACCTAATCTGGTGGCCGCATCGTCAAGGCCAATAACTTCGATTCCATCTCGGTTATACAAGTTCAAGAAGCTGCAAAAAAAAAAAAAAAAACCCCGGCGAGATTCAGAATCGATGGAAAAAGAAAGAAAAGCAGTGTAAGAGATCGGAGAGAGAAGAGAAGGAGTGCTTACTTGGTGCATAAGAGGCCGAGAGACTTCTGCTTCCGGCTGTAACTATGATGGCGGAGAGAGGATTCCGGTGGCACATGGGTGAGCGAAGAGTTCATTCCGGCCTCCGATTTGGGAAGGCGGAATTCCGGCGGGCGGGAGATTTGGTGCGGGGAGAGAGAGGTGTGGACTGTGGAGCGGAGCTGGGGATGGAGGGCCGTTAATAGAAAAATTGGAAGAGAGGAAGGAGGAGATGGGAAGTGGCGCGGCTGGGGATTTTGAAATAAGAGGGAAAGTCCCCAAAAAAAGGCGGAATTAACACAGCGAGAGCGGGGCGGGGAGTTTTTTTTGGAGCCAACGGTTGGCGGATGGAGGGAGGGTTTTTGAATTTTTGGGGAGATGGAGGTCTATAACTTAGCGGGGTTTTGAATTTTGACGCGCTTGCGTTTTGCTTCCCTTCCCACCAAGGTTGTCAACCACGGGTTGACCCGGACCCGGTTGAGCTAGTGGATCAAGGGTTAATGGGTCACCCGTTTTAGCCCGGTTTAGCTCGGAAATATGGAAAGCGTCGTTATATTGTACTTATTCTGATAAATTATATCAAATCTCATCTAAGATATGAGTTATAACATATAATATTACACCAAAATAACATTCCGTACTTAGATTCAACATATAGTGAAACTTCACACACACTTATATAACATTAATATTCAAATGTTCAACTTAGGATTCCAAAGATTGAGTTAGGCTAAAAGAAAAATCGGAAAATAGGCGCATTTCGCAAAACAAAGAAAAAAATGGCACAATTTGACCTCCAACCCGGTACCTTATAGCAGTCGACCCGACGGGTGCGTGCGGCCCGTTTTTCTCACCAGGTCAGGGTCAAAGTGTTAGAAACAAATTATTTGCAGCTTTTGGTTAATTTGCATTGTTGTCGGTTTTGTTAATTGGGGGATTATTTGGGGTATTCGGGCAATAAGCAGGGAGTCAATTGTTACGTTTTATTAGTTGGGTAGGAGGTGGGAATTAGGCGGATTATATAATCTGCAGTAGAGAATTATTTTTCCATTAAACAATAAAATATCAAAAACTTAAAATCTACCCTCTCTCTTCTTCTCTCTTCCTGCATCCCCTTCCCCTCTCCCTCTCCCAAATTCGGCAATAGCAGCTGCCCTCTTTTCCCCTCTTTTTATCTCAATTCTCCAATTCTCAATCCCTAACTAAGTCAATCCCTAATTGATCTAGCTAATTCCCTAATTCCAAACCCGTTAGAAACTTTGTTTCTAACACAAAGTGGGTCAACCCGCAGGTCGACCCGCGGGTTGACAACCTTGCTTCCCACAAATATCCTCCTCCTCCAATCCAATCCAATCCAAACAATATATAGAGGTTCCTCATGAGCACCCACCCATTTGATTTTTTACTAGCTTCTGCGCATAGCTATGGGGGACTCTTTGGTCATTTGGTTTGCTTAAAATAATCAACTTATTAATTAAAAAAATAGAGACTCCAAATATAAAATACCACCCCTTACACCAAAAAAAAAAAAAAAGACCACCCTTTTTTTATTGATATGCTATGTCGTATATTATAAAAAAAGTATATGTTATATATATGAGATCATTTGCTATACTTCAAAATGTTTGTGTTTGCATATACAACTTGGTAACATAACGTTATATAAGTTCAGTTTATATTATAAAATAATTTGTATGAAAATGTATAAGTACAAACTGTACCATAACGTAAAGGTATACATTCATTTTGTATTATAAATGAATTTGTATTAAAATATACAGGTACAAACTAAACATGTACCATAACATTAAAGGTAAAAGTTTAGATTATAATATAACAAAATTTGTTTGGAAATGTATAGACACAAGCGTTCATCTAAAAAATGATATATGCCTGCCTTCACACTTATTAGATGCACTTCAATATATTTCGGTGATTTAGAACCATCAATTATTATTTTTATATCAATTGGATCTTATGGTTTGAGTTAGAAATAGTGGATGGGGTTTACACATTAGAAATTAGGGTATAATATCATGCACCAAAATCCAATTAATTCTTGGTTTAAAAAGCAAACTACAGAGACGTAAGGTAAGTTTAGCGTACATACATTAAAATTACTATTAGCCGCTATATTTGTTGTATCCATATAGGTAATTTATATTATGGTTAGTTTATTAACATGTTAGGTGTATAATTCAACGTTCGTACCCACTCCCTTATTAGTCTTTACTTAATCATATTTCATTTGTTCTAATTTAAATTATAACATTTTAACTAAAAATTTAATTTAATTATACTATATAAAATGATACCCAGTTTGACATGTTTTGGAAGTTAAAATCATATATAATATTCATGAACTATCAATTATTCTACAATGATACTCGATCTATACAAAAAAAATTAATCAAATTTCTACCATCAACTTTTTGTTAGATTGTCACAGAAGTGGGTCTCAACTTGCTGACTGGACTTTGACTAAGCTCCCAATCTCTAAACTAACTTAGAATGATCATATACTCCCCACTTAATTCATGATTTACAAATTAAAAATAAAAACACCACGTAGAAAAAATTGAATTCATAGCATATTTAATTATTCTCATTGTCGACCACTAAAATTTCCTCAATCATTTTTGCTTATTGGAAATAAAATCTGCAAAGGTACAAGAAAAAAAAATGTATCTATTGGAGAATAGTCAGCTCTTACTATTTATTATTTATTTAGTTAGTTTTCAATATATAGATTTGATTTTGTGTGTTGGTCGTTCGATTATTTATCAGCATTAGGTGAACAAAGAAATCTCATAGAATGTTCATGAGATGTACACTCTACTGCGTGAAATGTTTAGTGTTTCCAAACATGTTACTATTAAAGATGCTTCCATTGAAATAAAGAAGAAAAAAATTAAATAAAGAAGAAACAACCTATTGTGAAGATAAAGTTTTTCATTAAAGAACTAGGAAGACAAACATATTTTATTTGGTGGAGAAGGTGATGCTTAATGGGGTAGAGAAAGAGCAATCACAGAAAATCTAAAATGAAATTTGCAATAACTCTTACGGTGAGGAGCAAATGTGTGGTATAACTAAAATTTTAGGAGTCAATTTCCTTCCATCACATTGTTCTATACATTTAGTAAGGACTTTAGTCAATAAATCGGGTTGTTATGTTAAAATTTTAATGAGTAAGATATTTTCAGTAAATAAATTATTTAAAATTTTTAAGGTATGAAATAAAACATGTCTTGCTTTATAAAATTCTATGATTATTTATACTATTAATGAAATTCATCCGGCCAACGGGCGGGTCCTAATCTAGTTACTCTTTTTCAAGTTTGTCATACCGGTCTAAGCTGGTTTTGCAAATTGCAAGTGATATAATACGATTAGTATTACAAGTTACAAGTAGTTCAATTTGATTTTAGCAAAATATATATGGAAGTAGGAAAATACAACATTTAAAAATACTAACATATTTGAAGACAATTTTCTATTTATATAAAAATACAACATTTTAAAAAATGAAAAATCATATTTTAACATGTAACATTAACATTCAAACGTTTATACTTGAATCCAACATAGTTCTGGCCAGGAGAGGACACAGGCCAGAGATACCTCTAAATTTTTTTTTGGGGGGGGGGGGGGGGGGGATAAATAATTTATCGGTACTAGTTTGAGTTTGGGGCAGGGACGGATTCATAATTCGTTATCGATTTCATGTGACACTTCTAAATTTGGCGATCTCCTAATAATAATTTGAATTCGAAGGGAAAAAATAATAAATTTTGTAATTCAAATCCATGACACTATAATTATTAAATAAATGATTGATATATTTGTATGGTCCGAACTTTTCACATATTAAATATCCTGGCCAATATTTTTGATCTATAACTTCGTGGCCTCAACTATGCATTAAAGTTATGATATTGGCCAAATCTTAGATTTGACTGTTATCTTGGACGGTCAACGCGCCACGTCACTGCCAAGTCAGCACAAACCACTTACAAAAATTGTTTTTTTTTAATTTCTTTTCCTTTTTTTTCTTCTTTTATTCAAAATAGAAAAAGATAAATGATAATATGTGGAAAAACAAAATTTTCTAGTTGTCTGTGCTGGCTTGGCAGTGACGTGGCGTGTTAACTGTTAGTCAACTTGTTTGACCATCCAAGATAACGGTCAAATCTCGAGTTTGGACAATTTCGTAACTTTGATGCATAGACGAGGCCGTAAAGTTATAGATCGAAAAAAATGGTCAGGATGTTTAATATGTGAAAAGTTCGGGTCATATAAATATATTAGCCCTTAAATAAAATATCATTCATTACACAACATACCAATTGTTGTTATGTTTAAAACATATTGTAATAATAATCTAAAATAAAGCTCATTGAACCCTAATTTCCACAAGTTTGTTCATTAAAACCCCAAAAAAACTAAATCCCCAACTTCCCACAATTCTTATATCGACTAATCTTACATTGTTATCAGGTTTAATTACTTTACTTTTATTATTGATATGCAATTGCAAGAGTTAAACTACTCCTTTGATGAGGTGAATAATAGGTTATTAACTTATGGCTTGTTCTAGTCCGGATATTATCTCCTTTTGACAAAGAGAAGGGTGGTCAAAACTTTCCAAAATTCAAGAAGGGTGGTTAAAGCAAGAAGGAGAAGAAGTATCTAGATATAGATTATTGCTCTTCTCCTCATCTGTATAACCTTTCTCATAGCTTGTAAATTGTTTATGGTTTGTATATAAGAGTGATTGCAAACCTATATATTTGTTCCATTTGATGTTGAATCAATGTCAAATTATTGATTCAGTAAAAGTGACCATTGCTTTGTTATTGACTTCAGTCGAGGTGACCATCCCCGTAGGCCAATATTATAACATACATAAAGTAGTGTGAGAATTGGGTTATGAGACTATTGAGTCGAAGTTTCACTTTCATAGGAATGAATCCCAATTGAGAGTCTAAGGGGTAAATTGCGAATGTTAAATCGTTGTATTGTAATGAATCACCATAATATTAATGCATGTATTGATACAATAGATGTATTTTAACAATACATTGTTTGGTTGTTGAGATTCTATTTTATGCATTGATTTACATAAAATTATTTTATGGGGAAATGTCACATTTACCCTCAACTTTTAGAATAAGACAAAAACTATTAAGGATATAAATGAAAAGAAAAGGTTGACACAAATCTAAAACCAACAATCACAACAATCTCAACTTTTAGTTGAGATTGTATAATGCATCATTTTTTGTGATTGTTGGTGGGACCTATTTAAAACAATGCATGCATTGTTTTATACTTTGACACTTCCAAACATTGTATTGTACATAATATATGTATTCAACAATCACAACTTCCAAACGACCCCTAAATCTAATGCTCTAGATACCTAGCTAGTTAAGGACCCATAAGTGTGGTTGGGAGACATGACCATTGCAGCAACCACTAGACTAAGAGATTTCACACAACTTAGAAGACAGAGGAATATTTCATTAATTTGCACTCAACGCATGTATTAGAGTAGTCAAAAGAGTTAAAAGAAATACCACATTGGTGGAAGAAGGAAAGTGTGAGTGAATTTTAAGTTTGCTTTCCACTTTAGTTTATTAGATAAAGTGGTTAGTGGACTTTTAACGTTCATCTTCTTCCTGTTTTTCTTCACCCCTCCCTAAAGTTTTTCTCCCTAAAGTTTTTCTCTTCCCCAATTCTCAAATTTAGTGGTATAACGTGCATTTTATTTTAACCCGGAAGCTGAAAATATTACGGGATAAACGAACACCCCTACTCCTCCCACTTTGATTAATCAAAAGTCCCGCATGCAGCTTGCTGCGAAAGCAGAGCACAGCAGCAGAAAATGACAAGATAAACTAACCAGCTATCCTGATTCCTGATGATAAGCTAGCCAGTAGCTAGCTGAAGCTGTGGATGCATAGCCAAGCCAGGCCAATCAATATGGTTTGCTCCTTTTGATGCTGGAGCTGTTTCTGATGATGGCCGCCTCCGGGAACTCCCTCCAACCGTTTGGAAATTGAAAATCGGGCAATCTCTCCTCTCCTCTCCTCTCTTCTGTTCTGCTACACTTTATAAAGAACGACACAAAGAGAAGGGAATCCAACCCAAAATCATCACTTAAATCCCAGACAGAACAAACCAGTACCCAGAGAAGATCATGTTGAAGGTGAAGCTTGAGAAAGATAATCTTCTGGACTTGGATCAGAGGCTAAAAGCCCATGTCTTTGGCCGCAACACGAAGCTGTCAAGGCACTCACCCTTGCACTCCGCCGCGCCAGTACAGCTCTCGAAGACCCAAACAAGCCATTCGCCAGCTTCTTCTTTCACGGCCCAACCGGAGTTGGGAAATCACTGCTAGCCAGAGCATTAGCAATCGAGTTCCTCGGGTCGGCAGATTGGCTGATTAGAATCGACCGGGCGGCCGATTACCCACGAGAACTCTTCACCTCCCGACTGACCGAAACAATCCGCCGCAGGCCAGCCTCCGTCGTCCTGCTCCGTCACGTCGAGAAAGCCCTACCCGACATCGCCGACGCGATTCTGCAAATCGTCGACGGCGGGAATCTCGCCGCCGGCGTGGACGGGCAGGAAGTCAGTTTTCGACAAGCAATCGTCATCATGACCTCCAATGCCACCACGCCGTCTCACGAATATTCCCACCACAACGTCGGCCATATCCTTCCTTGAAATGTTTCGCGGCAGGAATTTACTCCAATGTTTCGCGGCAGGAACTGGAAGCACAGGATTTCGCATATTTCTGAATGGCATCTTCGGGCCGAGATATCACAACGAATCAATGAGGTCTTGCTGTTTAACAAGCCAACGAGGGAACATGTGGAGCAAATTGTTGAGGTTGTGGCGAGGGGAATTGACGGGGAGGACAGGGCATCGAAGTACATTGAAGTTGAATTGACAGGATGGGATGAAGCACACGGAGGTGGAAGAGGGGTACAGGCAATTCAGCCATTGTGATGGAACCACTGCTCACTGTTCGTTGTATTCAAGCAGTGGCTGCTTGTTGACATCCTCAGCACAGGCATAATGCTCGCAAGACTTGGGAGATGGTGAGTTACCTACACAAGATAAAAACAAGTTACTCTGTAATTTGGGTAGAGCACACAGCAGAAAAAGGATAGGGAGTTTGCAGAAACTACAAGGAAAGATGACAGACAGACGAACCAATAAACAGCTGTAGTAGTAATCTTTGCATGGTGAAGGTGGGCATCTACAAGCTGGTCGTCTGCACAACAGAACAGGATATGGTGACAAATGAAATCTTGCCACAAGAAATTTCCCAGAATAAATAAAACTTTGAAGGATTCATCTGAAGGGAGATAACTTACTTGTGTTACCATTTATTATGTTGAGGAGTAACTGGCACTTGTATGCATCTGTAGCTTAAAAATTTCATGCACCAGCTCGTTCAAATCTAGCACGACTTAGACTGGTCACTGGTATATCCTCGAAAATTCCATGTTCCTCACTGAATCAAGAAAAATGTATCATCAGTAGATATTGTTTGTGACATAGGTCAAAAATCGCAATCAAAGAAATGGTCTATGTCAAACAGTACACAAATGGGGACTCGGCGCAGCATTTTACTCTACATTTAGCTTCATAAGAGAGAAAGAATAGAACATGGGACAAGACAAGCTACTGATATTGAATGGAGTCGCTCTTCTTGATAATGGAAGAAGGTAGTCATCAATAACTGTTCTACCGAAATCCAAGATCTAAGCTGATGAGAACTTGCCACAAAATTCCAAAACAACAAATTGTCATCAAATAGTAACATTTCCATAACAAGCATGAATGGCCTATTTGGCATTGAATTCACATTAGGAAGACAGACACCTCAATAGTCCAGCAAATGGAAAAAAAAAGATGCAGCAAGATTCTCAATAAATTTAACAGATTAAACACCAACCTTGTGGAATGGTGCTCAATGGGCATAATAGTGACTTGGCACAGAAAATACTTTGAATACCCGAATGGGGAACTTAGCAAAAACCACGACCTATTTGCCAGCAGATTCTTACTCCATGGATCCAGCTTTCAGCAAAGAGATCCACAAGGGAACTGACTTTAGGATGCCAAAGTAGTCTCTCTCCACTTAGTAGTTTCATCCATCCTCATGAATACTTTATCAGATTTAAGTATTTACTTAACAAGTCCTTCAGGATGCCAGATAACAATGCAATACATCAAGGTATTGCCGCTGACCTTTTACCAAGAGGGCAGGTCTTCAAATGAAGAGGATCTTGCTTCGATTCACTTATCCCTTTCTTACAGGCTACAGCCTTTTAGATATGCAGACTTCATAATTTCACTTTGCGGGGCACATGCCCACATTTACTTTGCAATCTCAGAATCTTCCTAGCAAATTCATGACTACCAGTTAATGACAGCCCATTAAGTATCCGATTGAAAGTAAATCTCCGAGGAACGAATCCTCTATCAACCATCTCAATTAACAATTTCCCAGCAAATAATAAATCATCTGCTTTTTTCCGGACAAACATTGCACTTATCAGAATGTTGTAGGTATCCAAACTGGGCAAGCAATCCCCACCACCCATTTTCTCAAACAAATCCAACCCCTTATCGATTTCTCCAGCATCACATAAGTACCGAATCATCACATTGTAGGTCTGCAAATTCGGCTGACAACCATCACCTTTCATATTCCCCATAAACTGCAATGCCTTCTCAAATTCACCAGCATGACACAACCCTCGAATTAGCACAGTGTAAGTTGTTACATTTGGCTCATAACCTTTTCTCACCATGTCTCCAAAAATCACTAGAGCATTCTCCAAACAGTCCTTCTTACACAAAACCTGAATAAAAGCATTGTAAGTTGCCACAGAAGGAAGAACTCCTTCGTTGACCATCCGATCAAAAACATTCCGAGATCTCTTAATCTCGCCTGCAACACCAAGCCCATGGATCACAGTAGTATAAGTCACAACATCAACCTCCCATTTCCTCTTTTTCATTTCCAAGAAGAACTTCCAGCCTTCCTCAATCTGAGAAGCTCTAAAATACCCTTTAATCAATATATTGTATGTAGTCAAATTCGGACTCACCCCCCTCTCCACCATCTCCTTCATCACCTCCACCGCCTTCCCCGTCCTCTTAATCAGACACCAACCATTCACAATTGTATTATAGCTGACACAATCAGCACGGAACTTCCCTCGCAACGCCTTGAACAAATTATAAGCCATTTCCACATGATTCGACTTGCACAGCACATCAAGAAGCGCATTGAAGGAGTTCAAATCAGGGAACCATCCGTATTCATGCATAGACAAGAAGATATCCAGAGCCTTATGAGGTCTTTTCGCAGAAGCATACCTCTCAGCAATAATGGCGAATGTTTTCGGCGAAGGACCTATCTTGGTTGATCGCATCCGGGAGACCAGAGTCCACAGAGTTCGGAAATCGCGGAGGCGAGCCGATATGTCGATGGCGTGGTCGAATGAAGAGGCATCGTGGCAGTACGAAGGGTGGTGGGAGAGCAAGTGGAAAAATTGCAGAGCTTTCGGGCCGTGGTTCCAGAGCCGCTTCATGATCGTATTGACGAGCTCCGGACTCCATTGAATGGAAGGGGAGTGGAGCTTCTGAGCCAAGGTCCGCCGGTCGGACGAATTGAGAATTAGGGAAGTCAGAGAAGCAGCATCTGGCGGCGGCTCGGTGGTGGTCGTTTGGGGTGTGCTTCGCCGGTCTGATGGGCTGAGAATGAATGAGCTCAAGGGAACTGAGCTTCGTGATGGCGGGTGATCGGCGACGGAAGTTGTGGTGGAAGTTTTCGAAAGGAGACGGAGGAAAGTCCACCGGCGGCGATGGTTGGGCGCGGAGAGCCGTGTAAGCATGCCGAACAAAAATTCTCTCCGAATGGTTTATTTGACCTACTAGCTCTGTACTCCGGACTTGGCCGGGTTGATTTTTGTGGTGGGATTGTTCTGCTGTTATTGAGCTCTTGCCTCTTTGTCTTGCATGATTAACCGGTGTGTGCTTCGATGTTGTCAACTCGTGGATTGACCCTGACATGGTCGAGTTAGTGGGTTAAGATTTTAAGAGGTTAATGGGTCACCCATTTTAATCCGGAAATAGGGAAAGAGCCATTATATTGTACTTATTCTGATAAATTTGATCAAATCTCATTGAACATATGAGTAATAACATATAACATTACACCAAAGTAACATGTCGTGCTTAGATCCAACTGATAGTAAAAATTCACACACATTTATATAACATCAAGGATTCCAAAGATTGAGTTAGGCGAAAAGAAAAATCGGAAAATATGCGCATTTCGCAAACCAAAGAAAAAAATGACACAATTTGACCTCTAACCCGATACCTTGTAGCGGTCGACCTGGCGGGTGCTTGCGGCCCATTTTTCTCACCGGGTCAGGGTCAAAGTGGGTCGACCTGTGGGTTGACAACCTTGATGCTTCCTAAATCCTAATCAATATTTCCAAAAAATTAGTGGTTGTTAATATCACTGCTCACGCGCTATAATATAAAAGACACATATAATATACTAACTTAGAAGTGAATTTACCACAAATCATATAAAATTTCAAATTCATATTTCCTATTGTTAAAGAATTCAAACAAATCATTCAAACTATCTCACAAAAATAAATCACAATATTTCATTCAATTCAAGTTCGTAATAAGAGTAGGGTTGTATTTCCAATAGAGGGTGATTCAAGTTGGTGTATTCAATTTAGCCAATCATTTATCTCTTGGAGGTGTTGAAAAACATAGGTTTCTAAATAATCAATAGAAGCTGAATATAGATCAATGTCTAGAGTTGCTTCAGAAATTGTTTGGCTACAACGAGTGCATTTTGAATTGGGAGTGCAGTGTCAGACACCTGTGAGGCTATATGGAGACAACATAAGTGCAATACATATTGTGATTAATCCAGTTGCACATGAACATATGAAGCATATAAAGATACATGTACACTCAACTAATTTTTTTGTAATTAATAATCTTAAAACTCTTAGCAAAAACCTAATACAAGAAAATCATAGATAGATCTTCTTTGTAAACTAGTTTTATAATGACAATACCACATTAAGAAATTTATTGTCTTGTGTTCATAATTCTTGATTTCGTAGATTAATTTGACAGAGGCTACTAAGGAGATATTTTTGGCTTCGAGATTTCATCCTAAGGAAATGAGAGCAAAAAACTTAAATTTGAAACAAGATAAGTTGTACGAAAGAGGAACAATTTGGGGGGTTTCACTAGCTCCAGAAGAACTGGCGGTACAAATTCAATTATATAGACCCAAATTGGGTTCGTGTAGTTGGTCGCTCTTTTTGTTCTAAATTTCATATCACATGTAAAATATACCTTTTTATTATCTCATTCCAGGTAAATTTGATCTCTTCTACAATGATTCAATTTCTATTGCTCCTGTTGTCTGTTGAATCTTGCTGAACCTATTAACGATATCTTACTGTTGAAAAGCGAAGAAGAATAAAAAAGGGTATATGGTTAAGTACTTGTGCAATTAAAATATCAAATTAGAAATAAGATAAAAATACGATGCAAAACCATACATTAAAATAACACAAACTGTTTTTTTCTTTTCTACTTTGAAACCCCACACAGGCACCGCTTGAACATTGATTGGAATCTCGGACAACAAAGCAGTAGAGCTAGTAGATAAACATTTCAACACATCCCAAAAAGTTAATGCCTAAATGAAAAAGATAACAATCGGCAGACCCACACCTACATTAACAACTTACCAATTAAGATCAACTGCATAAACTCTGTTTTTTAGCAACAAATGGAATATTTTTCCTCCAGTACTAATTGTAGAAACCATGAAGCACAAGCACTGAATACAAGCAAAGAACTTGACCTGCTAAACAATGGACTCCTAGTACTGCCAATTCAGATAGTAAAGAGCAATTAGTACGTAGGGTACCTATAGCAACTCTACCAAAATTACTCGAACTTCAAATACCAAGACAACAAGAATTCCTAAGGAGTTCAACTTCCAGAGTTTTGACTCAAAGGTAAACATCCTTTCAAAACAAACAAGAATTCCCAGGGAGTTCCAACTTCAAGAGTTTGACTCTCAAAACATTCTTCCCACAAAGCTAAATGGATAACAGAAACAGTATTGGCCTCACTTCTGCAATGTCCACCCAGAGCAATCAGACATAGTTGACATGCTTACGCTTCCTAAGCCGGTTCAACCATCGCAGTTCCATCTCATCCTTAATCTTCTTCTTTGTTTTAAACTTCTGTTCCATGGTGGAGGCGATGGATTTAATGTGGTCTTTCATCTGCTGCATGGAGAACCTATGCATTGTCATCGATAATTTACTGTGCCCCGCAGAGACAGGAATTGGAGGTTTAGATGATGACCGCAGAAGACCAGCAGGAACCAGAGGAGGTGAAGAGCAAGCAGGGGGTGTGCGAGTGATCAGGCGCCCTCGGAACATAACTCCTATCCTCTTTGGCAGTCCAAAAAGGAAACCAAGTCTCCGTTTACGATGAGACCACCGAGGCTTTCGGGGAGTACGAGCCTCTAAGGAAGGGTCTTCTTTAGCTGAAATTTATATAAACTTGTCACTGAATAATTTGCAAGAATTCATATTCAAGCAATTCCAAAGAAATGATAATTGTCGAATAATCAACTTCCAAACAGAATAGTATACTACAATTCTAAGATAGATGGAAAAAAAAGCATAACTGAATAATCAAAGAATCATCAAATGAAACAAGATCAAACCAAACAGAACAGTACATTTCTAAACCACATTTAATAGAAAAGTTGCATAACCGTTCAACCTCCCTCCAAAGCTCAGCACAGACATCAGCCAAAAGAAGCATTCCATCACTGGCACTTGTCTGAAGCCTAGAGCAAGAGGCTGCAAACAAAATTCACAGATTATTAACAGCTGCCATACAAATGAGTGAATACATTAATATAAACACATGCAATCAAAATATACCAATGTTCCTGTCCACAAGAAGCAGTTTCACTCCGAGCTTAGCGGGACCATAGCATACTCGGTAAACTCGAGCAGGAAGAGGACTCGCCTAAGCTCCTCATGGATCTCCCTCAGACAATGTATATCATATTGATGGCACTTCAACAACACTTCTTTTCTTGCAATCAGATAATTGAAGCTCATGGTAAATGAATGATAGTTCGTGGACAGCTTCGTGAGCCTCTGATACTCTTCATCAATGAGAGGGCCCTGGTCATCCTCTGCCATTTTGGGTCTGGCAAATTAAAACATATATATATGATGGCAGTCAATAGGTAACCCAAAGATGACAATCATAGCTAATACGATCAAAACTTTGCTGTTTGAAAACCTTCAACTAGACAAACATACTACCAAAAACTTCTACCCAGCTAGATCACAAGAAACTATAATGTAATACAGACTGAACTACCCCACAGAAATTGCCTACATACACCCAGTCTCTACGTAGTTACACATCTGCAAACTAGTGATCTCCAGCTATTTTAAGTAACAAAAAGATTCCGGATACCTTACTAACAAACACAAGGAGCATAATAATCTACAACAAGTAAGCTAGAAGAAGTTCATCCAACTCAGAGATCGCATACCTTCTTGATACCAAATTCAAGGAGCATAATGATCTACAGGATAAGAATGCGTTCCAAACAAAGACAAGGAGCATAATAATCTACAATAAGCAAGCTATAAGACGGTATCATCCAACTAACAGATCGCCTAACTTCTTGGTACGAAATTCGAATCCAAACAAAACAGATAGATGGAAAATAAAGAAATCTGAGAGACGAACAGAAACCTTCTTGCAAACCAGAGAACAGAAACCTTCTTGCAGAAAGAGAGTTGATACCTTCTTGCAAGAGCCGAACAGAAACCCTGAGCCGAACAGAAATCCTGAGAAAATGAAACCCTAGAGAAGAAGGGGAAGGATTACAGACTATCGGTGGTCTCATCGCAAACGGAGACTTGGTTTCCTTTTTGGACTGCCAAAGAGGATAGGAGTTATGTTCCGGGGGCGCCTGATCACTCGTACACCTCCTGCTGGCTCTTCACCTCCTGCTGGCTCCTGCTCGTCTTCTGCGGTCTTCATCTAAACCTCCAATTCCTGTCTCTGCGGGGCACAGTAAATTATCGATGACAATGGATAGGTTCTCCATGCAGCAGATGAAAGACCACATTAAATCCATCGCCTCCACCATGGAACAGAAGTATAAAACAAAGAAGAAGATTAAGGATGAGATGGAACTTCGATGGTTGAACCGGCTTAGGAAGCGTAAGCATGTCAACTATGCCTGATTGCTCTGGGTGGACATTGCAGAAGTGAGGCCAATACTGTTTCTGTTATCCATTTAGCTTTGTGGGAAGAATGTTTTGAGAGTCAAACTCTGGAAGTTGGAACTCCCTGGGAATTCTTATTGTTTTGAAAGGATGTTTACCTTTGAGTCAAACTCTGGAAGTTGAACTCCTGGGATTTATTGTTGTTTTGGAAGGATTTTTACGTTTGAGTCAAAACTCTGGAAGTTGAACTCCTTGGGAATTCTTGTTGTCTTGGTATTTGAAGTTGGAGTAATTTTGGTAGAGTTGCTATAGGTACCCTACGTACTAATTGCACTTTACTATCTGAATTGGCAGTACTAGGAGTAGGGGTGTTAATCGGTTGGCGGTTTTTAGGTTAAACCGAAACCCGAACCGAAAAACCACGGTTATTCACCGAACCGATAATCGAAAATAGTGATTCGGTGTCGGCTTCGGTTGGCTGTTTTGGGGATTTTTGCTAACTGGCAACCGACGGTTGCACACCGATATAATCTCGGTGCACCGCCAAAACCGCAAAAACCTCTCGAGACTCTCCCTCTCTGCTCTCACCATCGCCACTCTGCCTCTCCCTGGACTCCAAACCTCTCCTTCTTCACTCGGCGCTCTCTCTCCTTCCTTCCTTGTCCAGTTCCATCTTCAATCGCCCCGCCCGATCTTGACGTCCCTTCTCCAAATCCCTTCAATCACCATCTCCCTCTCCTCTCGGCTCGCCCCTCACCACCTTTTTCCCAAATTGGGAATCCCAATCGCCAGCCACCACCATCCTCAATCTCTCCCTCTCCTCTCGGCTCGCCCCTCTCTACCCTTTTCCAATCCGCAGCCACCAGCCCATCACCATTCTCAATCTCCGCTCTCTACCGATGTTCCTCGGCAGCCACCACCATCCTCAATCGTCACTCGCCGTCGACTTCTTCGCCTCAATCGCCCCCGCCTGACTTCACCCACTCCTTCCTTGTCGAAAGAGGTCGTCGGCTCGCTGCTGCGGAAGGAGTCAGCGTAAGCAGATCCACCCACCTCGTTGCCGTCTTCGCTTCCCATTGCATGTTCCTCGATGGTCGCCGCCTTGCCTTCCTCATCCTCGGCGGTCAACAGCGAGATCCCGACCCACCCTTCCTTCTCCAATCGTCGTCGCCCTGCCGCTGCCACTGTCCTTCCTCCCTCTTCAGTCTCCCCTCCTCTCGATGCTTTCTCCCTCCATCTACCTCGATTTGCAGGAGACTCAACTTGGGATTTTCCGCCTCTGATGCCTCTTCTTCCCCCGCTGTCGCTGCTTCAAAATTGGTGTGGGTCGGTCTCGGCAAACCGCAACCACTTAAACACTAAATAAGAGACTCCAACTGCATATAAACAGCAACCTCTCTAATGTTGGAAGCCCGATAGCACATACATGTTACAGCTAGTAGAAGAGAAGAACATGCATCTGTTGCATTCACAACAAAATACCTGCGATATGGAAAAAAATGGAATTCTGAGTTCAGATGGCACTGAATCAAATCCAGCAGTCAAAAGCGCACCGGTCCGAGTCCAATCTTGAACTAACACCCATGAATGGATTTTCTCTTTGCCAGAAAGATCTATTCTCTGTAAAAGAGAGTAACAGGGTTGGGTCTGTGAAAATGGCCGAAAATATCAGAGAGTAACAGGGAGAGAGGTGTTCCTCCTATTGTTAACGGGAAAGCTTAAGAAATTAATACAAAGTAGAAGAAATTAGGATGCTTACTAATCAGGATCAAATGATTCAACTTCTTGCCTACAATCCATGATCATCCGTCAGTTCCGACCAATACGATTGTTCATCCCCATAGCCCAGGCTCGAGCACGAAATCAGAAATCTAGAAGAAGCGGGTCGAGAGTAGTGATAGGGAACCTGTCCAAGCAACTCTGGCAAAATAGAAAGGGAAATCTATTAGAAAGAAAAAAAAAAAGAATCATCTTGGACTGATGATTCGTCCATCCCGGAACGACCAAACCCAGACGAAGGAGAGAAACCCCGCCAAATCAACTCTGGCCAAACCAAATGAAGGAAATAAATGAATACCTGATGTAGTTGCTGACTTGCTGTAACCTTGATGGAGATTGGAGCTACGGCCGGCCAGCTTGGGATTCAATCGTAGAAGTGTTAACAGAGAAGAGAGAAGAAGAAAAGGAAAGGACAATTGAGTAAAGGTTCTGCCGCTTATGAGGTGGAATGGGGGATTGGGTCGGGAAAGAAGAATGACGGAGAGAGGTATGGGTATTGGAGTGCTGCAAAGGAGAGGAAAAGCAATCGATTTGGAGAGGACAGGTAAAGCAATCAATTGGGCTAGAGCCTAGAAGCCAAGAGCTGTACCGGTTGAGTGCAGAGTCCCTGCTCAGCAGTGGCGTGGTGAAGAGAATTGATGGAAGGATGGTACGACAATTGCAATAAGGGGCAACCACAGCAATGGCGTACTGGCCGTAGTGTGAGCGGCATGGTCGTCAGCTGGATTTGGGGAAGAACTGATGAGGGAAAGCAGTTGGGTGGGGAAGATTTCTCACAAAAGCTTTGATATGCGCTAGAAGACAGAAAGTGCTACAGAAACGGGGCAAAAGCGTACCCAGCTTTTATATATAGAAAGAATGATATCATCCTGCTTAGCACACTAGCAAGTCTTGCACCAACATTTCCGCTTCTTACCATGATACCTGTGGTGTGCTGATCTGTTCTCCTTTCTCCTATGACCAAATTGTGCAAGTCCCTCATCTAGTTGCCATTCATCATTGGTCCAGCAATTAAACCAGCCACACACACAAAAAAAAAAAAATTGAGACTAGAAACCACAAAATCGAACGAAGCCGAAAGAATACACGTACAACATCCCTATGCATCTATGTATCCTTAACTTCATTGAAGTTTTAGATTAAAAACCTAAGAGTTTGCAACCAAAGTAAAACTCTGAAGCAAAGGGATTCAAGATTTGACATGTATCTATTTAATGTGTGTTACATGAGGAAGTAGTTAGTTATGCCCAAAGACCTCTCACCTCGTCCTGTTAGGCACTAGGTCTTTAGGTGAACTTTTCTTTCTGACTTCCTGGTGTCATTTTGTGAATTCAGAAAACCTAACCACACACCTCATCCTGTTAGGGCACCAAGTTTTATGCAGGCTATTTTCTGGGGAAACCCTTTCTTTCTGACTTCCTGGATTCATTTAGTGAACTTCACCTAAAAGAGACACAAACCCGGAAAAGGAAAGGTAACTTCTGACAAAATAAATTACCAGTGCCTGGAGAAGTTGTTGCCTCGGTGCTCTGAGTCAAACAGCTGTGAGTTCCATTGTACCTGCCTCGCAGTTCCTTGTACCTAGGAACTGGAGTAGGCCAACAAAGGAACCTAGGCAGGAACAAAATAAAACGAGGTAAACGTAGTATTAGTTCAGCAACGAACTCTAGCTCCCCCGTCCTCAAGTCGCAGGAGAAGACAGCAACCGGATCCTGAGTAGTACATTCGAACAAGGCAATTTCCATCTTCTCTGGATGCAGACCGAGAAATGGACCCTTCAAAGGGCCACACTTGGACCTTGGCGTCTTCAACAACCCTTCAAATAGTTTAGTCCAAGATTTACGGTCTCGTTCCAGTCTCCAAACACTCGAGACGACCACTGAACAACCCGGTGGCGGATCAGGATTCTCTCTAAATGCAGTTACGTGCAAAGCATCTTGTGAGACCGAAATATCCCACCTCGAACTCTCAAACAGTGTAGACGTATCAATCGAAGTGGGAGGTATATCAAGCCGGAATGGATTAAACACCGCCAACAAACGATTGTACAGGCCATCATCTACCTTTAGTGCTCTAGCATACATCCAAAACATCTCCCCGTGGAACGAAACCACATTCATGCTAAGGAGTTTCACACCATCAATAACAATAGCCTCCCCTGTCCATTCGCCCGACTCGGAACAAAACACGTCTAGTTTTATCGAATTCTCATTTTGGTATAAGATAACCACCCGGAACCGATACTCAGAATAAACAAATGATTGGTAATCTCCTAGATCAAGATTATAAGAGATGCGTGGTTCACAGACTAACCTTGCAGTCGATCCTGCATACGGCCTTGGCTTCTTAGGCGCTATTGGGAGGGCCAACCACTGCTCCTTAAACGGATTGCAGACCACGAACGTTCTGCTGAGTTCGGGATTGTTGTAATCTAAGGCCATAAACCCGCATAAAAGCAAGTCCTTGAAGCAATCCAAGACTTTCAAGTTGAATTGTACTCGAAACTCAAGGCGAGGCATGAAGCTGATGATCAATTGCGGATCGTGCGTGTGAAGTTGCAGAGGCGGCGATTCGTTCCTGTTCTGGTGGTAGGAAACGAAACCCAGATTAAAGCTGGGACTGGAGATCAGGGATCTCCAACGCCTGCAGACGGTTTTGCAGCGGCAGGCGGATCTAGGGCACGGGAGGCACCGAATCAGAATATCCGCGAGGAGATCGTCTCCGAGTTTGTCGATATGGTTCACTTCTGACAACCTTCGAAGTCGTTTGCTGCGGGTCTCCATGGCGGTAGACCAACATGCGGATGGAAGGAAGGTACAGCGGCCGGAGGAGAAAGGATGCGGTGGTTAACCTGAAGGAGCCGGTCGACTCGAGAGAGAAAGATCGAATTTTTACTTCGCGGCAGCTGCTATTTTACTTCCTCCGTTCAGGTAGTTGATCAGAGGACCCATTTTTGGGCTTCGTAGATATTGGGCCGATACCCAAAACCGATAAAGCCCGCTTCAATCTGGTCGTCTTCTTGAAAGGGCGCCGAGAAGCAAAATTTTGATTTTTTTTTACTCCAGCAAAAGTTTGGTCAGTTCAGACGAAGCTGCAGAAGAAGTGAAGAGAAGAGAGGGCGAATTGGCAATGCAAATTCGGAGATGAGCTCTAAAGAGAACTGTAGGAATGAACTTCGAACTGCAATTCGCCAACTCAGCGATCGTTGCCTTCACCCTGCCGCAAAATGGTAAAATCTTCTGCTACTCCTTCATTCTCATTGTAAAACCCTAAAAAGCTTGGGACTTTTCCTTTTCTTCTGGGTTTTCTTCCTTATGAAGTCTAAAACTAAGATTCTTGGTTTCGCCGGCGGTGAATTGCTCAATTGGTGGTCAGGGCGGCGGAGCAGCTCGTAGGGATTGAGCAAGACCCGGCGAAGTTCACGCCTGCTAACACCAGGTTCCAGCGAGGAAGCTCGAGCATTCGACGCAGATTTCGCACCAATGAGATCGCTTCCGCTACGCCGCTCACACCGATTGCTGGTGTTTCGTATGTTTCCACTCCAGTAATGGAGGAAGACGAGGCAGTGGATAACGACTTCTACCTTCTGGGGAAAACTTACTTCGACTGCCGGGAGTATAGACGGGCTGCCCATGCTCTGCGAGACCAAACTGCGAAGAAATCTGTTTTCTTGAGGAATTATGCTCTTTTCCTCGTAAGCTTGCTCTTCTTTGACTAATAGACTGGCTTGCGTTTTTATATGATCAGTTTTCTTGCGGATTATGCTCTTTTCCTCGTAAGCTTGCTCTTCTTTGACTGATAGACTGGCTTGCGTTTTTATATGATCTCTCTCTAATATGGATTAGAAACACATGCTATTTTAGGAGACCATGTTCGATGCTTAGAAGGACGGTCCTATGCCCACTTCGTGGCTTCCTACAATCAGTTGCAACAGTGTCCATTGGTTAAAATCTATAGATACTATCTTATAAAGAACACTTTCCTTGTCGGTTGTCTCGTTTCTTAGCTTCTTTGCTTGCAGTAAAAGTTTATGGGTGGAAATATTTCCAGTAGCAGTGTGTAGCACAGACTTTCCAATTCATTTCATTGTCTTGGATGATAAGTGAATTCAAGTATGAAGATTTTATCTTATGGGCATTAAGATCTACTACTCCACTTCTTGGTTTATTGGTTTTGGTTTCTTCCGAATACTATTATCGAACGTTTGCATTTTACTTTGTTAAATAAACTACAATGTTGTTCTTCAACTAATGTTATGTAATGTCCTGGACTTGAAGGCGGGAGAAAAGCGCAAAGAAGAAGAATCAATAGAACTCACAGGGCTTGGAAACAGTGAATCCACGAACTGTGAGCTGGTCACTATTGAAATCGAGTTATCAACCCTTCGGAAGAATGGAACGATCGATCCATTTGGGTTGTATTTGTATGGTATTGTCCTCAAAGAGAAAGGTAACCAGAATCTTGCTCGTATGGTGCTTGTGGAATCTGTGAACTGTTACCCTTGGAACTGGAGTGCTTGGTCAGAGCTACAAGCACTATGTTCAACTCCTGAGATCTTGAGCAGTCTCAGTCTCAGTAACCACTGGATGAAGGACTTCTTCCTTGCCAGTGCTTACCAAGAACTAAAAATGCACAATGAGTCCTTGGCCAAATATGAATATCTACAAGGAACTTTCAGTTTCAGTAACTATGTTCAAGCTCAAATTGCTCAAGTGCAATATAGTCTAAGGGAATTCGAACAAGTGGAGGTGATATTTGAAGAGTTATTGCGAAATGACCCCTATAGAGTGGAAGACATGGATATGTACTCCAATGTGCTGTATGCAAAGGAGTGCTTCTCAGCCTTAAGTTATCTTGCTCATAGGGTATTCATGACTGATAAATATCGCCCTGAGTCTTGCTGCATCATCGCCAATTACTATAGTTTAAAGGGTCAGCATGAGAAAGCAGTCACGTACTTTAAAAGGGCGCTGAAGTTGAACAAAAACTATCTCACTGCTTGGACGCTTATGGGGCATGAGTATGTCGAAATGAAGAACACCCCTGCTGCTGTTGATGCCTACAGAAGGGCAGTGGACATCAACCCTCGTGACTATCGAGCTTGGTATGGTCTAGGGCAAGCATATGAGGTGATGGGAATGCCTTTCTATGCCCTTCACTATTTCAAGAAGTCAGTCTTCTTGCAGGCGAACGATGCTCGACTATGGATAGCCATGGCCCAGTGCTACGAAACCGATCAGCTCCAGATGCTGGAGGAAGCTATCAAGTGTTATAAGAGAGCTGCAAGCTGTGGTGACAAGGAAGCAATCGCCTTGCAGCAGTTGGCCAAGCTGCACCGTGAGCTTGGGCGGTTTGAAGAGGCGGCATTCTACTACAAGAAGGATTTGGAGAGGATGGAAGCCGAGGAGAGGGAAGCTCAGAACATGGTTGAAGCATTGTCGTTTCTTGCCGAGCATTGCAGGGAAATGAAGAGATACGAAGAAGCCGAGGTGTATTGTGCTCGTCTTATGGATTATGGTGGCCCGGTAAGTTTGTATTCATTTTATTCTCTAGATGTTAATTGTGGATTTGCCAAAGAGCACAACTCTAGTTTTCAAAGGTCATGAAGATGGTGGATGAATGTGAGTAATTTTTGTCTTTGCACCATTGCAGGAGAAAGAAACAGCGAAGAACATACTGCGAGGAATAAGGGGTGACACCAGTTTGCCATCAATGGATGTTGACCATTTCCGTCCTTGATCTTGGTCTCTCTTGGCGGGGTCCCATTGACAACCTGAATCGAGAAGTTCTGCTCTTCTGTAGTCCAGTACATTTGCCGCTTGAATCCACCCTTCAATTTTTCTTTTTATGCAAATGGCTAGTGTTGGTCCGTTTTGCCGTATCACTCATTATCAGTCCATTCTTGATGGACTGCTATAATTTTTGTTGTTGTTGAGGGAATGGATTGTGGCATCCTTGAGAGGTTTTTTGTCCGAGTTTTGCGATATCCTTCCAGCAGTTGCACATCAAATGGTCAAGATCTTAATTTTACAACAAATAGCTAGGTTTTGTGTACACATCGGCTATGTTGTTCTGCAAACAATGCTCACAAATAACAACCTGCAAAACTGTTTCAGCTGTTCTGATTTCAAGCAGCCTACAGGTAAGTGAGGTCAATTTACAGACACCAGTCGAATTTCACACCGGTATATACCTTCCAAAGGAATCAAAAACTTGCAATACATTTTTCAGGTAGCGATGATACGAACAGTATAATACTCAGAACAAGCAAGAGCCCGCACACTGTAAGAACGAAACACGAGCACTGAAATCCGGGACATAGAACACCACATCATAATCACAAGATTAATAGACAAATCAAACATGCATCCAATCAATGGTACATTCCACACATTCCAGAAACAAGTTCTTATTTTCAGAGATCAAAATATGCGGTCCAGTAAACTGCAACACCAATCTTTGTGTGTTCTATCACAGTAATTGTCCTCCACCAAATTCCATTTCTTTTTGTATTAGAACAGCAATTAGGGTTTTCATTTGGGGTCGGAGAAGAAGCTGTTGAGTTTGGGCATGATCTCCGGCGCCCTGTCTCGCACGAACCTCCGAAGAGCATGCTGCGAGTACTTCTCCCCCTCCGCAAAGTTCTCCAGTATCCCCGCTGCCCTGTTATCCTTCTTCACCCTGCCAATCCATTTACCAACAAAGATGAAGAAACTCCATTATCAACACAAGCCAAGAACAAACCCCAATCTTCCTCTAGAAATCAACAACAATTTCCTTGTTCAACACAAGCTCTACACAATTCGTATACTCTCAATAAGACTACAGATGGAATATAAGCGACTAAGACGAGGCTGTTTGGGACAACGATCCAACGGCGGCCGGAAACCGGTCAACGGAGACGGTGGAGACAATTCAAAAAATTTCTATACCCCTACAGCTTAGCAGTAAAATAGTGAGGAAAAGAGGTTGACCTGACTTCAGGATTGCCGGAGATGTTGCGGATGAGCTGAAAGGCGCAGATCCCCACAGCAACTCCCGTCGCGGCGAACAGAGGATACACCTGCCGGAAAATCCAAATCACCAACCAACACGATTACTAACGCCATAACTCCAGATCTAGTCATCTACCTACTCTTTTTTTCCGTCTTTTCTAGCTGAGAAAGAGAGAAAACGCGGTATGACGAAAGTGAAAGGATCTGAAAGTTGATTACCTCAGGCCTCAACCACCGATTGCCGCCGCCCATAGCTGAGATCGTCGGAAGAAATGGAGGCTGAAGACTTGAAGCTAGCGATATGCAGAGAAGACGCGGAGAGAAATGGAGGGATGAGAGGAAGGAGACTAAAACTTGACAAGGTGGAATTGGGAAATGGTAGGACGGACCTGATTGGTTCGCTTAAAATGAGTGTTTGTTTTGCAATAAAATAATAATGAATACGTCACTTTTGACGGTCAGATGACCAATGAGATGATGACACATGGGAATCCAGTGCTTATCTCGAGGTGCAGCGAATGTAGGTGCCTTGTCTAGTTGGCTTGCCCACATGTCTGAATTTACGGTTCAGATGCAACACGCGGGGGGTTGTAAGAGAATATTATTCCCTTTTATATTCTTTGTTTTAACTTCAAACAAAAATTGCCAAGATAATTTTCCTTTGGGAAAACTAAATTATACACACTTCTTCTTAGTAAGAGAGAATTTTCAAAAATGAATTATTTATGATAAGGGGTTTTTCAAGATCTTGCAAACCGCAAATTGCCATAGGTGGTTTGGTCCCGCCTTCGTCTCGAAAATATGTCGTTTGCTACCCCGAACGAGCTTTTTTTCGATTTCGTCAAACTTTGAACGACCATAACTTTGTGCTCCATAATCCGAAAATCATGAATTTTTTTTTTATTTCGCATAAGTTTTTAAGGACTACAATTTTTAGTAGGAGAGAATTTTCAAAAAATGAATTATTTATGATATAAGGGGTTTTGGGAATAACTTTACCTTCCTTTTCAGGAATCCAAGTACATTCCGAAAATATGTCTATGATAAAAATTGTAGTCCTTAAAAAGTTATGCGAAATCAAAAAAAGTTTCATGATTTTCGGATTGTGGAGCACAAAGTTATGGTCGTTCAAAGTTTGACGAAATCGAAAAAAGGCTCGTTCGGGGTAGCAAACGACATATTTTCGAGACGAAGGCGGGACCAAACCGCCTACGGGAATTTGCGGCTTGCAAGATCTCGAAAAATTATGCGGAATCAAACAAAATTTCGCTACGATCGGATAACCGAGCACAAAGTTACGTTTGTTTAAAGTTTCGACGCAGGTCAGGCCTTCACCGCGGCTGTGTACTGCAGTGATGCAATCACTGTCTTCGTCGACAGCGGTGATGGCCCAAACATGCGTAGATTGGGAATTATTTTCATAACGTGTGTATTTTGAGAATTTTTTTAAAAAACATGTGTAACTTGGGATTTTTTCCGGATTTATTGGTATTGGAAATTGAATTAGTGAACTCTAAAAAAAAAAAAATTGTCCAACTTTATAAGATAAGCATCACTTTTCATTTTAGTAAATAGACTATGAGGGTGACATAGTAAAAACTATTCTTAAGAATACATTTCCAGCTACTGCCAGTTCTTTGAGCTAGTTGTAGGCCAACCGGGAGCCCCTTAGAAGTTTGTCCTCGCCGATGGTGCAGAATCCAAGCTTGGACGAGATTAGACCGATAAACATCCTTTGTAGGTGTTCTATATCAGTCCTATCGTCGTGGTCTGATAAAAAAGGATTATGATTCTGTCGTCTGTATGTATTGATAGCGAAACCACACGACGACATTCCACAGAACATGAAATGCCCCTCTTGTTTGTTCTGGGTTTGAGTGATTCCACCCCCTAATAGTAAGTTCATTCATAAGTTATCCAAAATGAAAGTTTTTTTTATAGAAAGGCTAATGGACCGGATCGAGGCGCCATAAGAACATTTGCTACTCTTTGCACTTAACGCATAATGTTGAGTCGGGATCGATAGTGCTGTAGAATCAGAATGGCCACCATGAAACAAGATCAATGCACAGAACAGTTGGGCAATAGTCAGATTTCTGAGAATCCACCATGGCTCTATATACTCAACGAGAAAATTGGAGGCTGGGTTGATAGTTACCTAATAAAACAGAAGACTAGACTAGAGGATTAAGTGAAAGTCACTGTACTGCAAGAAAGATTCCATCTTGAGGCCACTGCAAAGATCCAGAATTGTTCACTTCTGAGGCAGTGGTTCCCGACCACCTCAGATCTCCTCTATCCATATCAACGGGCTCGATTCGTTTGCTCATTCATAATTTCCCAGCACGATCATGCCAAGAAACCTTGTTGTTGTGCAAGCACCTGAATTTTAATAAGACGCCGTACTAGAATCAAACCAATCAACCGAAATCCTGTCTAGTTACTCCATGCTTACAGTCTCTACCCTCTTTAAAGTACCTTCTCACCCAAGAGACTGGTGGATAGGTTGTGTTTATTTGTCTCCCTTTCCTTCTCCAGCTGAGGCTCGTTGTCTGAATGAACAGAAATTGAAGTGCTGGTGGAGGAGCTTCAAACATGGCTCCATAATGAGCAGTTTTGAACAGTGAGCAGTGTGGTATTTCCCCCAATCACCTCGTATACAGCAAGCAATGAAGAAAAAAACAGCAAGGTTACCAGAGGCTTCTGCTCAAGATAATGGCATCAAGTTGAAAAAGAGACCATGTTCCTTTCCAGTCACTAAGCTGGAACTTCATCCGTGCTTCGACTCTTTCAGCTTGTGTCTGATAGTAAAGAAAACACAAGCTTCACAATTAATAATAGCCAGAACAAGAGATAAGAGCACAGCAGACTGGATTTCTCATCATATAATCAGTTGCCAGATGACTTCAAGAGTATGTCAACTTCCAGTAGAACTCCCCCAGTGTCTCAGACTCTCAGTATATCTTAATCAATCAGCACATATGAGCTGAGAAAACCATTCAGAAATAGTGACGATATACCTAAGGTACGTCCTAAGGTTCTTATCTACCAAGACTTCTTCAGAAATAATGACGATATTACCGATCACATGCCAAACTACATTTTATTGCACCAGTTACACCCCTACATCCATACTTCTAATTATTTTTCCAGATGAGTAACAATTCATCTTAGATTAGAGGTCAGGGAGCACAGCGAGTTCGGATGAGCGGATAGCTGCTGCTGCTGTTGCCAGATCTGAATTCTGAAGGGAAAGTATCGAAGATCTGAAGGTAAAGGACAGCCTCAGAAGTTCTGTAATTTACTTGGTGACCACATATGTGGCTGACATTTGCCTCCCGTTGAAACACATTGACCCTACATGGCGGGCAAAACAAAATCTTCCAAATCCCATCTGGCACATTTTCAACCTCTACTACCTTCAGCAAGAATCTTACCCCTCAAAAACCCACATCCACTATCAAACCCCAATAGCCAATGAGCAGCTGCCGACGTGTAGATTTCCCCAATCCACAACATCTCCACAGACCCAAACTTCCCATATAAACTCCCCCAACTTCTCTGCAATTCCCACAACCTCAAAAAACAACTCATCATAAACCAGCAGCAACAAAGCTTCAACCTTTCTCAGCCATGGCAACCTCTGCATTCCAACAGTCTGCATTCGCTGGCCAAACTGCTCTCAAGCAGGCTGATGGGCTCCTTCGCAAGTTTGGTTCTTTTGGCGAAGGCCGGATCAACATGCGCCGGACTGTGAAAAGTGTTCCCCAGAGCATTTGGTAAGCAGCCACTTCTCTTAATTCTTCGCAATCCGCTCTACCCTTCATGCTTTAGCTGGTTGACCTGTATATTTCAACTAAAGGAATGGACGATTGCCATGTAAAACCAAAATGAAAGTATGACCTTTTTAACTTGAAGAGCTCTAAGTAAGAACTTAACACGATTGCCAGTATTGACTTGTTAAGGACTTCCACTTTGCTTTCAGGTATGGAGCAGACCGTCCCAAGTACTTAGGTCCATTCTCTGAGCAAACCCCATCATACCTGACTGGAGAATTCCCCGGTGACTATGGCTGGGACACTGCTGGACTATCAGCAGACCCTGAGACGTTCGCCAAGAACCGTGAGCTCGAGGTGATCCACTGCAGATGGGCTATGCTTGGAGCACTAGGCTGTGTCTTCCCTGAGGTCCTCTCCAAGAACGGCGTGAAATTCGGCGAAGCAGTCTGGTTCAAAGCTGGAGCTCAAATCTTCTCAGAGGGCGGTCTGGATTACCTTGGCAACCCAAACCTTATCCACGCGCAGAGCATTCTTGCGATCTGGGCTTGCCAGGTTGTGCTCATGGGATTCATTGAGGGCTACAGAGTTGGCGGTGGACCTCTTGGCGAGGGACTTGACCCGCTCTACCCCGGTGGGGCTTTCGACCCTCTTGGTTTGGCTGATGACCCCGAAGCATTCGCTGAGTTGAAGGTCAAGGAAATCAAGAATGGCCGCCTGGCTATGTTCTCCATGTTTGGATTCTTCGTTCAGGCCATTGTTACTGGAAAAGGTCCCATTGAGAACCTTTTCGACCATGTTGCTGACCCAGTAGCGAACAATGCCTGGGCTTTCGCCACCAACTTCGTCCCTGGGAAATGAACAGAACTAAAGAATGATCCCTTCAATCTTGTAATAGCTGAGAACTCTGAAGTTTCTTTGTGAAACTACTGTGTAACTTTGAACTGAAGCAAGTGCATGGAATGGAACTTTCTACTTCCTGCTGTCCCAATGCAAATTTTAGTCATGAAAATATGGAAGGATTATAAAGATGCATAAAACCCATAAGAGGTTCTTGCCAGTTGCCAGTCTGCTGCAGCATCTAAACTAGGTGAGTTTCTCCGCATTCAGAGTGGGTCTGAGTTTAGTTCCTCATAAGAGTGGCAGTTACTCAACCTGGTGTTGTAGATAACAGGAAGGAGAAATCTCTGGGGCTTCTAACCCATAATTTTGTCAAGCTTTTCCTTTGTTCTGATGTGAGTTGCAGGCATTACGGTTTATGCTTGTGAAACTGTCTGTTTCAACTAAACTGCTTGGCTGGTGCTGACAATGAAATGCACATTTCAGTCGGAGTTAATATCTCTTGATGATTCTGCAAAACTACTGCTTGGAGATGGCCATAGTATGTCAGATATTGCGAAGTGAGTTCTAACTTCTAGCTCCACTCTTGCATTTAGCCTCTCGTATCCCAGCTTGTTATCTGTTGCTTTATTTTAAACAAATTCCATCTGTTCTGTGAATCTGGAGCCAAAGTTATCACCACAGTTGCTAGTTTGAGCATTGCGCAGTTAGATTTCTTGTCGCGTTGTAAGCTTGATGTTGGTTATGGATGCAGACTCATACTGTAGATTCCAGGAAATCTGCATTAGACAAGGAGGGTTAAACGAAAACCACACCAACAGCATTACAAGCGCTGCTGCATCTCTTCCTAATTGTGAACCAAGGAAAAGGGTGTTTGGTGCAGATGCTACAAATATTAGTTTCAAGAGAAACAAGCTTGATTCTTCAGCTTGCAACTACAATAAAATCCAGAATATTAAGATGTATAATGGTACAAGTGAAATCAAAGGTTGTGATTGGATGTGAGGGATGCAACCTGAGCCAGGATTCATTTTAGGGGTCAAGGAGTTACTAATTTGGTCCCTTTGCACCAGCTGCTGTCTTCAGAGACAGTGATCCTCAGGTTTGTGATTGGGAGGCTCTGGCCTCCACTTTCAGCCCTCAATATCATAATCAAGGTGAAAATCCCACCATATCGCTCGCTAGCTTAAACCAGAATAAACTTGGAAAGCAAATCCGATTCTTCGGTAGTCCTAATATGGCAATTTGCTTTACAATTGCTGCAGCTCTGAAACGCCTGTTTGTTCATGGAAACATGGCAATCATGGTACCTTCCCTTCCTGAATTCGAAGCTACATCCCGCCCCCAGAAACTAGCAACTGCAAACACACAATCAAGAAGCTATCAGAAGCAGACCCTTCAAATGGATGCCACAAAGAACCACATTACCTTAACTGAAAACCCTCATGCAATTAAACCATACCCTCAACAAAGCTTTCAGATATGGAGAAAAGAACAAATTCAGAAGCCTGAGTTGCGGATATAGGGGTTCAGACGACGCGGGGTTGAGGGGAAAGAACATAGCAGTTGCATCGTGATTGAGGGGTCGAGATCAACCGGGAAGTTGGGTCGAGATAGGAGAAGAAAAAGGGGAGCTACTTCGGGATCGAGGGTTTCGATATTGAGCTGAATTTAATCTTTCTTTCTCTACTTCCATCTTTAATTTATAATGCTCTTTATCATATAGAAATCTCCCAAAGCCGATTTGGACTCAGATGAGTGTACTGAGTAATTGCCACGAAAGAGAAGCTTTGGCAGCCGATGAGGAAGTATCTGTGGAGAATGAATGGAGATCAGGAAATAGATCACCTCAGGCATTCCAGTGAGTAACAAATTCATCGGAAGGAACATGGCGGATCTGAATTCTGACGGGAAAGCATCGAAGATGGGAAGGTAAAGGACAGACTCACAAGTTTTGTAATTTAGTTGGTGACCACATGTGTGGCCTCATTTGCCTTCCCTTGCAAACATCTTGACCCCAGCAAAACAAGATCTTCCAAATCCCATCTGGCACATCTTGAACCTCTACCACCTTCAGCAAGAATCTTACCCCAAAATAGACCTACAGCCACTATCCAACCCCAATAACCAATTAGCAGCTGCTGACATGGAGATTTCCCCAATCCACAACATCTACAGAGACCCAAATTTCCCATATAAACTGCCCCAACTTCTCTACACTTCCCACAGCCAAAAACAGTTCACCATCACCACCAAGCAGCAACAAAGCTCCAACCTTTCCTCAGCCATGGCAACCTCTGCATTCCAACAGTCTGCATTCGCTGGCCAAACAGCGCTGAAGCAAGCTGATGAGCTCCTTCGCAAGGTTGGTTCTTTCGGAGACGGCCGGATCAACATGCGCCGGACTGTGAAAAGTGTTCCCCAGAGCATTTGGTAAGCAGCCACATTTCTTCATTCCTCACAATTTACAAGAAAGAACGTTAACTACTCAACTGCTTGAAACTTGAAGAGCTCTCTCTAAGTAAGAAGTTAACCACACGATTGCCAGAATTGACTTTTGAAGGACTTCCAATTTGCTTTCAGGTATGGAGCAGACCGTCCCAAGTACTTGGGTCCATTCTCCGAGCAAACCCCATCATACCTCACTGGCGAATTCCCTGGTGACTATGGCTGGGACACTGCTGGACTATCAGCAGACCCTGAGACGTTCGCCAAGAACCGTGAGCTCGAGGTGATCCACTGCAGATGGGCTATGCTTGGAGCCCTCGGCTGTGTCTTCCCTGAAGTCCTCTCCAAGAATGGTGTGAAATTCGGCGAAGCAGTCTGGTTCAAAGCTGGAGCTCAAATCTTCTCCGAGGGCGGCCTGGATTACCTTGGCAACCCGAACCTCGTCCACGCTCAGAGCATTCTTGCCATCTGGGCTTGCCAGGTTGTGCTCATGGGATTTGTTGAGGGCTACAGAGTTGGTGGTGGACCTCTTGGCGAGGGACTTGACCCCCTTTACCCTGGTGGAGCTTTCGACCCTCTTGGTTTGGCGGATGACCCCGAAGCATTCGCTGAGTTGAAGGTCAAGGAAATCAAGAATGGCCGCCTGGCTATGTTCTCCATGTTTGGATTCTTCGTCCAGGCCATTGTTACTGGAAAAGGTCCCGTTGAGAACCTTTTCGACCATGTTGCTGACCCAGTTGCAAACAATGCCTGGGCTTTCGCCACCAACTTCGTCCCTGGGAAATGAACGGAACCTAAACAATGATCCATTCAATGTTGTAATAGCTGAGAGCTCTGAAAGTACTGTTTAACTATAAACTGAAGCAAAAGCATGGAATGAAACTTTCTACTTTCTGCCGTCTCAATATGAATTTTACTCATGAAAATAATTTGTCGAAGGATTATAAAGACGTCATAACCCCATTGGAAGTACTTGTCTATCTGCTGCAGCGTCTAAACTGAGTGAGTTCTCTGCATTCGGAGAGGATCCGAGTTTAGTTGCTCACAAGAGTGGGAGTTACTCAACCTGTTCCTTTTGATTTTGGTGTTGTAGATAACAGGAAGGAGAACTCTCTGGGGCTTCTAACCCAGAACTAGTCAAGCTTTTCATTTGTTCTGACTTCTGATGCGAGCTGCAGGTCTTGCCCTTTATGCTTGTGAAATTGTCTGTTTCGACTAAATCACTTGGGCTGTCACTGACATTGAAATCCAGGTTCCAGTCGGAGTTACTATCCCTTGATGATTCTGCAAAGCTACTACTTGAAGATGGCCATAGTACGTCGATATTGTGAACTGAGTTCTAAGTTCTACCACCATTCTTGCATTTACCCGATTCACATCCCAGCTTGTTATCTGTTTCCTCTATAATAATTCCATCTGTTCTGGGAATCTGCAGCCAAAGTCAGGCATATGATATTGCAAACGTGCTTTCCTCCATGAAGCTTATTGGTAAGGTAATGCTCCACAACAAGACAGTTATCAGCACAGTTGCTAGTTTGAACATTGCGCGGTTAGATTTCTTGTCAAGTCGTAAACTTGATGGTTATGGATACAAACTCATACTGCAGATTCCAGGAAACCTGCATGTAGACGAGTAGGATTAAACACGGAAACCACACCAACAGCATTACAAGCGTTGCTGCATCTCGTTCTAATTGCGAATCAAGGAAAAGGGTGTTTGGTGCAGATGTTACAAATATTAATTTAGAGAGGAACAAGCTTGATTCTTCAGCTTGACTTGAATAAAAACCAGAATATGAAGATGCATAATGGTACAAGTGAAATCAAAGTCAAGTGATTGGAGGTGAGGGAGGCAACCTGAGCCAGGATTCATTTCAGGGGTCAAGGAGTTACCAATTTGGTCCCTTTGCATCAGCTGCTGTGTTCCGAGATAGTGGTTCTGCAGGGGCAGTTCCTCAGGTTTGTGATTGGGAGGCTCTGCCTTCCACTTTCAGCCCTCAATATCATAATCAAGGTGAAAATCCCATCCATTTCCCCTCACTAGCTTAAACCAGACTAAACTTGGACAGTAAATTCGATTCCTCCCTTGTCCTAATATGGCTGTTTGCTTTACAGTTGCTGCAGCTCTGAAAGACCGGTTTGTTCACTACATGGAAGCATGGCAATCATTGTACACAGAATTTTCAGAGAAGAAACCAATCCAACAAATTACCTGCTGATGGAATTTCATTCGCTTGATCTCCTTTGTCAAAGCTATGGAATCCGGTTCGATGAAGTGAAGACGACCTTTTCTTAGTACCTTCCCTTCCAGTTCCCGACTTTGAAACTGCATCCCACCCACCATCAACTAGCCATTGCAAATAAACCATCAAGAAGCTATTGAATCGCTTACTCCTTCAATTGTCACCAACCAAACAACGAAGAAGCAGACCCTTCAAACGGACGCCCCAAACAACCATATTACCTAAACTGAAATCCCTCACGCAACTAAACCATAGTCTTAACAAAGCTTTCAGATATGGTGAAAAGGAGTTGGATTTTTGAGGCGGAGACAGGGGTTCATCGGATGGACGACGCGGGGTTGAGCGGGAAGCAACAGAGCAGTTGCGTCGGGATTGTGGGGTCGAGATCAACCGGGAAGTTGGTTCGAGATTGAGGGAGAAGAAAAAGGGGCGCTACTCCGGGATTTAGGGTTCGACATGGAGCTGATTTTAATCTTTCTTTCTCTACTTCCATCTATAATTTGTTATGCTCTTTTATCACATAGAAATCTTCCAAACCTAATTCAGAACGGCGACGAAAGAGAAGCTTGGGCAGCCGATGAGGAGCAAAGGATGTAGCAGTGAAGAATGAATGGCGATCGGGAAAATGGAAATAGATCCCCTCAGGAATTCCGGCGAGTAACAAATTCATTGGATATCAGAGGTTAGGAAACACGGCGGCGGACCTGAATTCTGCAGGTAAAGGACGGACTCACAAGTCGCAAGTTCTGTAATTTAGTGACCGCATGTGTGGCTCGCAGTCGCCTTGACCCCATCAAAACGAAGATCTTCCAAATCCCATCTGGCACATCTTCAACCTCTACTGCCTTGAGTAAGAATCTTACCCGAATAGACCCACATCCACTATCCAGCCCCAATAACCAATTAGCAGCTGCTGACATGGAGATTTCCCCAATCCACAACATCTTCTACAGAGACCCGAACTTCCCATATAAACTGCCCCAACTTCTCTACACTTCCCACAACCAAAAACAGCTCATCATCATCATCATCACCCAGCAGCAACAAAGCTCCAACCTTTCCTCAGCCATGGCAACCTCTGCATTCCAACAGTCTGCATTCGCTGGCCAAACTGCGCTGAAGCAGGCTGATGAGCTCCTTCGCAAGGTTGGTTCTTTTGGCGACGGCCGGATCAACATGCGCCGGACTGTGAAAAGTGTTCCCCAAAGCATTTGGTAAGCAGCCACTGTTATCCATTCCTCGCAATTCTCTCTACCTTTCATGCTTTACCCGATTGACCTGTAGTTATCAAGAAACGGAATTGAGCATTGTAATGTAAGTCAAACCCAAATGAAAGCATGGCCACGCTAACTACCCAACTGCTGGCAACTTGAACAGCCCTAAGTAAGAAATTAACCTCACAATCTGCATTCAGGTATGGAGCAGACCGTCCCAAGTACTTGGGTCCATTCTCTGAGCAAACCCCATCGTACCTCACAGGAGAATTCCCCGGTGACTATGGCTGGGACACTGCTGGACTATCAGCAGACCCCGAGACATTCGCCAAGAACCGTGAACTCGAGGTGATCCACTGCAGATGGGCTATGCTTGGAGCCCTCGGTTGTGTCTTCCCTGAAGTCCTTTCCAAGAACGGTGTGAAATTCGGTGAGGCAGTCTGGTTCAAAGCTGGAGCTCAAATCTTCTCCGAGGGCGGTCTGGATTACCTTGGCAACCCAAACCTCATCCACGCTCAGAGCATTCTTGCGATATGGGCTTGCCAGGTTGTGCTCATGGGATTTATTGAGGGCTACAGAGTTGGTGGTGGACCTCTTGGTGAGGGACTTGACCCGCTTTACCCCGGTGGGGCTTTCGACCCTCTTGGCTTGGCTGATGACCCGGAAGCATTCGCTGAGTTGAAGGTCAAGGAAATCAAGAATGGCCGCCTGGCTATGTTCTCCATGTTTGGATTCTTCGTCCAGGCCATTGTTACTGGAAAAGGTCCTGTTGAGAACCTCTTCGACCATGTTGCTGACCCGGTAGCGAACAATGCCTGGGCTTTCGCCACCAACTTCGTCCCTGGGAAATGAACGGAACTAAAACAATGATCCCATTCAATGTTGTAATAGTTGAGAACTCTGAAGTTGCTTTCTGCAGGAACTCTATGTATCTTTGAACTGAAGCAAAATCATGGAATGGAACTTTCTACTTTCTGCTGTCTCAATGCTAATTTTAGTCATGATAATATCGAACGATTGTAAAGACGTCACAAACCCATTAGGGAGTACTGGCCTGTTCAATCTGTTCATTTTGTTTTTGGTGTTGTAGATAACAGGAAGGAGAAATCTTTGGGGCTTCTAACATAGAATTTTGTCAAGCTTTTCCTTTGTTCTGTTGTGAGTTGGAGTGCTTGTTCTCTATGCTTGTTTAATTGTCTGTTTCAACTAAACCACTTGGGCTGCTGCTGACATCGAAGTGCACCTTTCAGTCAGAGTTAATTATCTCTTGATGATTCTGTAAAGCTACAGCTTGGAGATGGCCATAGTATGTCGATATTGCGAACTGAGTTCTAAGTTGTAGCTCCATTCCTGCATTTACCCTCCCATATCCCAGCTTGTTATCTGTTCCTTTATTCTAAACAAATTCCATCTGTTCTGTGAATCTGCAGCCAAAGTGAGGCAGCTATATGATATTGCAAACGTGTTTTTTTCTTCTTCTATGAAGCTTATCGAAAAGGTAATGCTCCACAACAAGACGGAGTTATCAGCACAGTTGCTAGTTTGAAGAACATCATGCAGTTAGATTTCCTAGTCAAGTTGTAACTTGGTGATGGTTATGGATGCAGACTCATACTTTAGATTCCAGAAAACTGCATTTAGATTCGACCCTGTATCCAACGACTACAAGGTCATTAGGTGCATTAGTTCCCCTGGTGATTTGAATGGTCCTGAAACTTCCTAAAGGGTGGGATGTTGTCGAGGTTTTCGGCCTGCGAAACGATTCATCATGGAGGCAGATTGATGGCTATGCATGCACACATCATCCCTAATCCTGTTCGTCCACATTCACTCAATTAACGTGGCGGGAAGATCTACTGGTGGGATTCAGGCAGGGAGACCACATTTCTGATGTCCTGCGACTTGGGGAAAGAAGTGTTTTGAGTCTGCAAACTTGGACAATTTTACCGGGAAGGACTCGTGGGTCGGGATCTCGTTCACCCTGGTGAAGGACTCGATTGTGGGTGTGTTTTCAACAACTAGCTATGAACTTATTTCATAGCTATGAACTTATTTCATGTTGGTTCAACACCTCCCTCTCCCTATGGGATGCAAAATGTAAAGGGCATTTCCTGAGATGGGAAAGTTGGATCTATGTATTGTCCCTTAATTCTTGAAAATATGTGTCAATTAGAACTAAAATATGTATACATCGGGATTGTCAAATCAGTTTATATCATTGCGCCGGTTTAACAAGTGATATTGTTTAATTGGGATATAATCAGTTTGTGCCGATTTAGTAAAGTATATCATTTATTTCTTTATTATCATTTTCACAATATAAAACAAAATGAGAAGTGAACAAGCAATAAGGTTTGGTTGCACTTTGTGTTGGGCTTAGGGTGTTGTTTGTGGGTTATTTATTCTTTTTATTTTTTATGCAAGAATTTTGTAATCCATGTCAAAAAATTGTTCGATGGGGTACAAGATTTCCCTGGTAATCATCATATTTTATTAAGTCCCTTCGACAAAGTCAAATTTCGACAAAAAAAAAATATACATATGCAATGTTATGCCCTAGTAATGAATATTTGTACAACAAACTACCAAATGCTCATTTGGGGAGCGGTTACGGTGATTACTACAAAAGTAGTAATCAATACCATTGCAGAAATAAATATATACCATTACACGAAAACAATCAATATAAATAATCTATACCATTGCATATATAAAGAGAATTATGAACATTGAGGTTTGAACCAATACCATTAGACTTTGAAGGACTACCATACTAGCATTGCTAATACTAATACACGTGTAATGAACCAATACCAATCTAAAGTGTCACTACCAAACGAAGATGAATGAATACCATGTTGTTATCATAACGTAGTAACCAATACCACTGCACATTGAATCATACCATTGCAGGACTACCATTACACAAAGTAGCGTCCATCGTAAACGTTGAGGGACTAGAACAACCATAAATAGAATAAGAGGAAGCGAAAGTCACCGGGGAAAAAGTTGAGAAAGAAGAGAATAGGAAGAAGTCCAGTCATCGACGTTGTCTGTACTCAGATCTGATTGGGAGGCGGTGACGCAGAGGGGAGGGTGAGGAAGGAAGATGAGTGGGAAAGGAGGCGGCGGCGGAGGCGGAGTAGGGAACAACAACAGTGGCAGCAGTCGTCGTCGGGGCTGGTGTAGGCGGCCGACAGGATTAGTGCGCCGAGAGTGGTGGAGGCGGCTGCGGCAGGTTTGGCTGGAGGGAGGGTAGAACTAGAGTTTGGGTAGATTATATAGAATAATTGGGTGTGGTCACTTTTTCATTTCCAAAACTACCCTAAAAGAATTTTGACCATAAGATTAAAAAAGAAGGGAAAATAGGAAATCAAATGGTATATAAAGAGGTTGTCACCGTGATTATTAAAATACAAGTAACCACCCTAACCCATTCCGGCTCATTTGGGGAAAAGATTAAGAATATAGATTCATTGAATTCAAAGATAAACATAAAGTTGTATTTTTTTGTTGCTTTTTGTATCGTAAAGTTTAACTTCAGATATTTCATATCTCTAAATTCTAGCGATACCAATTTCTCGTAACCAGAGAGATTTCATATATTGATTTGTGAAAAAAATTTCTCTTACATTATCTCTTTATTTATTTATTTATTTATTTCACTAAATACTCTTACCACTAAATTGTTAACAAACTTATGAATCAATTTTTTTTAGTCTTTAGGTTATATATGTCATTCGATAAAAAATTTAAATTAATTTTTATTGAATATAACGATTACAATTACCAAATTTTTTGAATTAAAAAATATTTTTTACAATCTGGAGAGTTAGAATATTTGCATTATTTTATAATTTATAGATTTTTTAGACTCCACTCTCCAAACGATAGGAGTTGCCTCTGACAAGTTTGGGATGGATATCTCGATATCTATACAACTATACCCGGGCCGTCTTCCCAATCCTAGGAAATGGGTACCAGATATCACAATTTCTCTACAATCTCGTTTTCTCACTAGAAACTCCATTCATTGAGATTCCGTATCTCAAGCAAATCTAAAACCTGCTTATATGAAACTAAATCTTCAGGTCGTTTGGTTTTGATGATGGTTAAATAGATGCATTATCATCAATGCATGCATAATAATATACATGTATATACGAAAATTGGTGTATCGTAGTTTGCACCGTTTGGTTTTTGTGATAGTTATTGTGTTATTTAAATAAGTTTTATTACTTTTTGGATGAAATGTCACTTTTACCCTTTGTTTTTAATATAAAAAAAGCAACACACATAAAAAGGTAGGGACATAATTGGAAGAAAATAAAGCACAACAATCTCAACAAAAACTTGAGATTTAACTATCACTCATTTTGAGTGATAATTTGCGTCAAACCAAGCAAACAATGCATGTATTTTTTGTGGAGAAAATTCAAAAAAATGATACATTATGGACAATGCATGAATTGTAATTATCTCAACCAAACAATCACCAAAACCAAAACGAAACTTCGTTTCAGCCATTTCATACGGATGTTTCTGTTATAAAACTCTCCGTTCACGATACACAATCCTAATTAGCAATCCTAATTAGCAATAATTATCTTGACAATATGTGTCAATTAGAACTAAAATATGTATACATCGGGATTGTCAAATCAGTTTATATCATTGTGCCGGTTTAACAAGTGGTATTGTTTAATTGGGATATAATCAGTTCGTGCCGATTTAGTAAAGTATATCATTTATTTCTTTATTATCATTTTCACAATATAAAACAAAATGAGAAGTGAAGTGAACAAGCAATAAGGTTTGGTTGCACTTTGTGTTGGGCTTAGGGTGTTGTTTGTGGGTTATTTATTCTTTTTATTTTTTATGCAAGAATTTTGTAATCCATGTCAAAAAATTGTTCGATGGGGTACAAGATTTCCCTGGTAATCATCATATATTTTATTAAGTCCCTTCGACAAAGTCTAATTTCGACAAAAAAAAATGTACATATGCAATGTTATGCCCTAGTAATGAATACTTGTACAACAAACTACCAAGTGCTCATTTGGGGAGCGGTTACGGTGATTACTAGTAGTAATCAATACCATTGCAGAAATAAATCTATATCATTACACGAAAACTATCAATATAAACAATCTATATCATTGCATATATGAAGAGAATTATGAACATTGAGGTTTGAACCAATACCATTAGACTTTGAAGGACTGCCATACTAGATTTGCTAATACTAATACCCGTGTAATGAACCAATACCAATCTAAAGTGTCACTACCAAACGAAGATGAATGAATACCATGTTGTTATCATAACGTAGTAACCAATACCACTGCACATTGAATCAATACCATTGCAGGACTACCATTACACAAAGTAGCGTCCATCGTAAACGTTGAGGGACTAGAACAACCATAAATAGAATATGAGGAAGCGAAAGTCACCGGGGAAAAAGTTGAGAAAGAAGAGAATAAGAAGAAGTCCAGTCATCGGCGTTGTCTGTACTCAGATCTGATTGGGTGGCGGTGACGCAGAGGGGAGGGTGAGGAAGGAAGATGAGTGGGAAAGGAGGAGGCGGCGGAGTCGGAGTAGGGAACAACAACAGCGCCAGCAGTCGTCGTCGCCTGCACGGAGTCATCATCGTCAGGGCTGGTGCAGGCGGCCGACGGGAGTAGTGCGCCGAGAGTGGTGGAGGCGGCTGCGGCAGGTTTGGCTGGAGGGAGGGTAGAACTAGGGTTTGAGTAGATTATATAGAATAATTGGGTGTAGTCACTTTTTCATTCCCAAAACTATCCTAAAAGAATTTTGACCATAAGATTAAAAAATAAGGGAAAATCGGAAATCAAATGGTATATAAAGAGGTTGCCACCGTAATTATTAAAATACAAGTAACCACCCTAACCCATTCCGGCTCATTTGGGGAAAAGATTTGGAATATAGATTCATTGAATTCAAAGATAAACATAAAGTTGTATTTTTTTTGTTGCTTTTTGTATCGTAAAGTTTAACTTCAGATATTTCATATCTCTAAATTCTAGTGATACCAATTTCTCGTAACAAGGAGATTTCATATATTGATTTGTGAAAAAAATTTCTCTTACATTGTCTCATTATTTATTTATTTCACTAAGTACTCTTACCACTAAATTGTCAACAAACTTATGAATCCATTTTTTTTAGTCTTTAGGTTATATATGTCATTCGATAAAATATTTAAATTAATTTTTTATTGAATATAGCGATTACAATTACCAAAATTTTTGAATTAAAAAATATTTTGTACAATCCGGAGAGTTAGAATATTTGCATTATTTTATAATTTATAGATTTTTTAGACTCCAACTCTCCAAACGATAGGAGTGGCCTCTGACAAGTTTGGGATGGATATCTCGATATCTATACAACTATACTCAATAAAAAATCTAATGGGTACCAGATTTCACAATTTCTCTACAATCTCGTTTTCTCACTAGAAACTCCATTCATTGAGATTTCGTATCTCAAGCAAATCTAAAATCTGCTTATATGAAACTAAATCTTCGGGTCGTTTGGTTTTGATGATAGTTAAATAGATGCATTATCATCAATGCATGCATAATAATATACATGTATATACGAAAATTGGTGTATCGTAGTTTGAATCGTTTGGTTTTTGTGATAGTTATTGTGTTATTTAAATAAGTTTTATTACTTTTTGGATAAAATGTCACTTTTACCCTTTGTTTTTAATATAAAAAGCAACATACATAAAAAGGTAGGGACATAATTGGAAGAAAATAAAGCACAACAATCTCAACAAAAACTTGAGATTTAACTATCACTCATTTCGAGTGATAGTTTGTGTCAAACCAAGCAAACAATGCATGTATTGTTTGTGTAGAAAATTAAAAAAAAGGTGCATTATGGACATTGCATGAATTGTAATTATCTCAACCAAACAATCACCAAAACCAATCGACACTTTTTTCAGCCATTTCATACGGATGGTTCTCTTATAAAACTCTCCCTTCACGATACACAATCCTAATTAGCAATAATTATCTTTAAAACAAAAAAAAATGGCCATAATGAGGATCTCACAGATTTATTTGGAGTTGTAAATCTTTTCTTCCCACAAACCCAGAAGATCTTTCGTCATCTTCCGATCCGGTTCGAAAGATGGATTTGAGCCGATCCAATTTCATGGAGCTTTCAAATCACCGGAGGAGATAGAGAATCCCACAATCTTTTTCAGATGCGCTGACAGCGACTCCACACGGACCAAACAGAGCACTATTGTTATTACTCTGTTACCTCGGAAGCTTAAATCCAACCAAAAAAAATAAAAAAAAACCCAAATCACCGGAAAATCTTTACCGATGCCGCCGCCGGATTGGGCTTTGCTGTGGGTGGTCAGCGGTCCAATTACAGCAACCGATGTTCGGTTTCTGATTTGGAGGCTGTTTTGTTTTGCTGGCTGGCTGGAAGTCCAAGTCGGTCCATTGACCGACCCAGCGGTCAATGCTCTGTTCTGTTGTTCCACTTTTTATCTTTCCCGATGAAATTAATTACTGCTTTGCTACAGCAAAAAAAAAATGTTACTATTTACTGTTTGTTTGCGTGTTGGGGAGAGGGGTAAATTTCTGGATGCCTAACTAGGCCATAGGCTCAGCTTTGCGAAAAGGATGGACGGAGAAGTGTTTGCCGTCACCGTGTAGGCAGAGGCAGGGTTGCCGAAACTGGAAAGTTCTTATTCTTAATAGGAGCTAAATAAAATGTTACCTTTTTTTTTTTTGACTTATTATAATTTGGTTATTGGCACTTTATTAGTTGTCGAGATTTGTAGTTTGTTTATAGGATTGAAAGTAGAAAGACAAGAGGGAAAAGTGTTAAAAGCACTAGGAAAGTTATGCAAGATACGATTTCTTGTTGGACTTGGGAGTTGGGAAATATTCTTTTTTTTCCTTCTTGGCGGAGTACTTTGAAGATTATTAATATTATTATATTACTAGTTTTTAACGGGCCGTGTATTTTGTTTGGTTATTTTATAATTCGTTATAGTATTTTAATTATTATTATTATTTATGTTTGTTAAGGTAATATACATGGAATTGTAAATCTCAATTATCTTATTTCAGGTATTGTTTCATACCTTTATACCTTTTGTTTATTTATGAACATTTTATTTTATTAAATGAGCTATTTGTAGACTGTTATTTATTAACTTAGAATTTTTTTTATCAAACTCGCTCTTTAAGATTATAAATATAAGAGTTATTCATTCTTTAGCACACAATTGTGATACAGAAGTTAAAAAATTTACAGCCACAAAAGAAAAAGTTAGAATAAGAAAATATGCTTCAATTAATAAAAAAAATAAGCAAAGAGCTTTTTTTTCTCCCTTCTCATATGTCGGTATATGATAATAAAGAATATTCCGATCTAAATTCCATGAATATTGTGTATTATCACTTACACATACAATTTTGGAATAACGAGAAAACTCATTAGCATCCACGTCCATCAATCTTCCACGTACTCGTTTAATTACCTTGAAATGTTCTAGCAAAACCAACCACAAACAAAACTATCAACTGTCACTAACTTATTAAAGCAATATTTTCAGCAAATTAAACTACATATACTAAAACACAATTGTATTTTGTAGAGAGCTACATATCTCCTGCATAAAAGAATCGTGCTTTTTTACCTAATAACAACATAGACAAATAATGAAAAGAGCAGTCTTCAATACAACTCAACTCATTTTATCATGCAGATTCCTCATTTGTGAACCGAATATATGATCAATCCAAATAGTAGTTTGTAAGAAAACAATCATGTCAAAATCAAACTTTAGTTACAGATTCAATGTGGAAAAATTCACCTTAATGAAACAAACAAATTTCACCGCAAACATGTAGAAATTAAAAAAAACATCGAAATAGACAACAGAGAAACCACCATTATCATTTTCTTTCTTCTTCGCGGCCTTTATAAAACCCCAATTATGTTCCCTTCTACTTATAACCTCTTTGTTACATACTAATTACTAAACAGTTCATCATTGTATTGCTAGCCAGTAGCATGTCATTCGTGAACATAAAATATAATAAACAACCATCACAACTCTACTTTCAATTTCAACATTCAAGAAATCGGGTTGCAATAGGCATTCAAGAAAAATGATCAATTATTCAACTAAAAGAGGTATGCCCTAAGTCCAACTAATTAACCCTTCTAATTATATTTTATATATTTAAATAAAAGTATATGGCGACCCTTCTCCGCAAAAAACAAAGAAGAAATACATTCACTCATCGAGAGTGAGAAAATTTACCATCCAACAGTCGTAATTTGGAAGAAATTAAGAAAAGATTGGAAAGAAGAGTATAACTCGGCCAGTCAATCGCAAACATTAGCATATCGCTGAGAAAGTGAGACCAGTTGCCAGCTTCAGATCAAGGAGGAAGAGGGAGCATTCGACAACCCTCGGCTTGGTTCACCTCATCTTCACAATGATCAGATGAACTTTTTTCATTAACAGGCAAAAATATGTTACAACTGCTCAAAATTTTGTCATCTAATCTTTGCCTCGTGTAACTCCTGCCTCCTATTCTCATTCAAAGAAAAAAAATCATATGCATTACCATTTCCTTCTCTATAAATTATGAGAATACAAATATTAGAAATCTCAAAAACATTAGCAACTAATAAGCGGACTTTGTTTATTTTTATGGTGGTTGACATACTTTCTTGATTTCTTATTTTCAAAGTTGGATTTTATTTCTAGTGAGACAATCAAAATGGGGAAAGAGACAGAAACAAATTAAAGGTTTGCATTAATAATTAATATGTTTTCATTTAATTAAATAAGAAGTTTTTTTAAAAAAATAAAAAGTATTGCTCTGTCAAGTTTATATTCAAACATTTTGCTATAAAATTTATACTTGTTTTATTTGATAGTTATATACATTAGAAAGAAGTGAGTGTTTGATAACAAAAAATATATAGTCATATCGTTCATTTCTCAAAGTCGATTGATTATCAAACGCTTGTTTTTTCTTCGACCATCGTTTAGATTTTGTTTAATTGGAAAATATTATTATTTATGTGTGTACTTTTTTTCTTCTTCATCACAATGTAATTTATTACTAAATTTTAGTAAAAATGAGTAAAAAATTTACTTAATCAGCTTGGGTTAAATAAATACGATATATGTCACTCTCTATTTTCATCTTTATAGTTTGTTTAATTGAAAAAAATTATTACTTATGTATGTGTTTGTTTGTTTAAATGTTTCCTAAAAAATTAACTTATTTTAATTTTAGTAAAAATGAGTAGAATTATTAAAAGAAGAGAGAGATATCTTTATAAATAGATCAATAAATAGTTTTTTGTTTGTTAAAATATTGTCCACCTTGACAGCATGTGCATTCACCAAATACTTATGTGGCAAGAAGTTATTTTTGAATAACCATAATATTTAGTATAAATAAATAAATAGATAGATAGATATAGATATGTATTTGATTGCTCTAGTCCTTGTGTGACATGGAGAAACGATCTACCATTAACAAATCGCACAAATTCTCATTAAGTTTTGAAAGATAAACGCTTTTTCATAATAAAATTAATAATATCTCTGAATTATTCATATTATTGAGTTTAAATGTAAAACAAATGTTTCCATTTCAAAGGCGAGTCTAGAGGAAAGCAAGACGAGTTTTGACTAAATCCGCATCCTATCCTACTCACCAATTTCAAAAGCGGGCTTTAGGCAACCAATACTGACGTCTCACCCAAACGGCCAAAACTACCAGCAGCTGCCTAATTCCTGGGTCATCATCAATTCATCATCATCATAATTTGTCACGTAATTTCTGGCGTCCATTCTAAGCTTTTACCCTATTTTTCTTGTAATCATCTATCTTTTTATGTGATAAATCTCAGTTATTATGATTAGCAAGCTTTAGCAGCTAACAATATAATATAATTAGATTAAAGATGGATGATTACAAGAAAAGGGTCAAAACTTAGAATGAGCGCCAGTCGTTTAGTTGGCACTAGTCGGGAAAAAGAAAGACAAACAAAAGCCAAGCGTAATATATGTGGTGATTACTGATTATCGATTTTAATTAATCAGAACGAAATCCAACCAAATAACCTTTACAAACCAAATCGCTTTTGAATATATACATCCAAATCACATAAAGGAGAAGAATCAGAAAAGGGGATTAAAATCGCAGATTTGTTAATCCGTTTTAATTAATGTTTTCTTACAGCAAGTTGCTTGGATGGAATGTACTATATATAATATATATGTATTATTGAGATCACCATGATATGGTCGATCACATGCATACACATTAGGCAGATGGTGGGAAATCTTTGACGCTGACATTATATAGCTGGGATCAGGAATGGTGATGGACCGGATGGGTATGAGTATCGAGATACTCGTGTCTCGTGACAGGTCGAGTATAATTTATTGTGGGATACGGATAGTGGCGGAGCCACATTTTGAGAAGTGGGGTCCTAGGAAACTACTTGGGAAAAAAAACGGGATAACAAAACAATTTAAATATGTAGGATTCAGTATGATACTTTGAGTTTAGGACCTCATACTCTCGTCGACTTAGCTCGTCTAAGGATATCAATCAACTCAAAGTTCGTTAGATAAAGACTTTAGTGTTTTGAAAATTTTAAGGACCCCAGTCAATTTAAAGTCTGGCTATGCCACTGGATAGGGGTTGAGGATTCGATTTGTATGGGGTATGAAACTTAAAAGGAATACATTTATATCCACTTTCCATTGTAGCTAAAATAGGGGACAATAAAAATAAAATTCTAATTAATTTGAGTAAAATTACATGTAATTTAGCAAAATTGGGTTGAAAAATGGGGCGAATAAGGTCGAGAAGAGTACTCATGCCCGTCCGCCTTGCGTACCCAACCAAAACAAGTAAAAAACAATTCGATAAAATAGATCATGTCGAAATTGATTTCCTACCAAAACTTAGTGATTGAGATTAACATGGATGATGCTCGAGGGTGTATGGGTATGTAATGTAGGTTGGGTTGGCACCCTAATTAATTACCTGCAATAATCTCTGACATATATATAAATCAAAAGTGGGCGTATCTTGAATGAGGTAGGGTGCAATATCATAATGCTCCTTCACGTGCCAATTATTTGGGGATTTAAATGATCAGCTCTTTCACTCCAGAAAAAAATAAATAAATAAAGGAAATGGATCGACATGAAGATCAAATTATGGCGCCGGCCTACCATTACTAATAAACTAGGGTGGTTTGGATGGGTTAATTGTCAATGTGGTATTTGTAGAGTCAAATAATTTATTTACTGTTTAACTCGTTATAACTATAACATTCCAATCGACGACTGAGTATAACCACCGACTGGGTGTAGCATAGGGCAAGCAAGCAATAAGAATTTATCGTGCCACGGGGATCTAGGCTTAACCTACTTTAGGTTTATGGTTCGTTATCTAGCCAACCTAGGATAGTGATTAATAAAACTAATCTAACTAACCTAGACTAACCACTAACCTAGCTATTTATAAGGTTTGGAACTCTCTTGGTTTGAATCCCCATATTTCCGACCTTTGGATCGATGTTGAGTATCCTCCTAGTTCGAGTGACTCAAATACTCTACAGTTTGGAGAAGGACTCCCTCGGGAATGACTCGGAACTGCGAATCGATGGATGGGTAGGTGCTCTATTCAACCTAGGGTATCGTATATTGCTAGGAGGTAGATCGAATCAACTCCCTTGGGGATTACCCGGACAATATACGATAGGAGTGACCCGAAGACGCCAATAATGGGCTATAAGGGGATTATCCCATTCCTAGGCCAAAAGCTTAAGCCATGAAAATGAAAACCAAACTCATGCCATCCATTAAAACATTCATCAATTAGATAAAATCACCAATCAAACTAATAAGTTGTCACATAAATCAATAACAAACCAAAATATAAACCTAGGGTTCTTAATCCCAAGAGAAGAGGGTGAGTTTCTAGAGAGAGAGATGAGAGATTACAAAGAAACCTCCAGATCTTCTTCTTCTAGGCTTGATTCTTTGCTTCCAAACTTGATCAATGCTTTCAATTAAGCTCTAAGATCACTCTTTCTCTCACTATAACTCCCCTTTGGTGTTTTAGGTTGAAAACCCTAGAGAAAGAAAGTGTTCCTTCTCCAAAAACCAGCTCCTCTTTTCTCTCTCCCCGCTGTTGTCTTCATATTTGCCCGAAAGTGACCAGTTCAAGGCCGCGTTGGCCAGTTCACGGCCGTGAACACTTAAACGCGTCCGTGAACTTAGTGTCGTCTCCAAAACGCACCGCTTCACTCTCATGGATTCACGGTCTTAGAGATAGTGAACTCCCTTTGCGTCAGTAACTTCTGGAACCTTGCTGGACGCCTCGATGTTCACGGTTTGTGGCTCCATTTCACGGTCTGAAGACCGTGAACTCCAATGTTGGACCATGAACTGCGGCTGCTTCCTGGATGCCTGCATTTCACTGTTACAGGGCAATTGTGACTTTGGACTTTTCTTCGGTTTTTGACCTCCAATCATTCCAAAACTCGTCCTCGACCCTTCCAAACGTGCTAGGACCTGAAATGTATCAAAACAAGCACAACCTAGCGTAAAATAGGTTGAGGGACGGTGATCTACTAAGCATAACAGATAAGAAATGATGAGTAAAATGTGTACATTTGGACCCGAATCATTGTTCATGTGGTATTTCAGTGTTATTTCAGTTGTACTTGAAATAAAGTATCTCATTTGGTATTTAACATGTGGTATTTGGTAAAAACAGAGTGGTAAAACGAGTTATTTCGAAATAACACATATGTATGAGTTATTTTAAATAACTCGATTTGAGTCATTTGTAAATAGCTCACTGTCCAAATAACTCATTTCAGTAAAACACTATCAAATGAGTTATTTGTGTCCAAATAACTCATTGTGAGTTAAATACTTCCACGACGGTACAAAGTCACTGAGTAGGTAGTGGTCGGGACTTGATCCATCCGGGGAGAGGGGCGGCAGATGAGACACGAGAGAGATGGTTGAGGCTTTAAACGACAAGAGAGGGGAAATAGAGTGACCATTTTGATATATGACAAGAAGAGTAACCCTAATATTAATTAATATAATTAAAGTAGTCACCACTCATATTGATTAAATATACACACACAATACAAACTTCAACATACGATAGGATTAACTAAAAGATCTAGATCGATAAGATTAACTAAAAGATCTAGATGGAGACTCTGTTATGGAGGACCTTCCTCTCAACATATCCTTTTGCCTAATCTTGAAATCTTGGGTTTGTGACATCTATTTTATTATCACCGAATCATGATAAATACAAATCAATTCGCCGGTTGACAACTTTTTTAGTGATGGTTTTTTTAATACTATTTAGTATTTTCTCAACCCAGTAAAAAAAAAAATTCATTCCACTCCTATTCTCAGATCAGATCAAATCAAATAAATATACGTAGGAAGCACCTGGGAAACTGAAAATCAAATCCCACCGATAACCTAACTCATATATTATTACACATCATAGAAAAGCGGGAAATGAAAAAAAGATTTGTTGTATCGCTCTCTCTCTCTCGTCTTCCCCATGGTTTCTAATTTAATGACGCGGCGACAACAGACAAGAGCTGGGCTCCATACCAAAGATTTGCTAAGATCTCACGTTATTGGATCCTCAGAATCTCCTCCCAGCTTTTCTTTATTTCCATTTCCTCTCTTCTTTCTTCCCTTCTCCTCCATCCTCCTATTAAACACCAAACCGCCACCCCCCCTTCTCCTAGAAAATCCCTCTGCACTTCCCAATTTCGATTTCCCTTGTCAAACTCCGAAGATTATTAATTCCTACCTCTCCCCCTTCAAAACCCACGAGCGGTTCTTTGTACCACTCAGTTCCAGCGATTTCTTCTAGCAAAGGAGGTTTCTTCAGCTTTTTGGCTTGTTCTCAATTGGGTTCTGATCATCTTTTCTACTGGGAAATGGCGGCCGCCGGTACTGAGTCTCTGCGGTGGAACTTGGCGGAGGAAGTAGGGGTTTCGGGTTGTAACGGCAATCTCGTTAATGGGCCGGGTTCTGGTTCTGAGGAGTTTCATGTTCTAGCTGTGGATGATAGTGTTGTTGATCGGAAGCTTATTGAGCGTTTGCTGAAGAGTTCATCCTTCAAAGGTGCCACCTTTAACTCAATTGTGGGGGTTCTTGTTGGAATTTCAGTTTCTCATTTGGTTTGATTTAGGATCTGACTTCTGGGGTTTGTTTCTGATTTTGGGTATACAGTTACGGCTGTGGACAGTGGTACTAGAGCTCTGCAGTACCTTGGTTTGGATGGGGAGAAGAGTACTTCTGCGGTTGGTTTCAATGTATGTGATGGTTTCCTTTATTTCGTACATACTTTCTGTTTAGTTGCTTGGAAAAGTTGTTTAGGTTTCCGCGGTGCTGATTTTCTGTTCTGTATGAAATTTGGCAGGATTTGAAGGTCAATCTCATAATGACCGATTACTCCATGCCAGGCATGACTGGATACGAGCTGCTCAAAAAGATCAAGGTATGAAATTTCACCTTTATTTATCAGAAGCTTCAAAAACTTTGTTATTCAAATTTTCTGTTGCTGATTCGGTCCATTTCCATGTTTTCTCTCTTGAACAGGAATCTAAAGCTTTTAAAGAGATCCCGGTTGTGATAATGTCATCAGAGAACGTCTTGACCCGGATCCATAGGTGAATTTCTAAATCTTTGACCAAGTCCTGATTTTCATGTTTCAGTTGAGTGCTCTTTGCTGACTTTTAGAATGGGCTAGACGTTAGGCTTATGAACAAGATCTGGTCTTTGTGGAAATATCTTCCTGATGTTGATTGGTTATAGGATGGATTAGATCTTACAGACCATATTAAGAGATCTGGTTGTTTGCTTGGGAATTTTAGTCCAAGATCAATTGACTTTTAGCTTTAGAATTTGTTTGATTGTTTGAGGTGGGCTGTGGTGGAAGACTGGTACTGTTTAAATGGCAGGTTAATGGTTTTTCTTTCGAACTCGACCACAGAATGGTTCATGGATGATAAAGAAAATAGTTTGTACTACATAGCTTTGAGTTGGGGAAAGTAGTATGTCAAAATTCACTTCTTCATGTCCGATAATCCGATCTTAGAGCCTTTGAATCTCTATTGGACCTGTAGACTGTAGTTCAGATACCAGATGAGGTTGTTTCCTAGGGATGTTTTAACCATATCTGGATTCTGCTTAAATGAGATAGAAAGAGTTTCATTAGTGTTTACAGAAATGGCCATGTGCAAAAGATGGCATATGTTCCAATTATTGTGCAGTGCTGGGATGCATGTTCTTATAAAGTCCATAAACATATCTTAAAAGATCAGCAAATCTCAATTTCTGTTATTCATTGATGCAGTTGTCTGGAAGAAGGTGCTGAGGACTTCCTGATGAAGCCTGTGAAGAAGTCCGATGTCACTAAGCTTAAAGACTTCATGGTGAAAGGGGATCAAGCTGAGAAAGGCAAGAGAAGTAGCATCAAGAGAAAGATGGACGATGACATTCTTAAGATGATGATGCCTCCTACTATTGCTTCTTCAGATGATGATCAATCTTCATCTGCATCCCACTCTCCATCGTCATCATCATCATCACCGTGTACATCTCCTTCTTGCAAAAGAACCAGGCTGCAATAGCCAGTGATCGATCTAATACACATGCTGCTAAACTATAGATGCTTTGATCAGCAAATTTTGTACGTAGCATCAAGCCACTTAACATAGAAATGAATGGCTCATGCTCTTTTTTTGTGAATTATCAACTGCTTCGTCGATGGTCTTACCTCAAATAGTATGAAAAGGAGGATCGCTCTCAGTAGGACGCAATCAACTTGATGTGATCTGTTCTTTATTTTGTAAATGGTCGAATCTTTAATCATGAATACGAAATTGAGATCTCTCAAAATTCAAGTCTCTGTGATCCTAATTCCGCCAACTTGTTATGAAAGTTCATATCTTTGACTGGGACCATCTTATGAGATTGCCCTGTTTTCTTTCCACTTTGTGGGGTTGTCCTACTTCCGACTTCGACCCCTCTTGTTTCTTCAATCTCTACAGTATATCTTCTTGACAACCCATCATTGAGAATTCGGTAACCATTGGGTCCAAGGGGTGGGCAATGATCCTGTCCATAGTGAGATAAATCGGACTAACACGATACTATGTTCGAATAAGATGCATTTTGATTGAATTTGCTTCTCAAATTTCAAGATTGTTTTTTTTTTCCGATCTCATGGATCATCCGAGATACATATTCAAAAAATGGGTTGAATCGAAATTGGATCAAAATCGACTGCACTGTTTGGTCGAAAAGAATCGGACCGACCGGGCCTGCCCTTTGCATCATCATCAAATGGAATAATCATCATCCATGGGGTGCATCATTCCAACTGTCTGAATGATGCTTTCTTTTGACAAGGCTTAACCTAAAACAGAAACAAAAGCATCAACAGACAAAAAACAACGTGTATGATCAGATCGGTGTTTCCACTTTTCCAATCATGAAAGATATGAATGAAGGGTAGCCACCACCACCACCAAGATATGGAGACGGGGAAAAGCAAGAGATCAAATCTTGGCGATGGGGGACCATCAAATCTTGGGCCAAAAGGGAAGAAGAAGAAGGCAAGATCATTCATCATGTGATGTTGTTTCCGTTATGTGCAATTGAATGAATGGTGGTTGGGCAGGTCCCCTGTTTTCTACCCTGCTCTGCTTTGTCTCCTTCAGTTTGGGCTCTCGTGTTTTTGGCATGGCGTATAGGGTCATCATATGGTTCCATTCCATGCCCAATTCTCTGACCTAAGCGGCTAAGCTTGGAAGTCAGGATCTAAGACTTTGCCCTACAAGATCAAAAGGGAATGCAACTTAAACTTCATAGCTGGAACTAAAACAAGGAAGATAGAGTTTGGCATAGAATGATATCACATCCCAATTCAGTTGAAGTACATCACACTTGTAAGAAAAGGAAGGCTTGTGGATTTTCCAAGATTGTGGAGCACAAGCAAAAGGAGTAAAATGTGTAGTCATTATTCATCATCCAAAGGAAATAATAAAAATGTGTAGCCATTTTGTAATGTCACGAATCATGTATGGTTTGGTAACTCACGAAATGATACGTCTAAACTCATCAATGAAATATGTGATTACACTGAAATTAGTTGATAATATGGTACTATCAATTCCTTAAAAAATGAAATTTAGATTTAGCTATTAAACACGTGATTTTTTTACTCATTTTTTTTCAAGGTCTAGTGTAGATAAATCACCAATGGAAATTGATAACCTCCTGCATTCGTTTTACCGTTGACTTTAACCGACAACTTTCTTTGAAAAAATCGACAATTTTTTCGGGTTATGTTGAAGGCTTGATGTATATAAGTTGGTAGTAGTGCTTCTCTGTCTTAATGTCGACGGTTATGAATCCAAGTATAGTGGCGGAGTCATGTCGAGTCCACCCCCTCAACTTTCAAATATAGCTAAACTAGCATAAGCCCGCTCGCTATAGCTTCGCGTCTGAGCTAGTACTTGATATTTAAAAAATTAATAGTTTGAATTCTGATCCAAAAGTAAAGGACTTCTCATCTACAACTCTATGTAGTCGATACAACGATAAACTTTAATAAGGGAGAAAGGTCGTCGAACAATTGATTTCTATGTTTAAGTTGTAAACACCGGGTTCAAGTTGTTTGGGTGTTCAACCAAAAGGAAAAAGATAAATGAAAAACACTAAAGCGGATAAAATTTGCCCCATACCAAAAACTTTACACACCAAGCTCAACTCACCTAGACTGGTTCGAACCGAGTTTTTAACAATTCACACTCGCTCAACATGCCAATTCTAAAAGCAGATAAAAAGCACTCTTGATACAAAACTCGTTAGAATTGGGTCTGGATTCAATTGCCATTCTCATCCAAAAGGAAAAGGAGAAATAAAAACCATTAAAGCGGACAAAACTCACTCTCGATCCAAAAACTCGTTCAACTCACTTTGACCCGGTCGAATCGATTTCTTAATAAATTCACACTCGGTCGAACTTGCCAACTACAAATGTGGATAAAATTCGCTCTCGATACAAAACTCGGCAATACCATGGGTTCGGGTTCAATTGTCATTCTCAACGAAAGGGAAAAAATAGAAACTTAAAAATACTAATGTTGGGTTCGAGTCGCTTTGACCTGGCCGAATTAGGTTGGATACCCATGAGTTTGAGTTCAATTATCATGCTTAACCAAAATGAGAAAGAGAAGTAAGAAAACACAAAAGAATATGGAACTCGATCCCAATACAAAACTCGGCAATACATAGCAAATTTAGTATGGATTTTCGGTAGCGATCTTGAGAAACGGTGGATAGGTACAACTTAAGATTCCATCAACAGTGTTTGGAAAAGGTTTTCGAACTAGTGGGCGAAGGCGAGGATTGTGCATTATAAATATGTTATGGATATTTGGTAATAAATATGTTATGTATGGATTATGTTATGGTTATTCGGTGGATGGGAAACCTAATGGCTAATAGATGTAGACCTGACGAATAATAGATGAACACATGAGTTATAGAATGAGAGAGCGCGATAAAAGAAGGACTTGAAATTTTCCCACTTGCAATTGGAGGAGTTTGGCAGATAAAACACGCTCTCGATACAAAACTCGTTAGCATTGGGTCTGAGTTCAATTGTCATTATCATCCAAAAGGAAAATGAGAAATAAAAACAAAGCGGGCAAAACTCACTCTCGATCCAAAACTCGTTCAACTCTCTTTGACCCGGTTGAATCGATTTTTTAACAAATTCACACTCTGCCAACTACAAAAGCGGACAAAACTCGTTCTCGATACAAAACTCGTCAATACCATGGGTTTGGTTTCAATTGTCATTCTCAACGAAAATGAAAAAATAGAAATTTAAAAATACTAATGTTTGGTTCGAGTCTCTTTGACCTGGTTGAATTAGGTTGGATACCCATGAATTTGAGTTCAATTGTCATGCTTAACCAAAAGGAGAAGGAGAAATAAGGAAATACTAAAGAATATGAAACTCGATCCCAATACAAAACTCGGCAACACATAGCAGATTTAGTATGGATTTTCATTAGCGGTCTTGAGATACGGTGGATGAGAATTGGAAAAGGTTTGCGAATTAGTGGGCGAAGGCGAGAATTGTGCATAATAAATATGTTATGGATATTCGGTAATAAATATGTTATGTATGGATTGTGTTATGGTTATTCCATGGATGAGAAACCTAATGGCTGATAGATGTAGACCGGACGAATAATAGATGAACACATAGGTTATAGAACGAGAGAGTGGTAAAAAAAAAGAATTTGAAACTTCCTTATTTGCAATTGGAGGAGTTTGAGGGCCACTAATAAATAGTAACTTAAATGTTATATTAATATTAATAATTTACATGAAATTTGTGTAATAATTTCTAAAAATAAACAAGTTAGTTAGTGTCTAAGCTAACCCCTTCACAATGACCAGGGTTCAAATCTCTAAAGCATAAATTTGTAGCCTCCTATTCAAATGTCTGGTCCCGTCACAAGTGTATTACTTTTCGGTTAGGTGGTTGCTTTAAAAGTCTTTATGCATCCAATCCAAACCGGCGAACATGGAAGATCCGTAAATCACAATGCACAGTTTCACATTGATTCCTTTTGAGTTACCGAATTGGTTAAGTATGTGGACAACAGGTAGTTCATATTTCAAGTACAACTGCAAAAACCTCAATCCGCCTCAATCCTCGATTAAACTGCTACAGAAAACGATGACTGATTGAATGATGGAGCTGGATCAGGTCTCGCGACGAGCACAAATGCATTGCTCTGACCCGATGATTCATGAAAGACCTTGGCAGGAACAACTTGTATAGGCAAGAAGGCAAACTTCTCGATGAAACCATGTCGTAATTACAATTAACCAGAATACAGGCTTTTTAGCTCTATCAGAACCACAACTTCTCGATGAAACTATGTCGTAATTACGATTAAACAGAGTACACACACTATCACAAGTACATATTCAACTTCCACATGAATCCAATTCTTAATAAGCAAAATTACTAACAAGAATACATGCTCAATCACACATACAAACCTAAATGAAACGTACGAACCACCTTGCTCTTTCCGTCAATGATAGCATCATAGCATTCTACGGGGTGATCGATCTTACGGAGTCAAAATTCCAACCGGTGAGACCTACAACTGGCCACAAGTTTCAAGTCAAAAGAGGTTATGGTAACATAGAACAAAGAAAGGAAAGGAAAAAACTAGGTTGCAGAATCTTTAGAGGAAACAGTAAGATAGAGGAATTTCACATTCTACAAATGTAGTTCTAAGTGAGAAGCAAACAGACGATTCCCCCATGGTTTTCACATTCCAGCAGCTTCGGTGCAATTGATGATCAGCTCGAATGAAAATTACTAGTAAAGCTACAATGCAGGGAGATTATGGATTAAATTTAATGCATGGTCTAGCCAGAGTTGAACCCTACATACCTCAGTTTGCTAATTATACATTTCTGGCGAAACTAAGGTCTCCAGGTAGATCACAACAGGACCATCACGATCGGGCAAACCTCTCGATGTAGGAAACCTGACAGTGTTAACCTTCGGGTTGTAAATGAACAGATCTTCATAATTCTCCCAAAGAGCATCACCATCATCTGAAATGTACAACGGAGTGCGAAACCCTGCATCGACCACAACCTGATCCACCCTGAACAATCTAGTCCAAGCACCCTTCACTCTAGGCTCTTTCATCACCCATACCACACACGAATCGCCATCATCAAAAGATGCGAGACATAGACGATCAACTAGCGACTCTATTTCCCAATGAGCACCAGAGTCACCAAAATCAGGTAGCTTCACCTTGTTATATTTCTCTGTAGCAAGGTCAAGTGACACTAGGGTTTCCTGCCACTCGGGATTCCCATCACCTCTAGAACTTGGCACTTTGTAGTAAAGACTGCCAGCAGCGAACTTAACACCCGAACATCTCGGAACGCCATACTTAAAATCCTCGATTCTTCTCCAGGATTTAGTCTTCAGAGCAAAGACTTGAACTTGAGTTTCGAACTCATCTGTTCCATGATTTCCAGTTGGATAGGAAATCGCGACTACTACCTTGTAATCATCAAGCAGACAGTCATAACCAAATCCAAAAATCCTGACACATCCACGCATCTGCTCCTCCGAAATATCACAGCGGAACGCAGGCAGTTCCCTCACAACTCTGGTACAAGGGTTCCATACCACCACCCCATGGTATAAGCCGACAACAGAGCATAGCAACCCATCGCAAGACCCAACAACATGATCACCACCACCGTTGTCGACTCCTAGAAAGACATCTACACGCTCAGCCACTTCAATTCGGGGGCCATTGTATAAGGACTCAAGCGACCACGAACTCGAGCCCCAATCGAAAACAAGAGGCCTCCGTTCGTTTTGCCGATGGAAGAAGTTGAATGACCGCCTGAACAGCCTATCAACGCGATTCGGTTTGACAGTAGACAGCGCTTTCGTACATCTTCGATGTGCTTTGACAAAATCGGGACTCGAAATTAGGGTTTTGAAACATTTCGAGAAGGACCTGAATCGGAGGAGCGAAACGACGGGCAGCCAAGTCAGAATCTCGGCGATGAGATCCGGAGGAAGGATAGGTAGTGGCCGCGGCAGCTTTACCTTCGCCTGGACGGGGTTTTCAAGCGACGGAGTCTCCATTACATAACCGGCGAACTGAACTGAGCTAGTGCCAAATGCCAATGGCGGGAAGAGACGGTTTCTTCAGATGGTAACTGGTAGGGGAGTCGATATATATAAAGGGTTTACTGTCCGCTTTAATTTACATATGATAAAAACTCAAATCCATAAATGCAAACATAAATCGGATAAAAAAACTGGTGGAACTATCAGATTGTAGAACATAAATGTTACGGTGATGTGATGTAGGGGATGTCGATTTTAGGGTTTTCTCGTCAAAGAAATAAAACGCAAAGAACTCTCAAAGGAAATAACAAGGAAATAGCAAATAATAAACGAAAACTAAAGGTTTGGGTTCCAATCTTCTCCTTAAACGAACGAAACAAGTACATATTTATAGGCATAAAATTCTCTACCTTTTCCCATCTGTATTATGACTCCTGTTTCTCTAAGGAAATGACTAACAATAACCCAAACCGACTTGAACAAGGAAAACACTAATCAAGACAATTACAATAAAGACTCAATAATATCTAAATTCGAACAATTAATAAAATATTAACGATACGCAAGCACAGTCTCCAATGCCTTCACCGCACGCGCCAATCATAAGAAGTACGTTGTTATTCGCACAACGGTGACCAATGGTGAAGCGTTCATCACAATGGAAGCATAATCCTTGCGCACGACGTCGAGCGACCTCTTCTGGCGACATCGGACGTGCCGCAGGTTGACGAGGTGGCGTAGGTGGTGTTGGTGGTGTCGTCGACGAAGACCCTGCCTCCATTCCCGGTCGTGGAATCCCTCGAGCCATTGGTCGATGCTTGCTAAGTTCTTCATTTTTCACCATGGCAAGACGAATAGCCTCTCGCACCATTTCAGGACGGAACATTCGAATTGCATCAGATATCTCCAGCTTAAGTCCTCCAATGAATGATCCTACCAAGGCTTCTTCGGTCCACCCAAAACAGCGATTGCGCAGCTTCTCAAATGCCAACAAATAGTCACTTAATGACCCAGTCTGCTTAATTTTAGAGAGAGCCTCGTGGCTAGATGCTCCTTTTGCTGGCGCAAAACGAGCCCATAGCTCCTCCCTAAACCTCACCCATGTGATCGGCAGTCCCGATGTGGCATATGTGCGATCCATCCACTGCCACCACTGATTCACATCTCCCTCCATGTGGTATGACGCGAGAGCCACCTTGTGCTCCTCTGGTGTTTCCTGTAATCGAAAACTGTTCCACTCTTGCGAACCAACCTGACGGATCCTCACTCCCGTTGTACTTTGGAAACTCAAGTTGGGCTAATTTGGGTTTAAACCACCCATTCTTCTCCTCAATTTTCCCGCTCGGCCCACCACGATCTCCTTCTCCCACTCCAGTTGCGTTTCCCCAAGACCCAGGCGGCCCAGACTGGCGGCCCAGACGACGGCCCGGTCGTACCGCCCAACTCAGGTTGCGGAACCCATCCCATTCCACCACCCACTAGCCTGCTCTCTTCCGGACTGCTGCCTCTTCCTCTGTGGGCTCCGTCCCCACTCGATCCGGCCCAGCTACTTGCGGAGCCTAGCCTGGTACCTGCAAATTGTCACATGTTGAGGCCTACTCCTGTTGGGCTTTGCCCTGCGTCTATCGAACCGGCCCAAATGGCTGCGGAGCTTGCTCTTATCGTCTCGTTTCCCAGCTGCCCCGTATTTGGGTCCGAGCTCGTTTATGGCCCACCCATGCTTTGAGGTGGCCCAATACTCATTGCCCCAGCCCAATTCGGACCTAGATTCCAACTCGGGTTAAACCCCTAGCGGCCCATAGTAAGTGGGTCAAGCCCATCCAATTAATCCTCCTGGCCCAGGTCCAATCCCAGTTGGCCCGACCAGACCAGCACTGCCACCCATCAATCCGACCCAACCCAGTTGGTTTGTACCTGTTGCTCCGTTTATCAACCCCGCGCTCCTGGGCAGCTTCACCGCTAGATATCCTCCTGCCGAACTTCCCTGTGCTCCTTCGATCGGGGCCTTCGGTACGACGAGGTTGCCCCCAGCCTGGATCGAGCGTCGCCGTTCCTGTGGTCCCGCCGCCGCCGCCAGTTTTCGCTCCGCTTCTGCCTTCCACCGGTGACCCCAATTCGCTCGACGACTTAGGTTTGTCGCCACCATGGTCCCCATCGATTAGGGGGCCCTTAAGCTTTTCCGCTGATGTTGCCACTGGTCGTTCGCGAGCTCGGGCTGCGATCGGAGTCGCGGTTGCGCTGCTGCCTTGCTCCATCTCGTTGTCTAGAGCCTCCAGTCGCGATCAGTTGCCGCGATCGTCTGCGTCGCGATGGTTCGCACCAAGTCCTCCAAAACCGCGAATCGCAGTTCGTTCCTCGACTCTGTCGCAAGGAAACCCTCTGCCATCAACTTCGTGACGTCCGTGAGCTTCTGGTCTAGGGTTGCGATGCGCTCGACCAAGGGATTGAGCCGACCTTTTAAACTCCCAATCTGCTCCTCCATGGCGTGCAATCGCGGTTGAAGATCGTCGAATTCCGACCCATCGTCGCTGCTGCTGCTCGATACCCTGGATTTCGACGGTTGTTGTTGCTTAAGCGGGATCTGGATACCAACTGTTATAGTGATGTGACATAGGGGGATAGCGATTTTAGGGTTTTCTCGTAAAAGGAATAAAACGCAAAGAACTCTCAAAGAAAATAACAAGGAAATAGCAAATAATAAACGAAAACTAAAGGTTTGGGTTCCAATCTTCTCCTTAAACGAACGAAACAAGTACATATTTATAGGCATAAAAGCCTTTACCTTTTCCCATCTATATTATGACTCCTATTTTTCTAAGGAAACGATTAACAATAACCCAAATTTACTGACTTGAACAAGGAAAACACTGATTCAGACAATTACAATAAAGACTCAATAATATCTAAATACGAACAATTAATAAAATATTAAAGATATGCAAGCCAGTCTCTTACGAAATGCTACGATGGCCCGATCTCGTAAAAATAAATCATTATTGCGTGCAAAGATATTAAAGAGATAGAAGATATAATGACTCTAAATTTGTGATGGCTGGAAGTTCACTTCCCTCTTTAATAGATGATGTAGTGGCCTCTGAAGCCCTTGATTGATTTCAATGAAACCCATAAATTCAGGGGCGGACCCAAGTTAGAGCAAGGTGTGTCACCCGACACACCTTGGCTCGAAAATTTTGTGAGAGACAATGCTTTCGACGGTACAAAAAATTGAAACTCGAGATTTTCGACACACCTTTATTATTCTACAATCAAATTGTTGTTATATAGCTAATAAAATATATAAATATATATTATCTTTAATTTACTTGGTTCTGAAGTTAGTGTTGACTTTATCTATTGCAACTACAAGTTTCAAAGGCCTTTTTAGCTAGGAAGGTAATCAAGAACAATCTTCGGAATTGATTGAATTACCAATTTATGAATGATTGTTTAGTTGTGTATACCAAAAATTGACTTGGAACATGGATAATGAATATATTTTACAAACCTTTCAATATACGAAAGTCATTGTGATTTGTTGTAAATGATATTGTAAATTTTATTTTTTATTTAATATATTATTTTATAAGTCGACACACCTATTCAAGAATTCTGGGTCCGTCACTGCATCAGTTTACTTCATAAAAAAATTGTGCTTGCGGTTAAACGACTTCGTTTTTGTTGTGTTATTTTGGGTACATTCTAAAGAAAAGTTTGGGCGCGCCCTTCACTTTAGTTTGGGCTCACTTTTTTTAACAGCTTAAGCCCAATTGTCTATAGTCCACAATCCAACCATCTTGGAGTAATTGGCCTATGTGACGTTAGTGTACTTCGGAAAATTAATTACTCATAATCTTTGTTTATATAGGTCGAGGAAATGGTGCATAAGTATAACCATAATTACGAGCCTTATCCAACGCCAAATAAGCTACCCTATTATTATTTCGACCAAATGAAGTCCTAATCGGTCGAGACTTCTTCAAAGATGGCCCCTTAGTGATGATCTTGCTTGCATGTCTGATTTATCTTATCGATGACCACCTTCGTGTTCCCTTCAAACCGAACCTGCAAGTGCAAGAGGCCACGTTCCAGACATCACTAGATGGCCTCCTGTAGGACTAGGAGCTCAACTAATGGTGGCAAGATGGTAGAAATGAATGAATATACAACAAAAACCAATAAAACCTTACTACAAAGTATTGATTTCATGTTGGAAGTTCCCCCAACACATGTTAGGAACTAACAAAATCCATATAACAACATTTAAATTCATACAAGCAACCCGCTTAATCTTTATTCGAAATTAGTGAATTCATGTCCTAAACTAGTTGATCCAGCTATATAAAATATAATCCGATTGATTACCACTAACATCGCATGGAAGACAAAGAAAATTAGCATATGACGATCAACAACACCTAGGGCCGTCAATTTGGTTTTGTTTTTTCAAAACCAAACCAATTGGAAAGCTAATGGTTTCAGTTTTTCGGTTTTAAACCAACTAGCAACTTAATGTTTGGTTCGGTTAAAACCGAAAAATCAATAGAAACCAATAAGAAACCAATAATCTGAACGAAACCAATAAAAAAAAATAATCTGAACGAAACCAATAAGAATGTACAAATTATAATAATAAAATGATTTATCAACAAATAATTTTTTTTGTTTCTTTTGATACGCATGTTAACCAATAATTTGAAATAGTCATTTTATCATTTACAATTATTATGACGTTTATTCAATAAAAAGTAGGAAAATGGAAATGAATATGAGTGTATGAGTACATGTTGGTTTTTTGGTTTTTGGGTTTTCATGCTTAATGGTTTGGTTAACCAAACCAAATCGACAGTCTTAACAACACCTACAAACCGGTATAACCAATCTATGCTTCTCCCACCTGGTGCAACCTCAACAGCTGGTTTGAGAATCTTGGAGGTGGGTAAGAAAGTAAGCAACAATGTCCACAAAGCTGATTATTAGTAACAACTAACAACAATGTTAATTATTAACCACATCGATTATGTCACGAACAAAAAACTAAACACATCGATGGCAACAATGTCGAGAGTCAATTCCAATACATAGACCGGTTCCTTTTTTTATATGTATTTTTGTTTGTGGACTGGCAAGATAGACCTATTCATCCAACTGTCTTCCAAGTTCCAACTGTAAGGGGGCATCTTTTGCTGCTTTTGCTCAAAATGCTGTTTATGGCAACAGCCGTCGCTGCGCATAGTTTAAGCTTTCAAGGTGATTCATTGCGTTACCACTCAGTGAATGGTTAGACGGCTGGGGTATTTTTATGGCCAAACTGAAATCCAAATATGAGAATCTGAGATGTCACAAATGAATATGCATTCAGATAAATCTATGAAGATTCTTAATTATAAGTAATGTGACGCTTCTTTGTTTGACTTTTTGAAAGACATTTAGGGGAAATCTTATCATTGTTCGTAGAGGTGGTAATTCTCAATCCAATCCACCAATCTATTAAAAATATCTACCTAATCCAATTCATTTAAATCCAATCCATTTGATCCAAATCCAATTGGATTGATGGATTTATGAATTGATCTATGGATCCAAATGATAAATTACGATTTGGTACCTATACTTATTATATTTTATATTTTGGTACCTAAATTTATTTTTTAATACGAAAATATCATTGGAAAATTATATTTTGGTACCTACAATTTTTCATTACGACATTTTAGTACCTCAACTTTTCACATTTTACATATTGGTCCAAGGTTGAGGATGTCATTTGGATTCATGGATAATCCACCAATCCAATCCATGAATCCACCAATCCATTTGATCCATGGATCTCCCAATCCATGGATCCAATCCATTTGCCACCTCTAGGTGTTCCAATTGTGTCGTGGTAACCACTTTATCCGGTAGTATTCAGATAATTTGGTTTGGTTAATTTGGGTAATTGATTTGATTCGGGTAAATTTTTTAGCTTGTTTGGTTTAGTGGGTTTGATTTGATTTCAGACACTCATAATCAATTAGCTATATCTAGTTTATTATATACTCATACTTGTATAATCACTCAAGAGTCAACATCGAAGCATTCCTCCCTTTTGGATCCATAAAAAAAATTAAATGAACCTCATTATTGTTGCCATACTATATGTGTTCTTATAGATAGTAGACAACATAATAGATGTCTAATTTAGAAAAACTTCATACATTATATTGGATGAAAAGTTGAAATGGAAGAGTTTTTCATCCTTTGATGATTGATAAGAGACTAACACAATTCACACAGACAAACCCAATTCATTAACCATATACCATTAGCATATCTTTTTGTTAGGTGACTACTTCTAGTGACTGTAATGTAACTTTATTATTTGCATGGATTTATGTTAAGAGTTAACAATGTGTTAACTGTTATATTTTATTCATTATATAAATTAGGGATTTATAGGAGATTTTTTCTCGCCTAATGATAATGTTATATTAGTTAACCAATTAATCAAACCGATTACACTTTAGTTTGGTTGTTGTATTTGTTTGGCCGGGTTTTGTTAGGTGACTACTTCTAGTGACTGTAATATAACTTTATTATTTGCATGGATTTATGTAAAGAGTTAACAATGTGTTAATTGTTATATTTTATTCATTATATAAATTAGGGATTTATACTTTATTAGGAGATTTTTTCTCGCCTAATGATAATGTTATATTAGTTAACCAATTAATAAAACCGATTACACTTAAGTTTTTTTTATTTGGTTGTTGTATTTGTTTGGCCGGTTTGATTATAATATTATATTCTATGTGTTTTCCAGCGAGAAAACTTGTGTTGAATTGAATTGATTGCACATTGACTTCTTCGGACAACGATTACTAAACACAGTCCATACCTCTTCAAACAAAGTTCGAACGAGGTTGTTCGATGTTTACACGACTCGCAAGACAGAAATCTACGTTAATTTACTCTTACTCCTATGGAGGTTCAGTGAGAGCTCCAGATCTACGACGACGACTAAAATTGCAGAGGGAAGGATAAAGGGATAAATTTTGACATTGTGTTGTGTGGTATGAATTTGGCGAACCTTTCCTCTGTCAACTCCTCCTCCTATTTATAGGCTTGAGATGATAAATGTCGTAGAAAACTGTCTTAGAGTAACTTCCAAAAAGAACTGCTCCCCTTCTTTCTCGAACGTGGCCGACGTGTCATTGTACGTGGGATAATCGGCAGTTTCTCTGTTAACCGCTTGCTCTTTATCTTAGAACTGTCGTCTTGTTACTTGCCTCTCCCACATGGCTTGCTTTCTTACTTCCAACTTGTTAGTTCAGATCTTGGACATGGTCTAGACTCACGATGGGGTATAGATCTCGCGACCACGTCAGGCTGTAAATTTGATGCCAACGTGGTCTAGATCTCACGACCACGTCGGGCTCTAGATTTGACGCCAACGTGGTATAGATCTCGCGACCACGTCGGGCTCTAGATTTGACTCCAACATGGTCTAGATCTCACAACCACGTCGGGCTCTAGATTTGACACTAACGTGGTCAAGATCTCACGACCACGTTGGGCTCTAGATTTGACACCAACGTGGTCTAGATCTCACGACCACGTCGGGCTCTAGATTTGATGCCAACGTGGTCTAGATCTCACGATCACGTCAGGCTCTAGATTTGACACCAACGTGGTCTTGATCTCACGACCACGTCGGGCTCTAGATTTGACACCAACGTGGTCTAGATCTCACAACCACGTTAAGCTCTTCAACTCGTGACGAGACTAGCTCATTCTTGGAGACTTAGTAGTTTGGGGCTTGAAACTAATATCATGAGGCCAAGTTCAAATAACATTAATTGACATTAATGATCTGTCCTTATAAAGATAATAAATGCCTTGTAAATAATCAATGTGGTACACGATTATTTTTTAGGTGTAAACACTATGATTAATAGAATTTAAACTTAATTGATTTGATAATTACATGATAATCACTTGAACGTCCTAGCAATAGGTGATACACTTGATGCCCATGAAGGCCAGTAGTACGAGCTAGGTGGTGGGAAAAAGGTACTTTTGTGAAGCGGTACTGTCGAGCCCAAGATAGAGGAAGACCACGCCACAGGGTCTGAGAGTTGAATTGATAGAGGGCTTAGTATAGGTGTCTCTGCCCAAATTGTACAAGCTTCTTCCAAAGCATACGACTTTTCGAGTGTAGATGACATTTATATAGATGGAGTCTATGTATCGTAAATGAATTATACTATCTCATGAATGAATATATAGGAATCAAAATCTGCCAAATCTATGTAATTATCTTCTTATGAAGTAAATATACGATGCCAAGGAAACTAAGGAAATAAGAGTGACTAGGAGAGTTCTACCTCTCTCGTACGAGTAAGTGTGCGCCTCCTTATGACAATGGGAGGTTTGGGCAACACATACTATAGAATTTGGCACAATGGATTGCCCCTCTCCCTATAATGCTATCCTGCAATAACGTTTCTCATGATCTTTAACAACATTGTGTCACCATGTCACCAGGGTTTGAAATTTGTAGCCTAATACATAATTAGGATCGCAAGGGGAAGAGTGACATTAAATGCCCCACAGCGACCATCAAAGAGGAATCAAGCGTACAACATAGATGTAAGGCCTGAAGATACTTCAAAGGCGGAGGCGTTTATGCTGAAACCATGGTGCCTCTACGCCCACAAAAACCTAAAAGGAAAGTACGAATCTCGACGCATGTAACTGTCGAAATGGTCGAGCCACTAATGAGTCTTCTCTAGGAATTTGCTAAGTTGTTCGCATGGAGCGCTGTCAAGCGTTAGCTCCGACATTGCGGAACACCAGATCACTGTAAAAGCGGGGAGAAAAGCCATTAAGCAAAATCGGAGAGGCATAGGTGGATTGAAGGAAAAGGCACTCCGTGTTGAGATTGAGAAGTTGTTATCAATCATATTCATCAACGAGGTGTTATACACGATGCGACTGCCGAATGTTATCTTTGTGCAAAATACATCTAGCGATTTGAAAATGTTATGTGATGACACTTGAAAAGTGATGTCTTTCATACCATTTTATTAGCGATATTTCCTCCATCTTAATGCATATTTAGTCATTTCACTATGGTTTTGGGTTAGTTTCAAACATGTATTCGTAGCAAGGTTGTCAACCCGCGGGTTGACCCGAACCTGATCGAGCTAGTGGGTCAAGGGTTAATGGGTCACCCATTTTAGCCCGAAAATATGGAAAAAGTCATTATATTCTACTTATCCTAATAAATTATATCAAATCTAATCTAACATATGAGTTATAACATATAGTATTACACCAAAATAACATGTCGTACTTAGATCCAACATATAGTGAAAATTCACATACACTTATATAAAATCAATATTCAAATGTTCAACTTAGGACTCCAAAGATTGAGTTAGGCGAAAAGAAAAATCGAAAAATAGGCGCAATTCGCAAACCAAAGAAAAAAATGACACAATTTAACCTCCAACCCGGTACATTGTAGCGATCGCTGCTATTATTAGGAAACATATTTTTCATTAGGACCACAACTCATTTGTTCTTGTATTTAAAATCCAAATATACTAGTAAAAAGTTATTCTTTATCCCCAATTATTTTCAAAAGCTAACGATTAAACTCAATTACGGACCCCCCTTGTCTAGTAGGATATATCGAGATAGATTTGTAGTGCATTGTAAGACATCGATGATATTTTACAATTTTTTCATAATACAAAACACGTCTTGTGCTTTGTTGTATTTTGTACAAGTCATATATATATTCTTATTTAATAATTATTTAATTATTAATTAAATTAAATTTTTAGATGATGACACTCCTATCTAAAATTTCTGAATCCGCCACTGTGCGTACGACCCGTTTTTATCGCCAGGTCATCGTCAAAGTGGGTCGACCCGCAGATGGACAACCTTGATTCGAGTCTCTAACATCATTTTTACACTTTTAATATCATTTTGGATAGTTTTTCATCATTTTCTGCCTAAAAGGCTAAAACACAAAGGAGGACGAATTTCTTCCTTTTGCTTGTCGCATATGCACAACAGAGAGCACACAGCATAGTCTTCTTCCATTTGTCCATGCAAGGAGCCAACTTCCACTTTCCTCCCTCTCTCTTAAACGAGCTGAAATTCTGAATTAAAAATATAAAATACCTAAACTATTACCACTACACACTAGAAGACAGAAAAACAACACTTCACAAAAACTCCAACGAGAGCGAAAAAATTTCATAACAGAGTTGCTGAAATATCCTTCGCTGCAAACTTTTCTTCCTTTCCAAATTTCTCACATCTCAATTCGGCGGTTCCCATTTACTTGCGCCCTTCTTTTCCCCTCACCTCCTCCCCTTCTTCATCCCAATGGCTTCTCCTTCTTCTTCTTCTTCTTCCACCCTCCCTCCTTCCACTCTCCTCCTCCTTGCTCTGTTCCTCAACCCTCTCGCCGGATCCCCCGAACATGCTCCACCCGCTGGCGCCGGACCTGCCATCTCCACCACAACGTTGTCGCCGGAGACGGTAGTAATTTCCCCCGACCAAACTCCGGCGAATTCCCCATCTCCACCGTCGTCTTCCTACCAGAAGCTGCTGAAAGTTCTGGGCGTTGTTGCCGGCATCGCGGCGGCGGTCGCGGGACTGATCTACTTCATCTTCTGCTGCTTCCGGAGGTGGGATCGGAGTAGTAAGTACGGCGGTACGATGAAGAAGCAGAGGAGCTTCCGCTTGCAGGAGACCGGCGGGGTCGGTCAGTTGAAGACGGTCACGACGGTGGTGAAAGATATGGTGATTAGTGACAGCGGCGGCGGTTTGGTCGGGAGCTCTGGCGGCGGCGGTGGGGGAGAGCCCAAGGATGACGGCAACAATTTCTCGCAGTTCAGCTTGAATTCCAGCTTCGAGGTGGAGAAATTGGTCGACGTGGCCAGCGATCGTAAGAACAGCAGCTGGCAGATCGTGGTTCACGAGCCCGTTTACGGCGGCGAAAGGGAAAATCATAAGTACTACGAAGAAGCCGATGATGATGATGATGATACGCCGGTTGGAAATCAGACGTTGCCGTTGCCGTTGCCGGCGCCAGTTGCTTCCAATCGGAGACAGCCTTTTCTATCATCATCATCATCACCTTCTTCTTCTTTTTCTTCTTCTTCCCCACCGCGAATATCTTCCACTCTACCAGCGGTTCCAGTGCCGCCGTCGACTCCGGCGAATTCTCTCCCTCCTGCCCCGCCACCGCCTCCGCCTCCTCCGCCTCCACCGCCATTACCGATGGAATTCGTTAATAAAGATAGATCTAATAACAATCCAGGGAATGGATGGGGATCGTCTGCGTCAAGCCGGCCGCCGACGGCGCCAAGAGAGAAAACTACCAAAAACCGAGGATGGGGAAGAAAAACAGAGGAGAATCTTGATAGTATTAGCTCTGATCACACAAAGCTCCGGCCTTTTCATTGGGACAAGGTTGGGGCTAATAGCCATGATCATTCAATCGTTTGGGATGAACTTGAAGACGGCTCCATCAGGTTTCCTTCTTCTCAATTCACCATTTTTATCCCATTTTTTTCAAGCTCAAAGCTCCGTCCTAAATTGTACAGAGTCCTCTGTTTTTCCAGGTTCGAGGACGGCCAAATTGAGGCATTATTCGGTTACAGGAAGAAACCCAATTCTTCTTCCAGAACCCCAGTGCACGCTGCATCATCGGCGAACTCAAGCGGCAGAAGCACTCCATCATCCAAAGCCCCGATCTTCATCCTGGACCCGAGAAAATCCATGAACGCGGCGATCGTCCTGAAATCGTTAGCAACCACGCAGAACCAAATCCTGAGCGCTCTACAGGAAGGCTACGGAGTTCGCCCCGATATCCTCGAGAAGCTCGCCAAGATTTCGCCGACCAAGGAGGAAGCTTCCCGAATCTCGCGATTCGACGGCGACCCGGCGAAGCTGGCCGACGCCGAGTCCTTCCTGTACAGCATCCTGAAGGCGGTTCCGACGGCGTTTTTCCGGGTGGAAGCGATGCTGTTCCGATCGAGCTACAATTCGGAGATTCGAAACCTGAAGGTGTCGCTGAAGACGGTCGAGCTGGGATGTCAGGAGCTTCGGGAACGCGGATTGTTCCTGAAGCTCCTGGAAGCCATCCTGAAGGCCGGCAACAAGATGAATGCCGGGACGTCGAGAGGGGATGCCAAAGGGTTCAACCTCACCGCTCTCAGGAAGTTGTCCGATATCAAGAGTACCGACGGAGAGACCACTCTGCTCCGGTTCGTGGTGGAGCAGGTGGTCCGATCGGAAGGGAAAAGGCAAGTTTCGAAACAGGACAACTCGACGACGATGACAGAGGAGGAGCGGAAGGAGGAGTTTTTATCCCTCGGGTTGAGATCGATGCAGAATTTGGGCTTGGAATTCTCCAATGTAAAGAAGGCGGCCGCGATTGAGAGCAGAGAATTCATTACCACTTGCTCTGCTCTGGCGGCGAGACAAATCGAGACGAAGCGAATCCTGACTGGGTGCAAGGAGGAAGAGAGAGGGGAATTCACGAGGGAGATGAGGGGATTTCTGGATGAATGTGAGGAGGAATTGAGATCGGTGATTGAAGAGCAGGAGAGAGTGATGGAGCTTGTGAAGAGAACGACGACGTATTACCAGGTAGGAGGAGGAAGAAACAGGGGAGTCGGGGAGCAGCCGTTGGAGCTGTTTGTGATTGTGAAGGATTTCCTGGGCATGGTGGATCGGGTGTGTACAGACATTTCTCGGAGTCGTAGTAGGAAGAAGAACGGCGGCGGAACGAATTCAACGAGGGTGAGGGCGACGGCGACTCTGCCGCCGCCGGCTGGTGGTAATACCAGTTCAGGCAAACAGGTCCCGCGATTCTTCAATTTTTCGCCCGCTTCTGCTGCTGTAGCTGATGCATCCGACGAGGACGAGGACGACTTCTGAACAGAGATATTCATTAGAAATTATTTTGTTAAGTACTGACTTCTTTTCTCCCTCAATTTCTTTCACCATTAGAAGTGCGATTCAAAGGAATTGTGTGTACATCACGAGATTGCAATAAAGATTTTGTGCAGTTACTCATATTCAGCACAGTTACACTTGTTGCGTTTCAGATACATATTCAACGGGTTGATCTCGGATTGCTCTGGACCAAACCAACGTTTGGACAAGGACCATATGAACATATCTAATCGAACATAATGTGGTCTGGCTCTAGATCACAACAATTTTATAAATACTGAAAAAAATTGGTTGAATTGGTATTTGGATCGGACCAAAGCAGTTATAATGCATAGTTGGTCTGATACTCGGTCTTAAAATATCTTTCATTATCATATTGGACCGGGGTTCTCATGAATTTGCTTCGGTCTAACCCCCATCGACTTTGAAATATAGGTAAAGTCAAATGTAAAATTCGTAACAAGTTTAGAATAAATAGCAATCGGCAAGGCATTAGCCCCCCTTCCTAATTACCACACTTCAAATTAGCCTAACCATTTAGATTTCTGATTCCGCCAATGCTGTGTAATGGTGCTCGACTGCGGAGGGCCCCCCAGTTGTGATCCTGTGGGCAATTAAGACGGTCATTGAGAAAGAGTCTATTTGGAGTTTAATCATCTCTCGTTGTAAGATTGTGGTTGATGCCCTAGAGAAGCTATGTAATGAGTCGGAAAGGCATTAGCCCCCTCCCTAATTGCCAGGGTTCAAATTAAATTAGCTCATCCATTCAGATTTCTGGCTCCGCCACTACTGTATGATGGTGCTCGGTTGTGGAGGCTCAGTTGTGATCCTCTTGGCAATTAAGACGGTTATTGAGAGAGAGTTTTCAGAGTTTGATCATCCCTCGTTGTAATATTGTGGTTGTTGTGCTCTGTAATGAGTGGCAAGACGAATCATATAGCAAGAAAGGGTCTCTGCGACAGCCGACAACACCCTGCTTCCGGGATGGATCTCTTTGGTATTGTGATGCCTGCCCCATTTGGCATTTGGCGCTCTTCCGCCGGGCGGTCTCTCATGGATTCAAACTTGTCTCTTTCAGGCTGTCGATCGGCCTTGCCTGCAACCTTTGGAGGTTTGGACTAATCCTTCCTTCTTTCTTTCTCCCGTCTTCCATCTCTGCCACATGGATTCCGATATCTAACCTCTTGAGTCTTGTCCTTCTTATCTCTTATCCAAACAGTATAAGCCGTTTTCTTTCTTCTGAGGAGGTTTGCATTTGCTATTCACTGACTTCTTTGTTGTTACGTTTGGGGTGGGACTTGTTTAAGTAAGTACATAATTGTCTACCAGGAATTTTTTTTTATAGATAAGTTTCCCTTTTAATTAATCTTAGGAATGCTTGTAAAGTATTTATATTCCACTATTCCAGGTTTTTAATATCTCTTTCCGATACTAGTTGGCCCAAGGTTGTTAAACAACTATCAGATTTCTGATTGGACCCGGTCCGACCTAAGATGGGCTTCAAAACAGCCTCCAAAAAGCCCCTCGATATGACTCCTAAAGAGGGAGAAGAAGTAGGGATGACAATGGGTCGGGTTGGGCGTGGATAGTGCATATCCGTTACCCTACCCAAAGTAGTTCGGGTTTTACCCATACCCATACCCGCATAAGAAATGGGTAGAAAATCAAAACCGTGCCCATACCCGTTCGGATTTCGGGTATCCATGGGTAATAATTTCTCTTTATAACTCCAACCAATATGTTAACATTCACACATATTCTCACATTACATAAAAGGAAAAGTACGACAGTAATTCACTAGAATGAAGAAAATTAATTAAAACAACACGATTTCATGAAAATATTATATTTATATGCTAAATATAAAATATATTAGAAAAAATAATGATTATTTATATACAAATCATATGCATGTGTATTATAATCGGGCGGGTTCGGGTTGGATAGTGAAAAAACCATGTCCACCCATTACCCGCAATATTCGGGTTCGGGTTTTACCCGTACCCACAAAAAGTCCTTAGGTTTCGGATTTTACCCTACCCGATTAGGTCGGATTCGGGTGGATATCCACGTTACGAATATTTTTGCCATCCCTAAGAAGAAGAGAGGGAGAATAACGAAGAAAGGGAGATGGTGGGTGAGTCATGAAGGTTAGATAAATTTATTTTGTGGAAATTAAGTTTTTAATAGATACATGTAAGAACAATTTCATTTCAGTCATTAAATATTTAATTATTACCTTTTATATATATTTAGAAAACATCTAAAGCGGCTCAAACCGACCGGACACAGATCAGACCATTAAACCTCAAACCCCTTGCTTGACCGACTCAATGACTTAAATCGGTTTGACAACCTTATTAGTTGCAAAAATCCATCGCTCTCATTTGGATTCTTTCTCCGTGTCACATCTTTATTCTTTGCCGACTCTAAGCAGTTGTTTTCGAAATATGTATTTCTTCCCCAATCAAAATAGATGGTGTGGAGCTCTTCGTACTCTACTCGCCGAACACTCCTCTTTAGCCTATATTTTGGGACCATTCTCTTGAGCAAATCAATCTCAACGCATATCCTAACATAGTTGCCTCTGACTCAGTTCGTCGTAGTATAGTTAATCTTATTCACTCTTCCAAGTCGATTCCCCACATCATTCAGTATGTTTCTCATAGAAATACTCAAGGGGAAGGCGACATAGTCTAACCCATGCCGACATCTCATTGATAGAGTCAAAATCTATGTCAAAATCCAATCGCCACGACATGTATTGGTCCTTTACCGTCCATGGGCCATTCTAGATAGCTCTATCATAAGATTTTCTGGAAATAATCATTCTTGTCAGTTAGAATGCTAACCCCCTTAGGGGTTGGAAAAATGACACCCCTAGTATATTAAATACAACTATAGAATTTAATACACACATTAAATACACATTAGGAATTAAATGCACCATATTAAATATTTGTTTTTTTCAAATTAAAACCTACACTAAATACATTTTCTCTCACTATATTTGATTTTTCCTTTTTCAGCAGTCTCCGATCACCAGACTTCCTCCGACCGCCACACTTCTCCGGTGAAAATCCCATTGGCAGACTCCCTCCGACCACCTCCAAAAAATATATCACTACACTGATACGTTGTACCACTGTACTGGTAGATATACCACTGCACTGGTAGCAATGTCATATCTGAGTATCAGCTCAATGGGAGGCTTAGAGAGCCAATGATCATCACAACAAAGAGGAGAGAGGACACATCATTTCTCTCTCTCCCCAACTTTCCAGTGCTAGTTACCCTAACACTATGTTTTTTAAGGAGAGAAATGGAGGGAAGGGAAAGTGAGGAAAGAAAGTGGGATTCTCAATAAATTTTTCATTGTTTTTTAAGGAAGGAAAGTATGGAAGGAGGGAAAACTTTCCACCTTTTGTACTGTTGAACCCTTCCCTCCAATTTGGAGAGAAAGGAGAGGGACACATATGTGGTTCTTTCTTTTTTAATATTTTTAATAATTAAGTCCATCAAATACTTGTTTTTAAATACTTATATTTTATGAACTTCCATCTCTCTCTCCCACACAAAATAACATTGATTATTATTTCAATTACTATCGTAGCATATTGTCCGTCATATTATAAAAATCGTCTATCATCATACAAGTAGATATGGTATATTTGATGGTCATATGTTCATGGTAATAAAATATAACATAATGGTAGAAGACAAAAAACGACTCAAATAGGTCGGACCCCAATCAGACCAATAAACTTCAAACTATTTATTTGATCGGTTCTATGACTTAAACCGGTTTGACAATCTTGTTATTCATAAGTAATGAAACTAACATTAACACATAATTAAACTATTTTTACAATTTCATAACCAATAAAATAACATATCTATCACACTTCCCAATATACTTTTTCCTCTCACTTTCCTTCCTAAAACAACATTTTCTCTCCACTCCAAATTTTCTCTCACCTCCTTTTCCTTTCCCTTCCATTTTCCTTTCCCTCCATTTTCCTCCCTTCCTTTGTGAACAGAGTGTAAAGCTCCTCTTGCAAATTTTGGCAAAACTCTGTAATGTTTATTTAGTGTCGTCTTTCGCACCAAATTTACCGACTTACCTTGATGAGGTACAAGACAAACATGAGATGTGTGTTTGTCATGTATTGCTATTAACCATCTGCACTTCATGGATACAATCGTTGTTGGGAAGTAAATATACGATTAATACTTAAATTTCTCTTTAACAACTCGAATGGATTAGAAGTTGGCTCAACAAACAAAGGAACACCACACACACGTAAGTTGCATTTTGAGTCTTCCCCAATAACAATCATGCTAACCCTTGATGAGTTTTACTCTTTCCTTGTGTAAATTTCAATAATAATCATATTATTCCAATAACAAATGGAGCTTATTAAATTTGTTGGATCCCTAGCTAGCCTTGTATGCATATCGAGATGTCTTGTGTTTGATTAATTTTTTCTGTTAACAGTTGGGGCGTTCACAGAAGCACAAGTCACCTTCTTCCCAACACCATCCGAATGTGCCGCCTCCAAAATGCCTCGAACAGTCTAAATTGCACTTGATATCATTACAACCATAATATATCGGCGTGGTGCAATGGTGGTTTGGTATCTCCCTCGCTCCATCAACAACTCTGCTTGCACCAACTACCCAACAAAAACACAATGTAGCCGTGAAAATCAGTAGATTGTTAAAGTTCATAGGAATTCTAAGAAACGTGGATTTGAATTATTACCATGAAGAGTGACAAAGGAAAGTACGAGAACGACGATTGATAGAACTGATACGAGCTTCATGGTTATTTGCTTGGCAAGAGGAGTAGCAACTTCGAGCTTTTAAATTTACTCTTGTGTGTTGTAGAATATGTGAAGTGGAGTGGATTTTCTATGGGTTTTGGGATATACAGCCAGACATTTTTATAGCCAAATATTTTGGCTCTTTTTGGTCCCTTGAGAATATTGATAAGATCTACAGTTGTAAAATTCCTTAAATGGGAAAAAGGGAGAATATTACAATTGTGAGGGGGGGGGGGGGGGATTAACCAGGCAAATGTGTTTTTGTTTCTTTCTATTGAGTAAAATGATTGGACATTCAATTGATTAACTACTTAAACTGTACTGTTGGTATCTGTTTTTACTAGTTTAAAATGGAAGGCTCCCAAAGTGTGGATTTTGATTGTGGATACTTAAAATGTTGTCTTTAATATTACTTGAAAAATCACAGGTTTACAAAAAAGAAAAATTGCTGCCTGAAAAAATATAGAAAGAAAAAACTTGTCAAGAAAATCTCATCATAATTGTACTTGGATTCTGTGTGCTACTTATTTTTTTTACTACTATTTTACACAATTTATCATAGTTTGTCATTATCATTAATTTCGGTAGCGAATAGTGATCCGAAATTTCTTTTTAGTAATCCGCAACTCTTTTTCATGATAACTCAACTTATCTGGATGCACGGGTTCCTGATTAGATTATTGATCATCCAATTATAGTTATGTAAGTAATTCTTCAATTAATTTTGAGTTAATACTTTTAATTTGACATGTACTTTGCACAAATTAAATTCATTTTTGTCATTCATGCGGTATCCTTAGTTAATTTGACTCTTTCTTTTGTTAATATTCCTCCTCCCCCTCCTTGTATTATGATAAGATGCATAGAATGTATCAAAACCACAACATACAATTTGAATGACATAGATTGTTTGACATTCCAATTTCAAATTGAGGCTACATAAAATTGGAGCAAAAAAAGAGGATACTTTGAATATGAAAATATTCTAGCAAAGCAATTGAATTTGATTTTGTAGAGATACAAATTCCATTTGTGTATGGACTACTGGGAAAGATAGGGTACTCGATTGGATTTGGATCCACCGGGACTGGCGGGGCTCGAACCCGCAGCTTCCGCCTTGACAGGGCGATGCTCTGACCAATTGAACTACAATCCAGGGAAATGAAAGAAAGTGGACATCAACATACATATTCGTATGAATTTCATTCAAATCCCTTTTATTTAGTATTTAGCTATTTCGATTTTGAATTCGAATCTACTCGTTGGAATAGAGAGGAGGGTGTCTATTGATATCCACGTAGCTATACACTTTAGACATTAGTGATAATGGAAGGGATTCTTAGTCATCTTTTCGTTATTTCAAATCAAATGATAAAGGATGGCAATTGGTCGGGTCGGGGACGAATAGTGCATATCCGTTACCCTACCCAAACTAGTTCGAATTTTACCCATACCCATACCCACATAAGAAACGGGTAGAAAAACAAAACCATGCCAATATCCGTTCGGGTTTCGGGTATCCACGGTTAACCATGGGTAATAGTTTCTCTTTATATCCCAAACCAATGTTAATATTCACATGTATTCTCACATTACGTAAGATGAAAAGTATGACAATAATTCACTAGAATGATTATTATTATATTTATATGCTAAATATAAAATATGTTAGAGAAAAATAATTATTATTTCTAGACAAAATACATATGCATGTGTATATCGAGTGTGTTCGGGGTGGATAGTGAGAAAACCATGTCCACTCATTACCCGCAATATTCATGTTCGGGTTTTACCCATACCTGCTAAAATTCTTTCGGGTTCGGGTTTTACCCTACCCGACAATATTGGATTCGGATGGATATCCACGATTACGGATATTTTTGACATACAATTGAGGACGAATTAAAAGGGCGCGGGAAGAAAAACAAAAACACTGAATTTGGAACTTCTAAAGTTGATCGCGATCAATGCCAGGCAAGGCATGAGTGTCGTGTATAATAAAAGATGGAATCAAAGCTAAACGAAAACTGAAAATATTCCTCATCGGCCGATGGGGAATTACGCAACGCAAAGAACCATTTTCTCCCTGCCTTGTCCACCATCCAAAACAGGGGAAGTCACGCAAGCATATATATAAACTTACCATGCCACAATCCAAACCGGTAGCAACTCCCTAAAAACAGACCCAGAAACGGACGGCGGCCGACGCCACCTCACCGGAAGGTCATTTCACGGCCATCGCCGGCGAATCCCCGTCCAAAACTCCACCGTGGAAGCTATTATTAAATATACCGACAAAAGTCACTCGGCAGCAGCAGGAACTTTCGCGGAAACGAAGTCGAAACAACCGGCCTATTTCCTTCTTCTCTTTTTCTTTTTCTTTCTCCAATTAATAAATTCAAAAGTCAAGTCAACTGCAAATGACTGAAAATAAAAATAAAGAGAATAATCGTGATTATTATAATAACAACGATGAAGATGTTACTTGCTTCAATCGATGCCTTGGTTTCTTTTCATTCACATCCTCGCGCCAAAAGCCAGACGGAGGGGGAAAGAGGAGAAGGGAGGAGGAGGCGTCGACGGCGGCGGTGGACCACGGAGGGGGAAAGATGGGGAGCGTGAATCTGGAGGAGAATCTGAGGGTCAGGGTGGAGGTGGTGAAGAAAGCCTGCTCGCTGTCCTTGAAAGCCCACAAGCCGCCGGGGAAGCAGCTGTTCGTGACGGAGAAGCTCCGCTCGTCGGAAGTTATTTTCGGCTTCCCTGGAAGTTGGAACGCCAGCGATTGGATCAGCAAGGCGCCGTTTGGGGAAGTCGAAGTCGATCTGCAGCTTTTCCCTTCGATCTTGTACATCGGTCTCAGGGAGATCGGCGCCGTCAACGAAGCCTTCTTGCGTAGATTCAAAGCTCTTTTGGCCAGTCCGCAGTTCGTCGCCGAGGTAATTTTCCCGATCTCGACCGTCTTACCTTTAATTTGCTGCCACTTGTGAATTGGGAATTGGGGATGTTCTTAAGATTGATTTCAGACCGTAGAGACCTTCTCTTTTAGTCCTTTAAAATTTTCTGTTTAGATTATTTAGTCCTTACAATTTGACAAATCGTGGAAATGGTTAAAACTTCTAGGGTTTAGGCTTAACGAACAAACCAGGGTTAACTTGGGTGATTGAATTTTGTTATTCATTCATCTTAAAGTTCCTCCACCAAAAAGTGTCAGTCCAAATACGTCATAGTTGGATTGCACTGTGCTCACCGAATATGTCGTTGATGACTTACATTCCACATAGGTTGGAAATCTTCGTTTCGTCCATCTATTATATTAATTGTTCCCGACTCTATTGAAACCAAAATGAGGGGCGGATGTAAAACGAAAGTGTATATGTTATTTGGCGGTTGACCTTATGAGCAAAGTAGGGATTTTCAGCGTACTTTGTACTTATAAAAAATAAGCAAATTTCATACTTAACATATGATGAAGAAATGAATAAACCGTTTAACACGTATTTGGTAGAACTCATAATATAATGTTGTGTTTGTTAAACTGGTATATTACAAGACTAAAAGTAACATTAACACCAGTAATTACTATGCCATTAGGATGGTCTAACTTTGCAGTATAAATCTGTGAACTGGGAAATATCAAATATGTAACTACAGGAAGTTGAGCAGTTGTTGTATACATTGAGGGAAATATGAGCTCTGCTTATTTATCCATGGAAAATGAGGAAAGATTGTATTCAAATGAGGCCGCAACTGTGTTTTGCATTCTACTCAAACAGGTGGAGAAGGCGAGAAGAGAAAGCAAGCAAGTCATATTCACAGGTCACTCAGCAGGAGGGCCAACAGCCATCCTGGCAACACTATGGTTCCTGGAGAAGTACAAGAACGCATCATCACCAATTCTCCCTCTCTGCCTCACATTCGGCTCTCCCTTGGTCGGCGATCGCTTCCTGAACCACGCAGTCAACCGCGAAAATTGGTCCAAGCAGTTCATCCACTTCGTCATGAGATATGACATCGTCCCCAGAATCTCACTCTCCCAGCTACAACCCAACCACCAGCAGCAGCAACTCCAGGATGCCCTCAAGTTCTTCAACCCCAACATCAAGGATCAACTCCCTCCTGAATTCGATCCTCAATCCTTCTTCGTCCACGTCATGAGAGGCTCGTCCTCCGTGGCTAGCCACGCTGCCTGCAAGATCATGGGGAACACCAACCTGCTCCTCGAGACCGTCTCGAGCTTCGTCGAGCTCAGCCCTTACAGGCCTTTTGGCACCTTCGTTTTCGCCGCGGGGAATGGGAAGCTGGTCATCTTGAGGAACCCTGATGCGGTTCTGCAGGTGCTGTTTTACTCCTCGCAGCTGAGCTCTCCTGATGAAGTCGATGAAATTGCAAAAAGGAGTCTTAAGGATCACTTGAACTATGCGAATGAGCTGAAGGAATGCCTGGACAACATGCAGAGTGTCACTTCCCTGGATGATCATCGCGATTCCCTCGCTAGCATTCCTCTGTCATCTGATTCTGCCACTGCAGAGACTGCAGCAATCAACGCATCGTTGAACGATCTCGGCCTGGTAAAAATTGATGTTATCCTTCTCAATTGCATCGTCGTTTCAACCGTAGTTCCAACTACATTGCTTCCTTGCATTCGTTTGGTACATGTAATGTTATTTTGTGTTCAATTGCATATCATTTCATCTAAATTAAGATGATTTTCCTGTTTTCTGTCCACAGAGCGTGAGAGCTCGACTCTGCCTCCGAGCAGCGGCGGAGCTGGAGAAACAGAAGGGTCGAAACCAGGACACGATCAACGACAAGATGAAGGACATCGAGGCGAAGATACAGAAGCTGGAGAACTACAAGAACAAGTGCACGGTTCAGAAGAGGACCTACTACCGCGCATTCAGGCTGTCTGAGGAGAAGAGCGACTTCGAAGCAAACGTCACGAGGCTCGAGCTGGCCGGGATATGGGACGAGATCGTGGAGATGCTGAAAAGGTACGAGCTACCGGACGATTTCGAGGGGAAACAAGACTGGATCGAGCTCGGGACGAGGTTCAGGCTGATCGCCGAGCCGCTCGACATATCGAACTACTACCGCCACGCCAAGAACGAGGACACGGGGACTTACATGGTGAGGGGGCGGCCGAAGCGGTACAAGTGCACGCAGAGGTGGAAGGAGCAGGTGGAGGGGAGGGCGTGGAGCGACGACCCGCCGGAATCGTGCTTCTGGGCTGAGGTGGAGGAGCTGCTGATTGCTCCGGCGGGGAGCCCGGCGACGGTGGAGAAGGTGAGGGGTTTGCAGAGGAAAGTGGATGAGTATAAGATGGGAGCGGAGGTGTATTTGGAGGACAGCTTGTTTGTGACTTTGTTGAAACAGAACAATCTCCGTTGAAGTCTTGAAGAGATGGAGGAAGGTAGTAATAAAGCCGGCGCCATAAAGGTTTGGTGTTCAATTATTATCATATATTGTGTATATGTAGTATGTACCGTGTTGGCATTCTCCAAACATAAAAATGTTACAAGAAATAATGTAATCGGGATTGTAAGGTGACATAATCGAGAATTGAAGCCGAATATCAAATGAAATTGATATAAAAGAGAGATCGATTGAATTGTTATGGCAAAATACACTTTCATAGCTATAACGTTCACGTTTGTGATAGATATAGCCACAGTTTTCGAAATACACGAAATAGCCAGAATTTTTCTGTTGGAAGGAGACATTCATTACAAACAGTAAATTTTTCGACACTAATAAACACGATTTGGACGGAGACAACAACTTTATTGTAGACCACAAATGAAATAATGCAAGAATATCGACAACCCCTGAACTTTTATAAATACTAGATAATTGGCCCGCGCTTTGCGGCGGGATCATATATTTATCATAGATTTATAATTTATTATATTTAGTTTTGAGATTTATTGAACTTGCAATATTATTTGATTTATTAAAAAAATAATTGATTTTGAATATGCAAGTTTTTTTTGTGAAATTTGTATATGCAATGTAAATATGATGTTCATAACTTTGTTTTTGTATAATGAATATCTTACTTGTATTATGTGAATATTTAAATAATGTGTTGGTGTGTTGTGTGAATAAGTGTAAATATTCAAACTCTGCTGTATCCTAATAAAAACGGCTTGAGTTCAAGTCCTTAAGCCTCATTTCTTAAGGAAAATCTTAAAGTCCTATTGGCTGATAGTGGATTAGGTAGTTAATGGGGGTTAGTAGTTAATAGGTAGTTAAGGGTAAATAGGGTTATGCAAATATAATTAATTAATGATTTTCTTTCTCTCTCCTCCCATGATTTTCTCCATAACCCTCTCTCTACATTATAATTAAAAATAAATATGAAATTAATTTTATTTAATATTTAATAAAATCCGAATTTAATAATTTTATTTTTCTAAAATGGAAATTTGAAATTTAAAATACATGCCTCTCTCACATCTTGGCAACTTCCGATTATTATTAAGTATTAACATTTTGTAATGACTTTATCAATATTTATAAATTGAATCATCATTAGGGCTTTTCATTGCATGGGTTTGAGATTTTTCGTTGTTAGGTATTCGTTTGTGTTATTATTAATGTTGTTCGACATGTTTTTTAATAATTTTATATGAAATTATTAACTTTTTATGTTATGTTTTGTTTAAAACATTAGTAAAAGTGAAATTATGTTTTCAATTTGTTGGTACTTGAAGTTTATTTACTATTACATCGTATTATCAATTTGGTTCGCAATGATTTATAATCATTTGAAGTGCTATTATCAATATTTTTTTTCAAGCACAATACAACCATTAGCAAAATTTTAATTCATTTGTAAGATTGCTTATGTTTAGTGATTTGAATTATTAATATTTTTATCGTTTATGTTTGTAACTTTGTCAAATGTCATTATCAAGAAGCATACTTGTTAGATATTCGTTTGTTTATGACATTATCAAAAGTGAATTTACGTTTAATGATATAACTATGGTTATTAATCTTTCAGTCTAAGTTAGTAACGTAGTTTGGTGTCATTATTAATAGGCGTGTATAAGCATTATCAATGTTTGAAAATAAGATATTAATAATATCTAATAAGGTACTTAACAATCATTAGTTGCTATCATTATCAAAGTTTTTGGATGCATTATCCATTAAACACATGATACTTATTAATGCGTTTTTAGTGCTATTTGACATTAAATATTGCATTAGAATATTATTAATATTTTTATATTACAAAAATCTATTTCCTTATCAGTGACTTGATCATTCGATATTAATGGTTTTTAATATCTTTATTAAAAGTTTGATGTCATTTATAATGTTGAAGTCGGACATTTTTACATTGATGTTTTGTGTTTATTTTCAACGATTTATTGTATTGTTATTAAAAGTTTGGTGTTGAGGCGTGAATGTTGGTTTGCTTGAGCTAATATATTTCTGGACAATGTTTGTTTGACTGAATCACACAGGTGCACTATGTCACAAGTACCCAAGATGTTGAAAATTAGTATTGTGTTTTATGATCATTAAGAGTGATAATGTAAAGCAATATTAATTGATCATAAAACGTTAATAATGTCATTAGAAATCATTGGAAGAGGCCATGACTAGATAGTTATAAACATGATGTGAAAATGTGAATCATTAGTACTAAAGATGTTGTAAATCAATGATATTGTTATTCAAACTATTAATGACTATGTTGCATAACTTTAATGATTCATTCATAGGCGTTGATGACGAAACTATAAAACAGTAATAATTGATCCAAAATTGTTAATAATGTTATTGTATGGAATTGATAAGTATATTGAAGTCTTTAATAATGATGAGGTATAATAATAACGATTCATTTCATAAATGTTGATAATGTCATTGCAAAATGTTAATACTGTATTGCAAGTTGTTGCCACGAAGTGAGAGAGAGCATATATTTTTAATTTCAATTTTCATTTTAAAAAAATAAAAAATATTAAGTTCGAATTTATTAAATATTAAATAATAATATTAAATAAAATTAATTTCGAATTTTCTTTTAATTGTAGTGGAGAGAGAGGGTTATGGAGAAGATCAAGGGGGAGAGAGAAAGCGAATCATTAATGAGTAATATTAATTATATTTTCATAATATCTTATATATTCCAACTAACTATTAACTACTAACCCCTCATTAACTACCTAATCTAGTATCAGCCAATAAAAATGGTTTAAGAACCTCCTTAAACAATAAGGCTTAAGGACCGGATCCAACCCGAATAAAAACACATCTAATATATATGAACATTAGTCTTATCAGATTAAAGAAGCTAATCTGATAAAATATATTAGCCGAAAATAAAGAAGAATGTGTGTGGGGAATATGGCCACACAGAAACTATGAGATTAAATCCTACCATTATTATATGGAGATTCTCCATCAAAACATACTCTATTTAAAATTTCCAGCCTTATGAGAGTTTGTAGAAAGAATATTTTTGTCATTTAAATTATTAAAATAAAATACTTTTAGACTCCTAAATCAATAATATTTCATACAAGAACAACACTGAAAAACGAAGCTATTAAAGCATAAATAATAACATCACAGGAGATATTATTGACTATCAACATTAAATATATAATAGATTCCTATTTTCGTCAATATGTAAAAAAAGAAGCTTGAATGGTGTTAGTTTATATATTACGTCTGTTGTGGAGCTTTTTTTATGATGAATCCTATAAAAAAATTCAAGTTTTCCTAAATTTTCTATCCATTATATTTTCAAAAAATTCACCGATGCTCGGTCATGCTTATCTCTAACTATTTTTACTCATTGATAGTAAATATGTCCAAATAAAATATTTTAACCTTATGTGTGGAATTTTAAACTCTTGGGTTAGTAGCTACCCCAATTAATAATCTTTAATTAAAATTTGATGAAATGAAGGTGAAGAAGAAAGTCTATTGATGGTGGAGTAATGAATTCGAAAACAGTGATAGTAAGTAGTGACATTGTTGATAGACTATTGATGCTGGACAGAGAGGCTTCAATGATGAATTTGAAACTACAATTGTTGTCAGAGATTATGATACATGTGGTGAAGCAATAGCAAAGAAGTCTTAAAGAACAATAACAACAATTTCTAACAACACGAAGTAGATCGAAGTGTAGTTTGATAAAAAAAATTTAATAGTTAGTTCATTTCCATGTGTTCTATGTTATATTTTCGACAAGAACTTCAGTTGATAAACCGGTTAGCATATCAGAAAACTCTATCATGTAAGTCCTTTTTTATTTTTTCATTAATTGAATAGTTCAAATCTTTTGACTTTTTATATCAATAAAATATATCTTGCTTCATACAATTACAATTGTGGCTTAAGTGTTTGAAATAATGCATCTTGCCAACGGGTATGGTACTTTTATTGATGAACGGTTAGCATATAAAAAACGTTATGATGTATGTTCCTTTTTTATTTTTTTCATTAATTGAGTAGTTCGAATTTTTAAATTTTTTGTACCAATAAAAATATATCTTACTTCGTACAATAACAATTATTGCTAATATGTTTGAAATAATGCCTCCGGCCAACGGGCCGGGTTCGAATCTAGTATCTCATAGATGGATACCATATCAATTAAAAGAGAGTAGGTTTTATACTTGAATCTAGAAGATATTTAAATGATACATTATTATTGAAAGTGGACTTGTCAATTTAAATTTTAAGTTTACTAATCGGAAACAAAGAAGTAGATGTGTGGAATAGTTCGGTCCAGATTGGATCAAGCTAATGAGAAATGTGATCCAATAGTGAATACAATTTAGGATCAAGGATCAAAATATCATTGTTTTATGTATTTGGTCTGGTGTAAATGTTAATTCGATTTATTTTTGGTATTTATAACATTCATGAGACCAAAATCGGAACACACTATGTTCGATTCAGTTTGATCTAGTCTGATACGAACGAAATCGTTGCACCCACATATTAAGAAGTACAAAGACCCAGGGTCTCAACGTAGGCTTGAACCCAGGAGCTGCGCCTTCGGTTACTGGGCCGCTAGGTCAGACCCGAGGTGGGTGTAAGCCACAGTTCGGGGCAACTAATGGGCGGGAACGGAGGATTGGGACCCATGGCCATCGGGGCCAGAGTTCCAAGCGCAGGGGAAGGGCCACCAGGGTTGGGATTTCAACACTTCAATGAAGGAATGGGCTCAACGAGCAATTGGGCCGGAGTAAGTGGAACAGGGGCCCAAGGAGGACGCGGCAACGAAGCCCAAGGAGGAAGAAGCGGCGGGCCGGGAGAAAACAGGTTGGTCGGTGGCAGATTGGGCTGGGTTCCACAACCTGGCCTGGGCAGTACGTCTGGGCTGCCAACCAGGCCGACTGGAATGGGCCTGGGCATTTTCGATAACTCCATATTGTTGATTCTCAAGTTATTACACATATAATAATTGTAATACCATTGTACAACTACTATTATAAAACATAAATATATGTTACCTAAAGGTTAGAAACAGGGGATTACCTAAGAATTTAATCAACTAATTAGACAATTGCTTCATGATGAAGAATACCATTCAAAAACATTTTTCTCTTCCTGCTTGCCTATCATAAATATCAACTAAATTATGTCTTAATCCACAAATTCCTTTTGTAATGCTAAGTTCATTAATCAATAATCACTATTATCACAAAGGCCAAAGCCCTTCTGTTTACACGTGGAGTTGACGAATAACATGTGTCAACAAACATGACTATGGTTCCTGATTTCCTTCCCATTCCCCTGATATCTTTCACAGCTTTCAGTGTGTTTTGCTTCTCTGTATTCTTTATCTATAATCCCGGATTATAGTTCCATTTGCGTGAAGTTCTCGCTGCTACTCCGTATCTTCTTTAATTTTTATTGAGATTGAATTCAAAATTTAAACGACAATAGATTTCCAGAGTGTTAGAAATAGATAGAAGAATCAGAAGTACTGCGAGGCTCTTATACAAAACAGAGTGGCCATGCAGAGGTCTTTACTTATCCACGACTGCTCTGGATTTTGTGATTTGGAAGGAAGAGGCGATGAAAGAGTTGCTGACGTTAAGGAAGGGACGATGAAGCTGCAGACCCCAATTTTGAATTCATTACCCATGTTCTTCCTCTCAATCCGACGATGCATTATTTATGAAACAATAACTACATTAGTTAGTTTTGTGTTTCTCTGTGAATGAATTATTTAGATATTATTAATTTTAATTATATTCATAAAATATTATATATATTCTGAATAAAGGACAATGGTAGATTGAAATCCTGTCTCCGCGCCACTGCATGCACTCCCTATTCTCCGCTGAGCTTCGTCTTCCCAGCCACTAAGAGTTGGTCGATTTCAGATTTCTAAGATTGTCCCGCTATCACTCAGCTTTGACGGACCAGGAACGCCATGATCGGAAAACTGGGTTAGCCGTCAGGGGATCCACAGAGTAAGAGTGACAAAAGGGGTGGGACTAAGATTACGGCTTGCAGAATGGAGTGTGATTTAGGGTTCTTCGATAATTATATCAAGGCTTGTTTGAAGAAGAAGATTACTAATCGGTGTGAACTTGGCTACCACCGATCAGATTATGGAAGAGTGAGAGAAGATTCAGCAGGGTACCCCAGGTCGATTGAGGAGAAACGGAGAATTCGGCTGAGCGGCGATTAGAACGCGGAATGGAGTCCCAACTTGGCCAGCAGCCGATCGATCTTCGGAGGAAAACAAACGGGGTGGAGCATCGACGGTAGACGATTAGGTGGGAGTGATTTGCAGGGATTCACGGTAAACCTGCTCGAATCGATGGCCCAAATATATAGAAAGAGGCCCAAGTATATAGAAACATTGAATGACGGCAATCCGCGTGAGAAGCAGGGGATTTATTGTGCACCCTGGCACATTTCACGGAACCCCTTAAGCAATTAAACGCTATTTATATACTAATAATTAAAAATATATTTTTTTCACTCATTTCAACTCTCATCTCATTCTCACCATTTTCTTAAACATCATATCATTCAAAATGAATTCCAAGCTAAAATTTTTCCAATATAAATAATGACAATAATTGTAGTAGCCCAATTGAATATTATTGCCTTTATGTGGTAGTATTATAATATCACTAATGAGAAGCCCAATTTGTGGATGGAGATGGAGCCTAGGAGTGTATTGAGGCGTCCTGTGGTTTGCTACAGTAGTGGTCACAAAAGCAGAGATCTTCAACAACCCAGCACCAGCCTTCAGTTCCAGGCCCAAAATGCCTCAAACAATCCTGGTGGCACTTCTCTTGTTGACACCGGTTGTAGATCGGCGTCGAGCATTTCTTCCCTATCGGCGTCGGAGCCACTTGATTAACTTCTGCCGCACCAACTATTTCAAAAAAACACACAGGTTAGATCGAGTGATTTGTGGCGCTCGACGCAAACATGAAAAACGAATAGAATATAGATTTTGGAGTTACCGTGAAGAACGACGATGGAGATCAGGACGACGAGAAAGACGATCGACGGAACTTGAAAGAGCTTCATGGTTTCCTTCCTCGATTGGCCTAATTTCCACGAACAGAAGGGTGTTATACGCAAAGTGTGAAGTAGAGATACGATGTTGCTTTCTGGCTTACTGCAAAAAAACATATTTATAGTCCAATTTTTATGCCATTTTTGTGTCCTGTGTGAAATGTTGGTAAGGTTTAGTGGTTGTGATTTACATGGAAAAAAAGATTGGCAAGAGGAAATATGTGTTGGTTCCTATACGTATTGTTGGGTGACAAGAAGTGTGCATGCACTCATAGATTCACTACTTAAACGGTTCATATAATTTTGTGCCAGCCCAATACGGCTACTTGTACTAGTTTAAAAATGGAAGTGGATCTGATTGTGATACTTCAAATATTTTGAAGATGGAAATACAAAAAGATATATTAATAGTAGTTAGCAAAAAAAAAAAAAAAAACATCCCTCTTGTATGTACTAAATGCATCTAGACCTCTCAGTTTCGATATTATTGTAGAGTTGTTTCATCTTTTTCTTGATTGTTTGACGTTTCGTGTAATGAACATGTGCAACACTTTTATTATGCATATTTTAAGGATTTAAATTGATAAGTTAGTCATTCTTGTATTTGTGCGCTCTAAGAATATTAAATATTTTGAAAACTATTACCGCTCTTTTAAATCTACTATTAGATAAAAGTAAAATATAAACATAGGATGTATTAATAATTTAACGTACCTATACCATATTTTACTAACTACGCGAACGACATCGCAAAGTAATTTGTCTTCGTACCTACCCACTTTGAGAGGCACCTTGACTTGCTTAGTAATTTTTATCTCACCAAATCACCTGGCTATTGGAGTTTGTGTGATTGTGGGTGCTTGGTCATTGGAGAAAAAAATCACAGAATATACTAGTTATTAATTGTTTTTCCAAAATACAGTAGTTACAAAAGTATTTTCCAAGGTACACATGTTTGTACATCACTGTTGTTGTCGAAGACAGTGATGGAAATTACTGCCGTCGTCCAGAACAATGATACCATCACCGCTGTAGGAAAAAACGGTGAATGTATCACCACAATAGTCCACAATAATGAAAGCATCACCGCTATTCTAAAAAACGGTGAACATCTCACCGCTTTTTTTTCAAAATGACAATTATTTACCACGGTTTCCCGCCCTGGTAGGTCAAAAATTAGGCCACAACGACCTAACATTCACCATCTTTGTCTAGTGCGGTAATGCGTTCACCGCTACTGTCAATTGCGGTGATTAGTCCATCTGATTTTCATACAAATAACCCATCCCTCACTTTCCTGCCTCAAAATCTTCCACATTCAACTCATCATACCCGCAAAAAACCCCTTCCTAGCTCGCTGTCAGCAACTACGGTTACAGAAACTCAAAATTTTCGGAATGCTATTAATCTGTATTGTTTAGATTTAGATGTGTTAATAATTATATGTTTGTATTTAGTGAATTTATTTAGATTAATTATGGTATGATCGATGTTAGTTAATTGTAAATTTAGATGAATTTGTTTAGTATTCTCATGTTAGATTAGTTAGTTGCGGTTGTTGCGGTAAAATTTTCGGTATGTTATTATTATGTACTGTTTAGATTTTGATATTTTAATAATTATATTTCTGTATTTGTGAATTTATTTAGATTAATTATGGTATGATTGATGTTAATTAGTTATGAATTTAGATGAATTTGTTTAGTATACTCATGTTAGATTAGTTAGTTGCGGTTGTTTATGGGTTTGGATGATATTATTTTTGTAGCCCTAAGTACTAATTATACTATACTAATCTTATTCAAGTTAAACTAATATTTACTTATTATAAATTGCAGACATAAGTAAATTTAAGAAGTTTTGGCTTATTATTCGTTGGGGTGGTCGGGTAACAAACTCAGACATTAGCCACCCTAAACTTAAATGTAAGATGGAGACAAAGCCAAAGGTCGACCCTTTTGGTTGTGAGCTTAGAGTAGCAGCCTCAGGATCAAAGAATTGGCTCTCTTATATGACCAAGAAGAAGGATGCAGAAGTATGAGTTGCCCAAAGGCAGAAATTTAAGATGAAGAGTATTGAATCCAACTCTGATCATATTGATAGGACGATTAATCTTGTTTGACTCTTTTAAGGGAGGAAAAACCAGAGAAGGGAAATTATATTTCCAATAAACTTTCCCTTGTTTAGGAAGAGTGAAACAGTGTGGGAGGAATGGAAATGAGAGGAAAAATACACTGTACCAGCCATCCCTCAAAATTGGAGTGAAAATGGCATCCCACCACTAAGGCTCCACTCAATTCTCATCCATTTTTTATCCTTTCTGACCCCCTCCTTTTCATTTGTTTTTTTTTGTGGTTCTAATTCTCAACATTAAAACCATGTCTTATTTTTTTAATTTGTATGTTGTACTTAATTATTTTGTATGATTATTTTTGAACATTTTCATGAAAGCTTAAAATATGGGTTGGTTTTATTGGCCACGACTACGGATGTGAAATTATTCGGACCACACCGAATCAAATCAACGTTTGGACCAAATGACATCAAATTGAGTATACTTGGTCACATGAATTTTATATTTGCTGAAGAAAATGGACTGGATTAACATTTGGACTAGACCAAACTGGTCTAATTTGTTGATTTACATCATATAACGTTGTTTTACGCGATGCATAAAACGGTTACGAGAGATGTAAAAGTGTGTTAAATTCCTCGTAAAACTATTCATATTAAATTATTTGACCAACTATTCGTAATTTAAAAAAAATAATATCAACACATAATTAAACTATTTTATTATTTCATAATCAATAAAATACTATATCTATCACACTTCCAAATATACTTTTTCCTTTTCACTTTTCTCCATAAAACAACATTTTCCCTCCCTCCAAAATTTCCCTTCCCCTCATTTTCCCGTCCCTCCAAAATTTCCTTCCCCTCGGTTAGTATTTAGGGAAAGGGGAAAGGGGAAGGAAAGAGGAAAAAACTTCGGTTTCTCTGAATCTTACTTTCGAATTGGAGAATTTTATATTTCCCATATATCGAATTGGTTACTTGATATTTTTTTTTGTTATGTCTTTGATCCAATCTCTTTATCGTGTAAATTTGAAACTCTACTCGCTATTACCCTTTTACTTGCACGCACGATTCATCCTTAAATACAGTAACTTGCAATTGTATTTGAAGGTACTGGTGGGGATCCCCAGCCTTCTCAGCCCTCTCATGTCCAACCCCCTTCTGGGCGGTATGCTGCTTTCCTCAGATTCTTGCTGTCCCAAGTGCAAGCTCCTACTGAAGGTCAAAGTAAGGCTGCTTTATCTACTTGCTTTTCTTGTCTTTTTTTCTTATAAGGGTTGTCTTTTAGTGGCGTTTTTTACTGTGGTTTTTCATATTTGATCAGGAGGAAATTATGAGGCATTGGCCATTTAATGTCTTTAGAGATTCATGATGATCCCTGAGGTCATTGCGTACCTGCAGGATCTTACCTCAGGTGTAGCGTGCATAATGCAAGCTCAAGTGATGCAAGTTCAAGGTTTAAATGACGAGGCTGCGACAATATCAGACAATGGTCTGCAGCACTATCAGAGCTTGAAAGATACAACGAAACCACTTATCAAGAAACTGAAAGGCTTAAGTTGTGTTATAGGAGAGGGGAACGAAGATATGGATGTGCTTGAGGAGTCTAGCGCATGTCCGAACAGATGCAGATATGTGTTGAATGCAGACCAAGCGAGAAGTTTCTCAAGCTTCAGAAGAATTCCAGTCATCCGTAGTGAGCTTATGGGCATTGGTGAATTCACAGCGCTCAAGATGCTGGTTTGTGTCACCAAGCAGAGAGCACCTGATGCTGCTGGGAGAAAAGCTGGTTCGTGGTTAGTGGAAGGTGAGCCGGAATTTATGTGCATCATTATTACTTGTTTGAATAGAAGATTGAGTGAATTAGATGAGTAGCTGCTGGATCCGGTGGATCTTAAACAACAATTGGCCATGATACCATATCTGTTTGGTGATAAAGAGGAGAAGGAAGAATTATGTACTCTTTTGGTGAATTCTGGCAGCGTTTTTATTGTTGTTGAATTGGATGGCTTGTACGATGATGTGGAAGTGGATTTAGAAGATTTGCTAACGTTGTGTTTCTTAAGAGAGGAAAAGCAAGGGAAGGAAAAAATGGGAAGGGAAATTACATTCCCAATAAACTTTCTCCCGTTTAGGAAGGGTGAACAATGTGGGAGGAATGGAAATGAGAGGGAAAATGCATTGTACCAGCCATCCCTCCAAATTGGAGTGAAAATGACATTCCACAATTAAGGCCCCGCTCAATTCTCATCCATTTTCCTTTATGACCCTATCCTTATTCATTTATTCCTTTTTTTTGGTTTTAATTCTCAACATTAAAACCATGTCTTATTTTTTTAATTTATATGTTGTAGCTTAATTATTTTGTATGATTATTTTTGAACATTTTCATGAAAGCTGAAAATATGGCTTGGTCTTATTGGCCATGACTACGGATGTGAAATTGTCCGGACCACACTGAATCAAATCAACGTTTGAACCAAATGAAATCAAATTGAGTATACTTGGTCACATGAATTTTATATTTGCCGAAGAAAATGGACTGGATTAACATTTGGATTAGACCAAACTGGTCTAAATTGGTGATTTACATCACGGATAACGTTGTTTTACGCGATACATAAAATGGTTACGAGAGATGTAAAAGTGTGTTATATTCCTCGTAAAACTATTCATATTAAATTATTTGATCAACTATTTGTAATTTAATAAAAATAATATCAACACATAATTAAACAATTTTATTATTTCATAATCAATAAAATAATATATCTATCACACTTCCCAATGTACTTTTTCCTTTCCACTTTTCTCTTCACTTTTCTCCATAAAACAACATTTTTCCTCCTTCCAAATTTTTGTTTTTCCTCATTTTTCCTTCCCTCCAAATTTTCCTTCCCCTCCATTCTCCCTCTTTCCTTCAGAAACAGGGGGTTAGTATCCATGGAAAGGGGAAAGGGAAGAGGAAAAGACTTCGATTCCTCTGAATCTTACTTTCTAATTGGAGAATGTTATATTTCTCAAATATCGAATTGGTTACTTGATATTTTGTATGTTATGTCTTTGATCCAATATCTTTTTCGTGTAAATTCGAAACTCCACTCGCTATTACCCTTCAACTTGCACGCACGATTCATCCTTAAACACACTAACTTGCCATTGTATCTGAAGGTACTGGTGGGGAACCCCATCCTTCTCAGCCCTCTGATGTCCAACCCCCTTCTGGGTGGTATGTTGCATTCCTTAGATTCTTGATGTCCCAAGTGCAACCTCCTGCTGAGGGTCAAGGTAAGGCTGCTTTATCTACTTGCTTTTCTTGTCTTTTCTTCTTATAAGGGTTGTCTTTTAGTGGCGTTTATGACTGTGGTTTTTCATATTTGATCAGGTGGAAATTATTAGGCATTGGCCATTCAATGTCTTTAGAGGTTCATGATGATCCCAGAGGTCATTGCGTACCTTCAGGATCTTACCGCAGGTGTAGCATGCATAATGCAAGCTCAAGTGATGCAAGTTCAAGGTTTAAATGATGAGGCTGCGACAATATCAGACCATTGTGTGCAGCACTATCGAGCTAGAAAGATGCAACGAAACCACTTATCAAGAAGGTGAAAGGCTTAAGTTGTGTTATAGGAGAGGGGAACGAAGATATGGATGTGCTTGAGGAGTCTAGCGCATGTCCGAACGGATGCAGATACGTGTTGAATGCAGACCAAGCGAGAAGTCGCTCAAGCTTCAGAAGAATTCCAGTCATCCGTAGTGAGCTTATGGGCATTGGTGAATCCACATCGCTCAAGCTGCTGGTTTGTGTCACCAAGCAGAGAGCACCTGATGCTGCTGGGAGAAAAGCTGATTCTTGGTTAGTGGAAGGTGAGCCGGAATTTATGTACATCATTATTACTTGTTTGAGTAGAATATTGAGTGAATTAGATGAGAAGCTGCTGGATCCGGTGGATCTTAAACAACAATTGGCCATGATACAATATCCGTTTGGTGATAAAGAGGAGGAGGAAGAATTAGGTACTGGTTTGGTGAATTCTGGCAGCGTTCTTATTGTTGGTGAATTGGATGGCTTGTATGATGATGTGGAAGTGAATTTAGAAGATTTGCTAATGCTGTGTTTTTTAAGGGAGGAAAAGCCAGGGAAGGAAAAAATGGGAAGGGAAATTACATTCCCAATAAACTTTCCCCCGTTTAGGAAGAGTGAACAATGTGGGAGGAATGGAAATGAGAGGGAAAATGCATTGTACCAGCCATCCCTCCAAATTGTAGTGAAAATGACATTCCACAATTAAGACCCCACTCAATTCTCATCCATTTTCCATTTTCCTTTCCGACCCCCTCCTTATTCTTTTTTTTTTATGGTTCTAATTCTCAACATTAATACCATGTCTTATTTTTTTAATTTGTATGTTGTAGCTTAATTATTTTGTATGATTATATTTTAACATTTTCATGAAAGCTTAAAATATGGGTTGGTTTTATTGGCCATGACTACAGATATGAAATTGTTCAGACTACACCGAATCAAATCAACGTTTGGACCAAATGACATCAAATTGAGTATACTTGGTCACTTGAATTTTATATTTGCTGAAGAAAATGGACTGGATTAACATTTGGACTAGACCAAACCGGTCTAAATTGGTGATTTACATCACGTATAACGTTGTTTTACGCGATACATAAAACGGTTACGAGAGATGTAAAAGTGTGTTATATTCCTCGTAAAACTATTCATATTAAATTATTTGATCAACTATTTGCAATTTAATAAAAATAATATCAACACATAATTAAACTATTTTATTATTTCATAATCAATAAAATAATATATCTATAACACTTCCCAATATACTTTTTTCTTTCCACTTTTCTCCATAAAACAACATTTTCCCTCCCTCCAAATTTTCCCTTCCCTTCAAATTTTCCTTTCCCTCCATTCTTCCTCATTCCTTCAGAAACAGGGGGTAAAGGAGAGGAAGATGATGTCGTCGAGGAAGGTACTGGGGAGAAGGAAGATGTTTCCGTCGAGGAAGGTACTGGTGAATCTGATCAGGAACAGGATTTGGCACTTACTGTCCTGACAAACCATCTGATGAGTCCTCTTTTGGATGTATCATGTTAGCATTTCTGGACCTTTTGTGGGTTGATGAACTGAAGGTATCTCCATACATCATATATCAATGTGATATTTTTTTTTTATAATGGTGAAGTAAGTTAAAGAAAAGTAGAGTCCTTACAAGAAGGGAAAGGAAAACAGGAACCAAGGCAACGAAGAACCTCGGGCAAAGACAACACCCAAAAAACAGATAGGAAAAAACACAAAGCAACAAAAGGGAACCAGTGCTACAACAGCAAACCAAATCAAAACTCCATTTGATTTCTTCTCTTTGTAAATTCAAAACTCCATTTGATTTCTTCTCTGCCTCGATATTACCCTTCTTGGACCTGGGTAGGCTATAATGCGATGTGACCTTGACAAATTTCCTGTGATCGAATTTCCCTCTATTTATTCCCCCAACCTACAATTACGTGGAATCATTAAATATCCTGTTAATTTAGATAACAACTAGGTTTTGGAATTCAAAAGGATTTCTTAATATATTAGATCATCAAATCAATGAAATTGAAAAACTAATTTTATATTTTCATTTCAAACTTTATGCAATCCAACTCACTTTTATTTGATTGCTCCTACATCAATGCAATTTGCATATATGAGAGTTTAAATGACTTTATTATTATAAAATAAATAAATCAAGGGAGCAAAAAGTTTTTCATTTTTCCTATGTGGCTTGCATTTTAAATTTCATTTAATGCAAGCTTGCATATTTGCAATTGCTCACTACATTGGTGCAATCCCCTTTGCAATTGCATATTGAGTGTCATGTAGGATTTGTAGTTGAGCAAATACCATCGATGTGGATGCTCTTAATCAGCAGTGGAAACCTGCCAAATTAAAATAAGCCTTAAACCTCGCCCTTCATATGATAATTGCTGAAATTGTGTTGATGCTACCTACGGGGTCGAATTTTGTCCAACAATCAGTATTGAATGGATTAGTTGGTTAATTGCAACGATCACATGGATTGACCTCGACGATGGAATGGCTAATGGTGGAGAACAAAGATGCGAGGAAGAAGAATAGCATAATAGAAAGAAGGAGAAAGAGAGATAAGATTTCTCTTATTAGATTGTTAAGCTATCTGTTACACAGTGTTCTCGCTTTTACACTGACCTGGCAGCCAGATTGCCATTTGGTCCTTCCTTCACTACCTTCCTAACTTTTCAGTACTTACAATGTAATTCTCCAACTTCTTATTCAATCACCTCGGGTCACCTATCCCACCTCGGGGTCAATAACCTCAAGTCACCACGGCCACCCCATGTCACTCCAATCACCCCTGTGGTCAACCACCCCGGATCACCTCGACTACCTTTGGCTCTCCGCCCACCCCAGGTCACCTAGAACCTTTAGCCACGTACCCCCGCGACGTGTCCTCTGTCCACACCACCAAGCTCCTGAGGGAGACACTTACTCCCTTCATGTCCGCTTGGAGGCCTCTATAAAAGGCCATTTCGTCCCAGATTGAGGTAAGCAAAAACCCCCATGCCTAAACTCGTGAACTCCCGCTATGATTATTGATTAGCGCATATATTCATTCTCAATTCCATTCTCTCGCCTTTCTTTTCGAGGTCATATACCTCTCCACTCAACCCACTCGCTAACTTGAGCATCGGAGAGTGTCCCTGCCAAGATTGGCCGACAGACCTTTTTTACAATAGACGACCGAAGCTAACATCATGAGAGAAGTTCGATGTGAAAGGTGGTCGTCGACCGACTCTTGTGCCCAACATAAAAAAATTCAACGTCGGCTACAACCCCGACATCAACAACTAGCCTATCCATTTCAGCTTTTTGGGGTAGGGAATATCGATAAGGTCTAAGATTTACGGACTTGGAATTGGGTAGTAAGGGTATAGTGTGGTCACAGGGTCTAGATGGGGGTGGGAAAGTAGGTTTGCCAAATACATCCAAATATTCAGTGATCACAGATTGTAGGAAAGGTGGAATGTTACCTGGCACCAAAGATGAAGCTGGCAGTGGCCCCATGGTGAGACTAAACAATTGCCCATCCCAATTGGTACCCTTCTTCAAGAACTTTTGTAACCCCTTCCACGTCATCAACTTGCAACTGCCAAAGTTCTAAATACCTGAGAGCATGACTTCCTGCCGTTCCAACTCAATGAAAAGTTGTAGATTAACGAAATCAAACTTTACTGGACTCACAGTCCTCAACCAATCCAGCCCTAGTACCATGTCATGTGACCCCAACTTTAAAATCCTTACTTCATGAGTGAACACATTACCTTGCATCTCCCAACGAAACTGCTTGCACATCAAGTTGCTTATCAACACTGTACCATCAACCAACTTAACACGCATGGGAGGAGCTAGAACTAGTATACACTTGAAGTCCTCAACTTTCTGCTCATGTAAAAATGTACGAGTGCTCCCAATGTCTATCAATATGTATATTATGTTCTTTTTCACCTTCCCCTTAACTACCAAGAAACCCCCACTACTTAGTGCTTGCATCAGGACTTCTTCAGTTGGTTGTACCTCAATCTCGTCTTGGACCTCACTTTATTCATCCTCACTCTAGTCAACAAGGGGTATTACCACTTCATTGTGACTTTGCAAAGCATTGAGTTGTTTTTTTGGTTCACAGACATGTCCAAAGAAGTATTTGTCTCCGCATTTGTAACAGGACCCTTTAGGATAATTTCCTTTAGAATAAGGGGCCGATGAAGGTTTAGACACTGGTAGAGGCTTGATGTTTCCTTCCCACCTCCTAGCTCCATTACCACTGTCATGATTAACAAAAGCTGGAGAAGCACGAGCAACAGTTTTCCATTCCCTTCTTTTGGCCTCATTGGAAGCCTCTTCTAACTTGGCAATTTTGAGTGCGTCTACCAACGACTGAGGCCTCATCATAGTCACTATTGGCCTCAAATCTTCCTCTAGACCACTAACAAAGCTAGAAATGAAGTACTCCTCTAACAACGCAACATTATACCTCAACATTTGAGACTTCAGATCCTAAACTTCTCTTGATATTCCACCAGGGATCCTCTTTGTTTCAATTTGTTAAACTCTCATACAATACCACCTTGAGTCTAATCACTGAATCTCGCACACAATGCTATCACAAACTCAGACCATACTAGCTCACGCCTAGTAGACGTCCAACCTTCAAACCAAATATCTGCCCTACGATCAAAATAGATTGCCTCCATTTCCACCCATTGATCCGCCAGAATTTAATATATGGCAAACATTTTCTCGAATTTTCGTATCCATTCTCTAGGGTTTTCTCCAGTAAAGGGGGGGGGGGGGGGGGGAATCAAGACGAGGAAGTTTCACCTGATTGTTATTCTGTGGGGTTTTTTATGCTGAATGAACTGATTCTCGTCCTGATTCGCCTCATGATTTCTCTCAACCTTCCCTCGCGGAGGCGGATTGAGCTCCAACACAACTACCCCGAGCTCCGCCAAGGGAAGTATGCCCCCGGTCGTTGGAGCCGATCTCCCACAGCTACCGTTGTATCAGCCACAACCACCGCTGGCTGGTTTTGACCTAACTGATCGTAATAGCATAACATTTCCTCAAAGCTTTGCTCAAATCGCTGGTCGAGATTTCCGAATTCAAATCCAATTCGTCAAATCGTCGATCCACGTCGCCCACTCTGGTGTTGAGATTCGCGAACTGTCTTGAATGTCTATCGGCCTTGGTTGTGAGTTCCTGCAGTTGATTCTCACTTCTTGTCAAGCGATCTCGAACTACCACCGCTTGCTCGTCGAGTTGGTGATATGCATAGAGGCGTCGCTTCTGAATTGTTGAATGTTGGTTTCCAAGGCTTCCGCCTTATTGGTGACGACGGTATTTATTCGCTCTTCCAGAAGTACGGTGCTTGTAGCTGCCGCCATGATTGTCGAGTACTGCTCTGATACCAATTTGCAACGATCACCTATTCACCTGGATTGACCTCGACCATGGAATGGCTAATAGTGGAGAACATATACGTGAGGAAGAAGAAGAGCAGAAGATAGAGAAGAAGAAAGAGTATAGAAAGAGAGAGAATATTTTTGTTATTCGATTGTTAAGCTATCCGTTACACAGTGTTCCCGCTTTTATACTAACCTGACAGACAAATTGCCATTTGGTCATTCCTTCACTAAATTCCTAACATTTCAGTACTTACAATGTAATTCTCCAACTTTTAATTCTTTACAGTGAAATCCTTGATCATTACATTAATCCTACTATTCTTCTATTTGGGGCTTCCATTATCAATGTTAAAGTACGCTAAGTTAATGCCTCCTTCTCAATCAATATATTACTAGCTTCTGACCCGATCAATTGCCCGGAACTTTTATAATCCTTGTTTTCAATTAATTAGATTTTCTTATTATAAAAGTTATGATAGAAAGCTGGTCCAATAGTTATTGTTTTACTCTATAGTTTAAAGGCAAAATACACTTGTGTAGCCAAACTTTGACGGTTTGGCCAAATATAGCCACTTTTGGCAAAATACCAAAAATAGCCACTTCCGTCCAATTCTTTAAAGGTGTTAGTTAACATGTTGAATGTACTAATAGAAGGGCTGACATGGCGATATTAATTAACAACATTGCCACATGAATTTAATTAAAAAAAACAAAAGAAAAAGATAATTGAAAAAAAAACAAAATAAAAAGATAATAGAATAAATATTTGTTCTCTCTCCCACATATCTTCTCCTCCTCCTGTGAATGACAATTATAGTCGAACCAATCCCCCTCACATCCAGCATTCCCTGATTCGACGGACGGCGAGGGAAGAGCAAGTGTCCTCTTCAAGCATTGTCTTTTACCCTATGTTCGACCCGTTGGCGCTGAGGATGTATGGGGAAGCTTGAAGGACAATTTCGAGATCCATATCTTTCTAGCTGTCGATAGTCACCAGCGTTCCTCCTTTATCGACGTTGCTATTGCAGCTGCTCTGATCGAGATTAACCTCTGCGGCCATGGCGAATTTTGAGTCGAGCTCGGCGTTGCGGGCATGACCTCCGCTGGTGGAGGAATTAGGTATTTGCGAATCGAAAGCGCCGAACTGTTGCGGGAGGAGGGATTAGGGATTTGCGTTAGAGGAGGAATTGGGCGAGGTTTCCCATCGGTGTCGCCCTCTTGATACAGGCAATTCCCGCCAGGGAAGATGACCAGAGCAACTGATTCCCTCTTCGAGCCCGACCATGGCGGCGGCACAACCATCTTTTCTCCTTCACTGGCGTTGTTGTTGCCGAAGTCAACAAGTCAGGGTCATCGTCTGCCTTTCCGCACCGTCGTCGCTGGCCTCATCCTCCGCATTTGGGTTTTTAGAAAACAGTGGTTCCGGAATGTTCATCCCCAAATGGGACCGGATATTGTAACAACACTATATTTGTTGTTATTGTAACAACAACATAGGTGGACCAATAGGAACCCACCATTCTGCATACTTTTGAAATTCATGCGTTGACTAGGGTAAAATACAAAGGAAGGGTATTTTTGTCCTACCGAAAAGTTGCAGATCCTTTTGTCCGAAAAAGTGCAGCTCGTTTCTCACCATTCTCTCTCCAATCGCGCGGCGCCGAGGCTGAACGACGGGCGACGAAATCCTCATTGCCGCAGCTACTGCAACGGCCGCGACAAGATCGTGACGGAGCAGCTACCGCAACGCGCGGCGACGAGATCCTGACGCAGCAGATACCACAACGGCGACGAGATCGTCATCGCAGCAGCTACTGCAACGGCGGCGACGAAATCCCTCGCAGCAGCTATTGCAACGCGCGGCGACGAGATCCTGACGCAGCAGCTACCGCAACGGGGACGAGATCGTCATCGCAGCAGCTATCGCAACGGTGGCGACGAGATCTGATCGCACCAGCTATCTCAACGACGGCGACGAGATCTGATCGCAACGGCGGCGACGAGATCTGATCGCACCAGCTATCACAACGGCGGCGACGGCGGAGCAAGCTCCTGATCGCAGCTAAGACATTGGCGATGGACGAGAATCGTGTAGATGAAGTTTCTGTTGGTTCTGTAGATGCTCAACAACTCGTGCAAATTGCAACATCTTCTGAAGCAACAGAAGGCGGATATCTGCTGGAAACCTCTATTTCCACCAATAGTGGCAACAATGAACAAGAAGAAGGTACGCTCAACTCAATCCTTTCCTGTTTTCTTACAATGAGCACCATAATCACGCTTATACAAGCCATTTACCATATCATAAACACTACCAATCAAACCGCCCACAAAAATCCCACAAACGATACCAAAAGCATCGCCAAACACACCACATTCTTCCTAAAACAAACCACAAGAAAAAAAGAGACAATCAACCAAAACACTTAAAAACCAAACCACAAAACTTCTTAAACGCACCAAAACACCTCCAATCCACACCATTAAAACCTAAATCTGTTTGCAAAAAAACTTTTTGCAATCTGTTTGTAAAAAAATCACACTGTAATGCAAACCATAAATGTCATAAAAACATCATGAATAACTACAATGCAAACCACTTTTCACTTTTCTAGCAAATATCATCGCAAGATGAAATGATCAAACCGCCCACAAAAATCCCACAAACGATACCAAAAGCATCGCCAAACACACCACATTCTTCCCAAAACAAACCACAGGAAAAAAAGAGACAATCAACCAAAACACTTAAAAACCAAACCATAAAACTTCTTAAACGCACCAAAACACCTGCAATACACACCATTAAAACGTAAATCGTTACATTCCACAATCTGTTTGTAAAAAAAATCATACACTGTAATGCAAACCATAAATGTCATAAAAGCATCATGAATAACTACAATGCAAACCACATTTCACTTTTCTTGTAAATATTATAGCAAGATGAAATGATCAAGTGCTCATTTCTTTCATCATTGCTTACAGGTGTGACATCAAACAGGACCGAGTCAGACTACACTTGTTTGGGGTTGGCATTCAAAACCATTGAGGAAACAAAACAATTCTACAAGAACTATGCTCACGATCTTGGCTTCAGCGTGAGGGACATGGGAGCTGTCAAACGTTCTACAAAAAGACAGCCAACCAAAACAGCACGATATGCTAGGTATTGCTGCAGCAAAGAAGGATACAAGACCACAAGCAAGTCAAATCCCAAGAATAAAGGATCAATCGATGTCAAGGCTTATCAACGTGCTGTACGAGAAACTAGAGTTGGCTGCCAAACTATAATCAAATTTAGATATGATATCGAGAAGGATGAATGGCTGCTGGACAAGTGGATAACAGAACACAACCATGATCTCCTCCCTGCAAAATTCAAACATCTATTGAGGTCCAACAAGGGGATCTCAGAAATGCATGCAATGGTCGCACAAGTGCATGCAGATTGTGGAGTTTCACTACGGAAATCATATGAGTTGTTCACCACAACTTCAGGGGGGAGGGTGAATGTACCTTTTACCCCTCATGATCTGAAGAACTATATCACAGGGACAAGGCAGAAATCAATGAAACCAGGCGAAGCAACTATACTTCTTGAATATTTTCGCCACGAAGCTTACAAGAATCCATCATTCTTCTATGAAATTGAGGTAGATAGTAACGAAGATATTGCAAGTATATTCTGGGCTGATGCAAGAATGCGGTTTGACTACAGTTGCTTTGGAGATACGATCAGCTTCGACACAACATACAGGACAAACCAGAATTATCGTCCACTAGGTCAGTATTCCTTGCACTATTTAATTTTCTTGAGATTTCGAAGTTGAATGCATACCAAACATTACACAATGCATGAGGAGGTTTCTGGTGTGCTTTTGCAAATGTTGTGGTTTGCTTTGTGAGGTTTCTGGTTTTCTTTGTGAAGTTTGTGGTTTGTATTAAGAGGTTTATGGTCTGCTTCCGCAAATGTTGTGGTTTGCTTTGTGGGGGTGTGTGGTTTGTTTTATAAGATTTTTGGTATGCATTAAAAGGTTTGTGGTTTGCATTAAGAGGTATTCCTTGCACTAGTTAATTTCTCTTGATATTTCGAAGTTGAATGCATACCAAACATTACCCAATGCATACCATAAGTAACATAAAACCACCCCAAACACTCTTAAAACAAACGACAAAAAAATGAAACATTCATTTTGAGAATCCTAACCAGAAACCTTATAAACCATACTAAACACGTCCTGAAACACACCATATATATATATATATATATATATATATATATATATATCATAAAAGACAGTCTTTGTTTGTTTCAATGTTTAATTCTATGTTCTTTTTTTATTTTTAAATTACAGCTTTGTTTGTTGGCTTCAACCACCATCGAGCACTCTGCATCTTCGGGGCTGCTCTCCTATATGATGAAACAACCGCTACATTCAAGTGGTTGTTCGATGCATTCTTGAAATGTATGTCAGGCACCCGACCAACATCAATATTCACCGACCAAGCTGCTGCAATCGCCGCTGGGATTAGATCCGTCATTCCTGAAGCATTCCATGGCTTATGTACTTTTCATATCAAGCAGAATGCAATCAAGCATCTCGACACCACAAACACAAACATTCTAGAAGATCTGAAATATGTCACTTTTGGAGTAGAAAATGAGGAAGAATTTGAGTACAATTGGTCAAGGTTGCTAGACACACATTATCCAGAAGAAGGCACCAATCCAAGGAACTGGTTGGATTCAATTTACAAGGTGAGGAAACAGTGGTCTTCAGCATGGATTAAGGACCACTTCACAGCTGGTATGCGAAGCTCACAGCTGAGTGAGTCTTGTAACAGCAACCTCCGAAACTACCTTCAATCAGATGACAACCTAGTTGAGTTCTTCACATACTTCAACAAGTTTGTCGAACGGAAAAGATCAGACGAAATGGACATGGATTATCAAATGGTAAACACAGTCCCAAACACCATGTACGTATTACTTCCTTTATTTGAACTTTTTATACTGTAGAATGCATCCACAGAACAGTTGAATACAACCCAGATACCACCTAAACCAACCCAAAAACCCTACAATCCACACCACAGACCACCTAATACAAACCATAAACACCACAATGCACACCGCACAAGCTTAAACAACCCAGATACCACCTAAACCAACCCAAAAACCCTACAATCCACAACACAGACCACCTAATACAACCCATGAACTACACAATCCACACCACACATGACGTAAAACAACCCATAAATCCCACAATCCGCACCACAAACAGTACAATACATACCATAAAATCATTAATGTAGACAAGATGCTTATGAATGATTGTATGTTGTATGTCATCTTCCAACAGGTATGACAGAAGCCCACTTGTTCAGC